GGTCCCCCGGCTCCCGTTCCGGCTGGCTGTTTCCAATTGCCTGTTTGGGCAATCGACGACAAACTACTTGCCGGCCTGCCGTCTGAGTGCGCTGCCCTCGCTTCTTCGCAACTTTAATCATCAGAACCCGAGCCGGCGGGCCAGAAACGCAACACAGACGCGCATTCGGCACATGCGTCGGGCACGAGCCTCCGCTCCCTCGCCGGGTCGAGGCAGCCTTCGCTCTGCGCCCTCGAGCCTTCTCCTCCCCACCGCGGAGCCGCATCGCCCAGCCGCCAACCGCGCAATGCGTGTTGGCTCGCCCGCGCCGCTCTCCCGATGTTGATCGGACATGATGACTCTTGGCCCTCGTCACATATCGAAAAAACTCTCCGTCCGATACGGCGTGCTCGTTGGCCGCGGGAAAACACCACGTTCTGCCCCCTCCCGGTCCAATCTTGTCCTTCTTCTTCACCGGTCACGGACCACGCGTCTCAGAGCGTGCCGCCCGCGGGAATTGAAGGACCAGCCCGTGCTGGCCCAGGCGTCGTCGCCTCATCCGCACTGCAGCCTCTCGCCCCTCACCCCTTTCCCGTCTGCACAAAGGCGGAGCGGCCATGACAGAGCCGACATGAGAGCCAGGCAGCAAGACATCTTTGCATCGCGCGCACTCGTTTCGTTATAGCACTGGGCCTCGCGGGCTGCCGGGTGGCTCTTTTCCCGTGCCGCCGCAGTAGGACAAAGCGCACGACGCAGCGGGTCGACCCGTGCCCATGTGTTGGGTGACCACCGATCTGCGTTCGAGTTTTCGTCATCTCTTCTCCCTCGGGTCTTTCACCAGATATGTGCAAGTGTTCTCCCGCCGGGCCCGGTTTCACTCCTTCGGCCGAGCCGGACGCGGCGTGGCTGCCGACCACCGATCCTTCTTGCTAGCAGCTCAGCCCTGCAGAGCTGAGAGTCGCGTCCCGCGTGGCCTGCCCCATCGTTCGGCCTCTCACGCCCACCTCGAGGCGCCCGAGGTCGACTTGGTCACAGCACGCCCCTCCCTTCTCCCCCGCCCCTTGCAACTCACATACCACACGTCACCTGCCGTTGGCCATGACCCGGCTCTTGCAATGTGTGCTAAAAAGCCGGGGGGTCATCGTTACACGAGGGGGCGCCGCAATGCATGTTCCTCACACGCCCACACGCCCTGCCACGCGCGACCGCACACGGGCCATCCTCTGGCGAGGGCCACCCGTGCCCAACATGGAAAGGAAGAAAAAGCAATTACATCAAGAGCCGTCACGCAAACTGCACCGGAAATAGAGAGAGATGGGGCGGCTGTCTACCAGGCATCTGGGGCGGCGGGGGGCTTTTTTTAGGAACCCGGTGAAGCTGAAACAAGCTTGCACAAAAGAGAGGGAAACATTCCATACTATTGGGCGTCGAATCGTGGGGCAGACGGATAAGAGCTACACGCGAGCTTCCCCAACACCGCAGGCAAGGAACGCGCCGACGAGGGGAAAGTGAAACCGGATGCGTCGCATTCGTCGGGGAGGGCAGATGCATGACGCCTTACGTGTTGGCCTGGCTATCTGTGCAAAACTTTCCGGCATTGCCCTCGCGCCTCGGGCGAAGGCTCGGCGGTGCCGACGCATACTTCTTTCTTTTGCCTGGGGACGCCTGCGTGCGTCATCTGCCGATCCGGAAACCGCCAACGCTTCTTCAGCATCGCAGCCTCGAACTAGGGCCGCCTGAGCGCTTTTCAGTCCGTGCTCATCTCCGTCCTGGTTCTTTCTTGCTCGTATGCATGTTGTGCAAGCATGCTTCCGATAGCGCTCGGTTTCGAATACGGCACACGGAGTACTATTACTGTTCAGCTCTCTCCAACGATGCGGCTCACATGCCGTTCCGGAGACGTCGGCGGCCTTTCCTGCCCGAGCATCCGCACACACAGGATCATGACCATCTGCCACTCTTGATCGACACCAGGCCACGATCCTAGGTAGCTAACGCAGTACTAATGTAGGAGCTTGTTTCTCCGCCCCACTCCGGCTCCGGCTCCTTGCGAGCATCCGCGACCTGCGAGATCGTCTCGTCCCCAGCTCTCGAAGACGGGACAGCGCACCGACCCGTGGCTCCGGCGTGCCCGCCCTACAAGTGCGGATGCAGCAGAGCCGCTCGGCCCCTGGACACCGCAAGGTCCCTCTATCGCCGACGACGAACAATGAGAGGGCTCACGCAGGGTGAGTGAGGTATGCACGCAGGCGGACCCAAAGGAGAGTCTCAGGCCATGATACAGCCATGGCATAACATCTTCACCTCTTCGAGGGAGCTCTGTCCGTGACCGTATTTTTGTCTGTGTTAGTTTTTCAAACACTTGCGCAGCAGCTCGAGGATCTCATCTTGTGCGGCACGACATGAGCGCTGAGCGACTCATGACATAAAATGCTGCCGGGTATCGATGTGTCTCTGCGGCAAATACAGGTCTACATTACATCGGCGTTTGCACCCACCACTCCTCACTAACGGCGAACAGACTTACACAGAGGCACGCACGCCCAAGTAACCCCCACCCGCTGCTGAGCGCAAGCCCGCCGCGTCGGCGCTTGCACTTGGCTTCAGACGATCCAAATTACCACAGGCAGTAGAAGCAGTAGCCGCGGTTGTAGCAGTAGTAGTGATAGGACGCAGTCAATACTGGTAGTCACCCCCAGACCCGGCCGTTGTTCGGCATCTGGCTAACTGGGCCGCCAGCGCGCCATCCGATGCAACCCCCCCTTGACAATCGGCAGGCGGCGGCAGGCCCCCCTCCCTCCCCATGTGGGAAGGCAATATAATTCTACCGTGACCGGGAAGGGCCTTGCTTGCTACTTCCCCTATCCCACGCGAGCCACCGCCACTTGACTAGGTACTGCTTCTGTGCGTTCTGCCACTTGGTACATGTTCTTCTCCATACTCCGCACATGTACCAAGCACGCATGGATGGGACAATGGGGACCGCCTGGCCACGTCGAGCCGACCGCTTTCATGCGGCTAAGCATTTTGCCCATGGCATAAACTCTGTACCACTACGTACGGTAGCTCTGCCTAATAACGAATAAGTGCTTACCCCAGACTCTCCTTCCTACTGCCCAACCACCTACCTGACGTTACTAGGTACTTACTGGGTAAGGTAGTCTCAATCCATCCAGATCCCTCCAATCCACGGCAACCGTTTCCGGACCCATACTGATACCGAAGTACCGAGACATGCAACTCCCTCCAGTCTACACTTGCGGACTTATCAGGGAGATCTAGAAAGGATAGGGGGAGCGAAAACACACAAAGCGTGGCGACAAAAAAGGCCGCCGCATGATTAGGTACTCATTGCAACGACAACAAGGTTTTTGAAACCCGCGCACGCACACTCACACGCGCACGCACCTTGCTCGTCGTGCATGCCGGTCCAGTCCACATCCACATCCCGATCCGTCCGGACGACGTTTTCTGCCCGTGCCCGTAGATGGGGGAAAGGGGGGGGGGGATGGCTGGTTATTAGGTTATTAGGCATGGATGATGGGGTCATGTTAGAGTGACTTGGAGTGGGAGGGAACCGCATACATGCCTGAATAAACACCACCTCGCGACATCTGAAGAAATAAGTGGTCCGACCTCCATCCGCCCCTTGCTTCTGGCTCTGCTGCCCGTCACACGTTTGTTGTGAACTTAAAAAAAAAAAGTCGACCAAAAAGGCGGTCTGTCACGAGTTGCGCCAGCGTGGAATCCTTCGTCCAAGGTCGCTCCCCGTGGCCCGTCGTCAATGCCGTCCAAGGGTCGTGCTTGGCGATGCTAGTGAGACGCGGGGGTCCAAGACATGTCCAACCAGAGGCGGGCGCGAAACACCAAAAGTCACCAAGCGGCAATGCAGCAAGCAAGCGCATTTATCAGGGACCGTCTCGGCTGGCCGAGGGCCGCTCGACTATGCACAAAATACATTCTCTCATCTAGGGTATAGCGCAATCCAATAAATCGCTTCAACGCAGGCCAAGTGGTGCGTCGTAGCCACACGCAGGACCTGATAGTCCTCTCGTCAAGGGACACAAACTCAGTTGTCTCCCTTTTGGCCGAAAACATGGTGAGCCGGCCCGTAGGCGACCCATTTACTCCCCATCCGTCGGCTGAGCTGCCAGAGCTGGCCGCGTGGCTGGCAGTGCTGCACCAGTGTCGCCTTGCCGATATCGAGGGCGAGGGAGGCTCTGTCGGCACTCATCTTGGCCGACGTGTCGAGCTTCGGTAGATTTCGACCCCGTGGCGGTGGTGGCGGTTCCGCGCTTCCAAGAAACTCCAACGCGATGAGCAGGGTAGACCCTGTAACGCTGAGGCACGCTGCAGAAATCTTCCCTTCCTGTCCGAGCACGGCCCAACTCGAGGCTCGTGCGGCGTACTTGGCCTGCTCAGAGCCAATGCTAGGTTGTGGTGGCTTTGGTTCGAAATACTGATTTGACGGCCACGGTTAGCCGGAGGCTGATCGGCTGCAGTGCCAGGTAGGTGCCAATGCCTCATACCTAGCCGCAGGGCGTGCCGCATTCGCGACAGCATTTGCCGGGAATCACCCAAACTTCAATGCCGCGAGCGAAGCATTTGGGGCACCGGATGCCTGGCAACTGAAGCACAGTCAGTCAGCCTGTCCGCTCCTTGACGCGCTTGACAACGCCCCATGGGATAACAAACCTTGGCAACCCGCCTAATCATGGCCTCGGGGTTGAATGAGAATGTTCGCGTCATACTGGGCTCTTGGTCGATTGCTGTTGAGATTTGATAAGACTGGGTGCTTCGGAGGAATCGAGGCGTGGTCATATTCGTGTGGGAGGTGAGGATGCTGGCCTGGGGCCGAAATAAAGTTTCAGAGGCGATTTCGAGAGGACGCGCCAAGGGTGTTGGTTGGCTTCCAACGAGGACTGGCGCCAACGTTCAATTTATACTCGAAATGGGAGGCGGGTGAGAGATTCAGAGATGGACGCCAGCGACTGAATCACGTCCAGCGGTTCCAGAGTTGTGTCTCGTGATGAACGGGAGGTGATGCGCCGGGGTTGGCTGTCGACGATGCATGTATAAGCACCCGGGAGGACGTGTCTCACAAGACGAGCAAAGTGTCAAGGCCGGGTGAGCGAATCCGTGGTCAACGGGGCGAGATTGCAGCGAGGAGGTTCGACACCGTCAAGACACCTGTGTCGAAGGGCAGTGATAGAGGTCTGATGCCATGAACAGGATGTGGGGGCCATTGACATTTATGGTTTTCGGACCAGCAGGTCGGCGTATGGAGAAGTCGAAAAGGGTCAGAGACAAGGGGGTGTGCAAGGGAATTAGACCCAGACAAAGTCGTCGAGAGTGGTGCGGGAAGGACAGAACCAGGACTCCGGTAGAGGATGGGCCGTGCTGTCAGTGCCATCGACTAAAAGCGGTTCGTGGGAAAAGCGTGTCGTCTGGAAGTGGTCGGTAGGCTGGCGGCCGCACGACGACTCGCTCGAGGGGCGCGTTGGGCGGAGTCGGAGACAGAGCAGACCTGTCATATTGGCTGTGAGACGGTGGAAAGACGCTCTTTCTGCGAAGCCTGGGGGTGTGCGAGGTGCGTCTCCGGGGCCGTGGCGTTCGCCCTTGAGAAACAGTGTGGAGCGGCGCAGGCATGGATCTGTCTCTTATACACATCTAGATGTGTATAAGAGACAGGGGGGAGGGGTGCCGTTCGGCTGGCCTTGGCCGGGGGAGGGAGGGGAGTGTTTGGGATCCGGAACGGGGGATTCAAACACGGCCACAGAGGCCCTGCCCGGCCTGGATGGCTCGCCGGCGTGCTTTGCCGGACCGCGCTGCTTCCTTCTCGACAATGGCGTCTTCCAGATGGGAAGGTTGACGGGCCCGTTGGTTACGCGAGCGACCGGCCGGCCACTAGTCCGGGCAGCTTCTGCGCCGCGCCCGAAAGTCGTCGTCGGTTGTCGGTGTCTGCGCGCATGATGATGTCGACGGCGGCCGCGCCTGAGGGGCCTGGCCTGGGACGACGAGGCCCTGTCACGGCTCCCCGGCTTTTGCTTCGGACTAGCGCCTGTGCCTTGGTGCTCGGTCGCCGGTCCTGCGCTGGTCTGGCATGCTCTTCCCTGCCCGCGTGCATGACCGCCCAAGGTGTTCAATTTGCTCCGAAGCTTCCCCCCACCAGCCCAATTCCCAGCAACAAAAGACGGCCCTTGACGGACAGGGACCGGCCATCTGCAAACAGCATCGACTGGCTGGTGGATCCTGGTGCATACTGGTGGGCACTGCACTGGTGCACCAGTGACTTGGGCTTGCCCATGCTGGGGACGCAGGGCTAAACAGGGGACTCTGGAAGCAAGGGTCCCTGGTCGGTCGCTCGTCCACGGCCATGGATGTGGGTGCTTGCTTTTTTTGGCCGTCGTCTTTGCCTCGAGGGGGCGGCACAGCGGCGTCTGGGGCGTCGGCGGCGGACAAGGGCATGTTTTTTTTTTGTTCGACAATGCGATGGCGATGGCGATGCGGCCAGGGGCAGCGATGGTGTTGCACAGCACCTTCTTTCTCGATCGCAGCCACAGCGTTGGGTTGGCGGCGCTGGGGGGCATGCGTGGGACGCATGGATTTGTACCACGGGCTTGGACGAGGGTCGGCCGCATCGGAGCGGAATGGCCAGGTGAGGCGAGGGGAGGCAATAGAGGTGTGACAGATGGCATTGTTCGTCCAGTTTGTCAGTTCCGCATTTTGCAGCCGAGTTTTCTTTTTTGTTTGAGCGCTTTCGGATGAGGCAGCTCCATCCTGACGCTGCGCCTGCCGTGTTGCCAGACGTCGGGTGAGGCCCCCCACTACAAGACGGGCGCGCGCGCGCCGACAGGAGGCAGGCACGATACAGCAAGGTACGGCTAGGCGGTACCCTCTGCGAGCGCGTACCACTGTCCGCGACTTCCCGTACCTTAGTTACTGCATCGCACTCTTGTGCCTGCCCTGTGCAACGAGGAAACAGTCCGTACCACATTAGGGACGTCCGGCGATAACACTGGATGACTGGAGAGTAGGTACCTTGCCTACCAAAGGTACAGCACTGCACGGAGCAACACTGCAAGAACTTGGAAGGAAGCGCCGACCCAGCCCGGCGCCTGCCTCAAACAAAACATGCTTCCAGGTTGCCTTGTGGGTGCCTGGGGACGCCTGGGGCACGCCGCACCACCCTGGGCCAGCATCTGGGGCGCCTGGGGAGGAGGCATCTATCATCCAAGGATGCTCCCTGCCCGGAGACTTGACATCAACGGCATCCGCACTCGCCACGAAACAGATGGGATTCGCTGCGCCTTCACACCAGCATGAACGTGCGCTGCAGCGAGTCCTGTGTCATCCCCGTCAACCGCTTTGTTCTCCATTTTCGGCCCCTCTCCTCGTCCGCCTCCCTGACGCGGACTGCTCGAACCTCCGCGGCGGGGAACTCGGCGCCCAGCCCGCTAGCCGTGCTCCGTCCTTTGGAAAGCGTCCCACAGTCGCCGGGATCGCTGAGCAGCAATGGACCGGGGCCCAGGTAGCTGGGATTGTGGCTCCCTGCACGTCTCCTTCCCATCGGCCTCGTCCTACGGACCAGGCAAGCCATCCGCCGTTCATCCACCCGCTCGGCATGCCCAGCTGCCTGCGCCAGCATCACGAGGCGCACGGTTGCACCGCGGCTTACACCGGTCCTTCATCTCGAATGTGCGTGCAGTGCGCTGCATGGCCCGGCAGACGAGGCTCGCCTCACTCCGACAAGAGTCGCTCCAACCTCCAACAAAGTCGCCAATGCTCACCGTCAGAGCCCCACCACCACTCCGCTCCGTCAAACACGCATAGCCGCCGCGGCCGGCCCCCAAGTAGCGGAAGAGCCGTCCTGGATGCAAGCCATCGCTGCGATCCAACAGGAACCTGTCTTGCCGGCCCAATTGGCTTGTTCACGGCACCCCCCGGCCTCGCCATGCTTCTCCTCGCTCGGCCGTCTCTTAGTTGCCAAACCGTCCGGCCCCATCCCGAACGGCTCATCACGCGGCGGCAAGGCTGGTTCCCGTGCCATGCACCTCTGCACCGTCGTCACGGCTCTGCCACCTGGCTGCTGCCCTGGCGGCACGGTACGGCTTCCCGCTGCAGCCACACGCAATATCTGCTGTGTCGTCGACGCGATGCGAGTCTGTATGTAGGCGCCCGGATTGCTTGCATGCAGCCCCAAGGCCACCCCTCGGACAAGACCTGCGGCTGTCACGCACCCAAGACGCTGACAGGTTCCCACCTTCTTGGGACCAGCCTCGGCGCAGGGGCATCGAGGACATCCCATTGGGCAGCCCGTGGCAGACTGTGATGTGGACACTCAGCCTCCAGATGCAACCATGCTTGTCACGTCAACTCGAGGGCCGGTCCACAAGCACCAGTCGGGACACTTGCGCAACTCCGCAACGATGGTCTGCTGTAGGAGGGCGGCTCGGCCGAAGTTGTCCATGCGGTTGCATTCGCGCCTGTCAACTGGCTGTCAAATGGCTGTCAGACCGACGAAAAACACGGCCGGCAGCACCGGCCACATGTCGAACAAGGCTACCCAACTGTGCCGGCGCTACCAATGGCCCCGAACGGCACAGAGCCAAGCCAAACCAAACCGCTCGGATAATATCTGCATGTTCCAGGGTTTCGATTCAACGCGATAGGGTGGAATTCTCGCCTACCGTCCTGCAGATATTGGCCCATGTCCGCCCAGAGTGGCAGCATCCGGGCAGGAGACGATGACTGGCACCGTCTGGGACCACGCCCCCACACGCTGCCCCGACTTGTCATTCTGGAGTTTCGATTTTGGCACAAGCACGGCCCCAGGGGAAAGTCTCCACCAAAATGGTTGCTTTTTCCATGCCGGTTCAAACTGCGGCTGCGGTCTTCTGAGGATCTCCGCCTGGACTGCTTTGCGCGCGCCTTTGACTTGGAGACTGCTGTGCCGACGCTCGTCCCCTCGCTACACCACCAACCGGCCAAAGAAAGGAACCTCTCCCTCAATAGTGGGCAGGCTACCTTCTTACAGCTTCAGGTTCACCACTTGCTTTTTCGCTGACCGGATCCCACAATTTGATCCGACTCGGGACCGGGCCGAGTTGCTGCTTGACGCCATCGCCTTGCGTAATCCCGATCGACGGGCAGCCACTCCACACACCTTGCCAAAGCCAGCACCCCGGCTCTACATGCCCTGGACTTGCGGCTCAAGGATTTGACCTGACCGAAGCGGTTAAGCACAAGTGGAAATGAGAAAGCCCCTTGGCCTTGGTTTCAAACATGATCTGACGGCCTGGACATGGACGCCTTGGTGACGACTTGGCTCGCGCGCGGCTTCTTGATCATTGCGCCTATTGCGGTCGTTGCGAGCACATCGCGGCCATCATGCAACGCGCCCGTCACGCAAGGGAATGCCGGAGAGATCGAATCGGCCTGCGAACCATGAAAGTGGTTGTGGAAAAAGGTCGACCCAAACTCCATCTTGACGGGCACTCCTCAGTGGCTGGACCGCGACCGGACTGGAATGCGATTTCGCGCTGCATCGCATCTCATTAGCAGCACGATGCCATATCGTGAGACCACACATCTGAACAGACAGTCGTGGCCAATCGCACTCGAAACCGGACGCGGGATGAACCAGCACTGATAGTCGAGAGATTGGTGACGGTTCCGCCAGCCACGTCCCTTGGCTACCCCAAGACGCTGCTCGTTTGGGCTCCAGCCCATTCCGGGTTGTGGGAGACAGGATCCATGTTTCCTTTGTGCCCCACTGTGTCATCTGAGTTGAGCAGCCTGCAATGGCCCGGCGCCATCGAAACAAACCCCAGCGAGGCCCCGACTTTGGCAATCGAGCCCCTTGTTGCTGCAGCAGGGCTAAGGCTGGATGCGGGATAGTCGTCGTCATGGTCTGCCAGTTCGGGGCCTCGACACTTCTCTGTGCGGAAAGCCGAAGACTGTCGGGTTTGGTGCCACTAACAATCCCTGCAGGAACGGCACTGCTCAACGTTCACAGCCAATTGAGACGCATTTGCGGTATTTCAGCTTGGTCTCTGCTGCTTGATGAACTTGTGCGTCGCTTGTAGTGGCCAAGAGAGCGGCAAGAGAGCCTCCTAAGTGACAATTTTCGATTACTGAACAGCATTATCGAGATGCGTTTGCAGCCTTCCCGTGTAACCGGTACGTCCCACTCCCACTCGCATAGTGTTGGTGATCTAAAGCCAACGATTCACGGCGCATGCACACTAAGCTAGTACTCACGAGACACACACAGTGGGCGGGAACGGCCTTCTTCTCTGTCACAGCCAATGTAGAGGCCCTGTAACCGACGTGTTGGCAGGTGTGCCGCAGCTTTCCATCCAGCCTCGACGATGGACTAGACAACCAACGCCGACGAGATGGATCGCAGGGGAAACACACCACACGCACCTGCGAGATCACTGTTGGATCCGAACGCAGCGCGTGAGAGTGTTACCTAAAGAATGATGTCATGGTGCTTTCGCGGCACATCCCGACCGCTTAGACACGGGGTGAGCTATGCGTTGCACCGATATGGACGACGATTCGACAGTACGAGGGCAAGCAAGCTATGTTGTTCCCATGGGAAAATTGCATTTCTCACGATGTTCAAGCCAACCTCAAAGCCAACTGATTGAGCCAAACAAGCTGTCGGCCCGAGAATTCTTTCGCCAAGGTGGGAAAGGCCATCCGAACGGTACGAATGCCGGTCGAATTCGCAGCAGATCCACCCCCACGATGTCTCAGCAATGACACCCTCTCGGCCAGTTCATTCTCCAACTGGTTTCCCGTCTCAGATGGGATTTGAGTGGATGGTTGGCCACCCCTGGTCAACAGTTACCCGAGGCTCTCTTTCAGTGCTACATTGAGTCTACTCGACACCGCAAGGCGGCAGCACAAAGCGGCTTCAGGCCCACGGGAGCAGGACGACATACCATCTAGCTTCGCCTGCGTGGACTGACTCTTAGTCAGACGCTACCCCAATGCGAAAGGTGGCCGTGGTGCTCCTTGTCAAGCTTGGCGAGGCGACCTCTCCTCCAAAGCTATGCAACGGCAGACTCGACAACGTCTGACTGACGAGTTACATACACGTTGTTGAACAGAGCGCCCTAGCGTGTTGCGACTGACTAGCATTCCCCACCAACGACCAGACAGGCGGGAACGAATCGTTTCTCAGCGCTTGAGACACAAACGCTCTGTCCGCGTCGTAGCCCCGGTGGCGTTGAGGGTCCTAGATGGGTCTGGCCTTCCCGACTGGGCCAGCTTGGCGCGACCGTGTCAATGCTCCGTCAACGTCGAGCTTCCGCCTCTCTTTGAGCAACTGAGAAAGCACCTCTTGGCAGTGCTGAGGGCGTCCAATATCGCCGCAAGGCTGCTTCTCTCAGTCGGTGTGGACAGTCGCGGAATGCGCTGTCGATCAAGAGCGTATGCCGGCGTTCCTGAAACGACTCGCTATGGCACCGGTTGACCAGCATACCGGGTAATTACCGTCGTCCTGCCCGTAACAAAATACTCAAGGGCGTCTTGAAACGGCCTGCTCGCAAGATTGAGACCTGGTGATCGGCGCCTTACCGGAACACGTCCCGCGAATGGCACTCCAAGACACTGTCACACTTCTGAACAAGGGAGCGCCGCCGGCTTCGAACTGTGGCAGATCCGAGGTGGAACACGATTACAGGTGCTCGATCTGCCTGAACCTTGTGTCACTCGCAGATTTGATGTGCCTGCCAGCGTGATGATCTCACAATCCCATTGCTGATGAGATAATCAAGCTTCTCACTTCCTCAGTCGCGAGATTGATCTTGAAACGGGAGCGAATCGGAAAGTATCGCGACAAGCGAATGCCGCTACGGGCCGGGGCGTGTTCCAAACCATTCGGACCGCGAGAGGTCAAGACAGTTGCCTGCAAGCACCTCCCGCACCCGTCCCTGCTTTTTGCGGCCCCTGGCGGGTGGGCACCCGGAAAAGAAAAAGGTCGACGCATCTGCTATTCCCACAAGTTGCGGAGAGTCGAATAAGAATTTCCTGATTTCCTGATAGAGCTTTGGGAAACCTCGGCGCAGCAGAATGAAGCAAGAGGCGGCCAGAAAAAGCAAAGGCTGGACGAAACAGGGCTCGAGACACGTGTGCATTAACAACAAGCAAGGCCCGGGGGTTGTGCACAGCTACAAAGCCGCGTACCCATGCCCGCAGCGACAGCCCCCCTTGTCTGTGTCTCCCCATCGATCGCGTTGGGAGCCACGGTATACGAGTTACGAGGGACAGAACCATCTGGTCGGTCTCTGTGGCTGCAAGCGGGCGAAGGGGGCGTATTCGCCATGTCTCCTGTCCCAAGGCCCTGGGTGTGCCGGTCCCACACCGTCAGACATACCTACATGGTAATGGCAAGCAGCCCCGAAGGCTGTCCGTTGTCCTTGTGGAACAGCGGCTTTGCGATCCCGAGTCGGACGCCCGGGGTCGGTGCATCGATTCTGGCGATACACCTTGCCGGCTGCTGGTAGTATTCCCGAGCCGCAAAAGCCGCGAGATTATTCGGGGGAACGCCAGGTCTCACAGGGACTTGTGTTTGTGCGACTCCAACGATGAGTCGAGTTGCACGAAGGCGAGGTCAAGGCCTCGATTCTGAGCCTCTGGAACGTAGCTCTGTCAAGTATAACATGTCGATTCCTGCCCCGAAATTTATCGGCACGGTCAATAGGCCAATACGCGCTCCAAATCACCAACGTCTACCGAGGACGGCTCAACACAAAGCCTGCTCGGCGCGCCCCTTTATCCCCCGACTATCCGGATCTCGCATCCCGAGGCCCGGAACAGGAGGTGAAAAAAGCAATTGTGGAGCAAGGAGACGGCTCATCTCCTGGATATCTCTGCCGCCGTGCAAAACAAGAAACCATACCCATCCCATTAACCAAGCCGGCAAGAATACCAAAACGCCGGGCGGAGGAGCCTCCACATTATCTACGGGGTATGCCCGCCGATGCTCCCTGGCGGCGGCCAACCGGTACAATTCTATGGAAACCTGCGCGTGCTGAACATAAAACCATCTGGCCGCGCTCGTCACCAAAGACGCAAGCCGAGGAGGGAACGTCTCAGCGGAATGACTTGGACACCATAACGAGGAGCTTCCCGCCAGGGATCTGGTTACCTTTGCTGTCCATGAGCCGAATGAAGCGGTATCCAGGCCGTAAGCGATCAAGCCGAATGCACGCCCACGCGAGTAGCGGGGAGCTGCCGAGGCCCGTCCGGGATTCGTCTTCAATTTTGAACCTGCGCAGCGGCGTCGAGAGCAAGTCAGCCAAGTGGTCGATACTCTAGGTGGCAACGCAAGAGCTGAAGTAGCATTGGGGGCCGGCCGGGTCCTGAAGGTGTGCATCATGCAATGTGAAGATTCGGGGTGACGTGAGGGACAGGCAGGCCCCCGCTGGCGTCAATGCCCACTAGGCGATTGACGATGGAGATTTGTTCGACCGGCATCTGGCCAGAAAAGACGAAATCGTTGAAGATGCCGCCCGTGGCGCTGATACGCTCCCGCCGCTAGGCACGGGGCTGTTTCAGACGCGGGAGCTGACGTCCGAGCTCTCGGCAGACCCGCCGGGGCTCCGGGCGCGAGACGAACCATCGGCGGGCCGCGGGTTGAAACGAGTTCGGCGGGTTGCGAGCAGTCACAAAAGCGCCGGGAAGGATTGCAAATGAGCAGGATCACCTCAGTTTCAGTCATGGGGTGAAGTCACTTCTGATGAGTCGCGTCTCGTGGGTGCCCAACCTCCAGGTCGGTCGGCAACAGGGGTCGCGGCTGAAGGACGCTACAGTAGGGAGAAAATGACGACTCACCTTAGGAAGCCGAGCTCCGGAACCACCTTGGGGATGCCACGGAAGCGCAGCGTCTTGCCGTGCGTCCCGAAATGGGGGTTGACGGACTTCTTGGCATCGGTTCGCTGCTTGTACGGGCCCTCCTTGGAGCCCGCGTCCTTGTCCGCGCCGCCCGGCTTGTCGACATGCAGCTCGACCTTTACAACAGGCCGGATGGTGCTCCCGCTGCGGGCGTTGTCGGCGTCGCTATCGGCACTGGCATGGCTAGGGAGCTTGTGGCCGGCATAGATGGTGATGTCGAGGTCCAAGGTACGCCCCGGCGCGGCCAGTTCCTGCGTGTCGGCGGTCTTGTCAGAGCTCTGGTACCCGGGGGGCTTGAGGATCCAGCCCTTCTGGTCGGCAAACATGCCCTCGTTGACCATCATGCCCTCGTCGAGGCTCTGCCAATTCAAGGCGACCATTTGCACTCCCTTTCTCCAGAACGGGCTCGGGTCAGGGTTGGAGCTGCCGATACGCTTGACGTCCGGAAAGGCTCTCATGAAGTAACCCTTGTTGTGCAGAAACATTTCCTGCTCATGCTTTCGATATAGTTCAAGGATACGACTCTCACTGATGGAGAAGATGTGCGTCGGTTTCTTGGCCTGCGGGGTGCGGAGGCTCTCAAAGCGTTCGCTGCGAGTGTACACTGCGAGCTCGGCGAGGTTCTGGCAGATGCGGACCTTGGGGCGCTTGTCCGGTGGCGCGGAGGGGGCGCCAGGCGCAGGAGCTGACGCGGTCTTGTCGAGGCGCGGCGAGCGGGATGGTGCCGGCAGCTCGTCGTCGGAGACGGAGGCGTCGTCGTCTGGGTGTTGCAGGATAGGGATCTCGCCGACGCTGTGGGCGACCATCTTGGCAGGCGCCCTCTTCACCTTGACGAGGATCTTGTTGCGCAGCGCCTCGAGGGTAGGGACGCGGAACTTGGGATCGCATGCCTCGTGCGGCTCGCTCACGAGAAGGTCTTGCCAGACCTCCCTCATGATCTTGACCATGACCTCCTGCTGTTCCAGGTCGGCGTGCACTTCGAGGCTAATGATGATGGGCAGGTCGTTGTCCACAAAGGCAGACTCCTTGATGGCCTCGCAAACCTCGCGAAAGCCGCAGGGGATGGTCAGGGTCCAGCCGTGCGTCACAATGGGCTCGCCACGGGGCATGGCCGCTCGAGCACGCGCTCGTGCGGCGCCGCGCCCGACGTCGAGGCGGTCGTTGGATTCGTGGGGATCTTGTTGCGTGAGGACGACGCTCGAGCGGGGGGAGACGTCGTCGGCCATGGCGCGGCTGTTGGCGCTGGGGCTACGTGAGTGAGAGTGGGATGCCTGCTTGTCGCCGAGGTAAGACTTGGCTGATTCGTACTTTTCCCCGACCGCGTCGACAATGTTCAGCGCAGCGTTGGGCAGGGAGCTGCCCGACAGGCCGCGACTGTGTTCAACGTGGGGAGACTTGGACCGGTCCCTCGACGGGACAGCGTCGCCGTTCCAGACGTCGATCTCGATGCATCGGCAACCCCGAGAGAGAACCTGTCGCTTTGAAGTCAGCCTTACCCAGCAAGGGGAGACGGGAACGACGCACAGCCTTGTAGGCATCTGGGGTGCTCTTGGACGCCCACTGGTGGCCGTCGAGGTAGGTGTTGTGACTGCTGTTGATGAAGTAGTTTGTGAGTGGTCTGGAGAGGTCGGTTTCGGGAGGGGCGGCCAGGGCATCGATGCCATGCTGCTTGATCCAGGCGTAGAGGAACTCGCCGCAGGTGTAAGTGTCCCGGTCGAGGTCGACGGCGGCCTCGCCTTGGACGTCGTTGAGAAAGGCGCAGAAGGCAGCTCTGGAGAGAAGGGCGTGGGGGCCGCGGAGGTGGCAGTATAAGCGCTCGAGGGTCTCGCGCATGTCGGTGCTCATGTGGGCCTCGAAATCCATGTCTGGGTGGCCGCTGGCCGTGGAGGCGTCGCTCGTGGACTCATCGGATGGCTTGGCGAGAGCAGTGACGCGGACCAGGCGCCCGAGGGCGCGAAGGGACTGGGGGTTCGAATTGCCAAAGATGGACAGGGTTCGTGCACGGCGAGGGTTCTTCTTGTCGGCACGGTCCCCGCGGCCGCGAGTGCCACGGCTGCGGCCCTGTTGGGCGGGAGTGTTAGCTCAAGGGAGGGCACGCGCGCACGAGCCGGACGAGACGTACGAAGAGCCCACACGACAGCTTCATGGCCGCGGGCGGGCAGAGGGGAGGCTCGAGGCTGCCGCGGTGCGGGCCGGCGACTGACGCGCGGTGGTGGTTCAATGCCTCGCACGCGACATCTGCGCGACGGGGAGCGGGCGATGTCGGCGATGGGCGGCGGGCGGAGCGCGGTGCCGGCGCGGGAATCCGCGACACGGGCCGTCGACGTGCAGCGGGTGAGACGGGGCAGCCGGTGAGTTCGTCTTTCGTGCAGACTCTCGTCGCAACTCTATCCCAGGCGACACGACTGAACGGTGGAGGAAAATGATTGAAGAGTGAGGAAAGGAAAGGAAAGGAGCCGTCGATATGTCAGCAGTGAGAAGCGAAGCGGGTCGCGCAGCGGACGGTTCAGTCACTCCAACTTTTTGGGCTCTTCAGCCTCACCTCCGCAACCCTCCCCTCCCTTTCTCGAGAAACCTGTCCAATTGCGCCCGCCGTGGGACGAGGTCTGTCTGGGGCGAATGGCGGGACGGGAACGGGGATCTGCTGGGATTGGGGATGGGATGGGATGGGAGGGGACGGGGAGGGGGCGACTCGAGTACCTTGCGCTAGCACGCGCGCGAAGGAGTGACGAGAGCACTGCCTCGCCGCCCGCCAGCCCGTCGCTCGCCTTGCGCTTCGCTCGTTGACAATGGCCTCGCTGTGTGACGGTCCCGAACAGGGAGTTGTCATTCGAAGAGAATGAAGGGGCTGCTGATCCAGGCGCCGCATGAGCGACAGGCGGTGCGGTGCTTCGACGATTATGCCTTTGCTCGGTACTGCATGGACGGCTCGGTGAGGGCGTGGGATGCCGCCGTTGGCGGACGACCGAGACAAACAGAACGGCTGCTGCTGCTGCGACGGGCGGAGCGTGAGTGCCGGCCCGCCGGTCCATGCAGCTGGGGCGGAACGCGGGCGATGCAGGCAATGCAGGCAGGCAGGCTTCATCATTGGGACCGAGGGAGCTAACTAGCGACGCATCGGTTGATTTGGATGCATGATCATGGCATGGGGGCCACAGGGCTGAGCTGCCGATGCCCTGGTCTGGTCTCTGCGCATCCATCCATCCATGCCCTGCCGCCCGCAGCCATGGGCCGACCATGGCATCCTTGCCCTCGCCGCTGCGGCTTCCCGCTGAAGGGGGCGCAGCCCAGGCCACAAGGGCAATGAGGAATAACGAACAGCTTCAGCCCTGCAACTTGGGCCCACTCGCTCCTACAGGCCCTGGTGCGGTCAGAAGAAATATACGTAGACGATGGGTTGATGAGGCTGCTGGGGAAGCACCCGCAGGGCACGGCCACCGCCAGAATTTCTCCCTGGTGGCCCGTGGGCGTCTCCCGTGACGTCTGTAGACTGTATCGACGTGCGGCTCTTGTCTGCTACGTATTTTTCATGTGCAATGGGGGCACCTTGCGCTAGGCCTGATGAGTAGGCAAACAAGAGACAGTGGACAACGCATCGACAAGCAAGCAAGCAAGCGAGCGAGCGAGCAGGCGAGCAGCAACGCCGCCCTGGGAGGGTTCTGTGGATTTGGAAGTGGAGTGGGGCCTTTTTGACCACGGGAGCGGCCGTGGGCGGGCCGTTCCTGGGCTGGGCTGGGCGAAAGCTTGCCCGCTGTTGGGGAGTATAGAGTTGGCGTTGTGGTGGCGGGTAGCAAAACTGCCCAGCGGACGGCCCATGAAATACCGTCTGGCGACAAGCAAGAAGCGCGGTTTTCTTGTCCATCGTCCCGGGCGGACACTGCTCTACTTCGTACGTCATCGCAATCGCCGACCTTCACTGCACTCTCTTCCCCCTCATGGCGCCGCCAAGAGTCTGTACGACGCGGGGGGGCTCCCGGAATCTGCCTTGTATGCTCGATAAGGCGCGCGTCGTGGAGAGGCCAGTCCCCTCGCAGGTAAGTACCTGCAGCGTGATGTCGTTTGTAGAGACGGGCTGAGTTTTGCCTTCGCGTGATGTGTCTGCTGCCAAGGCTCAAACCTGAGTCGCGGTGAAGAACTCTTATTACTGCCTCGTGGTGAGCGTGGTTAGTTGACTGAAGGGCGAGGGGATTCGAGGCGTACCACCGACACATCGTGCAGGCAGTCTTGGGATTCCGCGGAACATTGCAGAGAACAACCTGTATTAGAGTGAGGTTGCCTATGCTATTCAGTCGTTTCTTCCTGCGCTTGCACCTAATGTTTTTGCCACAGCGCTGGGAATTGCGCGCCGAAGATGAAGGACGAGATGCTCCTGTCGGGGACGTACCTTGCGGAGCATGCGCTTGACGGCAGATACGGGGGTCCTCCGCGGCGACGAAGTATAATGATCTCCCGCGCGTGGGTGGGAACAGGGGAAGCCAGCGTTACGGCGGTATTGGCGCCGCTGCCAGAGGGGCGAGCTGCCGAAAGCGCCATCTGGACGCCGCCGCCCCGGAGGGCCCGGAGCCGGCGGCGGCCCGGGCTGTGGGGCCGCTTTCCCGCGCCGACCGATTTGACAGCTGGTGTGGTCCCGCCACCAGTCGCCGCACACGCGCGCGGGCGATGAGGTCATCCCACCATCGACCACGTCCGTCCGACCACCTTGCCTGTCCATTGCTGGACTTTCTGCCAACCTCCAACGCCGTGTTGTTGCCAAAAGAGCTAGGTGACGAGAGGGAGAGAATTGACAGAGGCCTCATTTGTGTCTGTCCTTCGGGAGCGTCATTCGGGAGCGTGGTTCAATTCAACTCTGCCACCGGGTGACAACAACATGGGCAAGGAGGACGAAGCGCAGGTCCGGTCTTGGGGCTTCGACCACGTCTTCACCTGGACCGACGGGCCGTGAGTTTCTCTCTCGTCTCCTCCTCCTCCTCCTCCTCCTCCTCCTCCTCCTCCTCCCCCTTTCCCGATTCCCCCTCTCTCCTCCTCACTTCTGTCGTCGTTCCCACCGCACGCGCGCTTACGCTCGCACGCACACATCTTCTCAGTGTTGATATTCCACTGATTCTTGCTTCTGGCTTGCTGTTGGGGCTATGGAGCCTAGATTGAGACTGACGATTCTCCCGACGAGGGCGTGACAGGAACGCGCACTACGCCCCGCACGCGCACGCCGGGCTGACGACGCACCTCGTCCTCGCGGGCGAGATGACGCTGTGGTACCCGCGAGAGGAGGCGAGGCAGAAAGTCACGTATGGGGTCGGCGCGCGCGTCGACGTGGATGCCGGGAGGGTGCACGAGGTGTGGATGGGCCCGCGGGGGTGCACGTACGTGATCGGGGAGTGATATATGGGCTGAGCGATGGGTTGCCTGCGCGTGAGATTGGGATGGGGGAAGTTGAGAGGGCCTGCGGGATGGGTGACTTGGCGACGTACAAGAGGAATGTAGATGAGGGGCTGGTCTTCGTCTCTTGCGCTGTGCGTCTCCTTCTCATGGCATTATGATATAAAGTGCATTATCCGATAGGTGTTTTGCGTTGATGAGAAGCTTATAAAGTGATGCAAGACAATGCCAAACTCCTTCGACCCCGTCAATGCGCACAGTCTCACATAAAGCTTCAGCCCTCAGCACGGGTATATACGAGCATTATCTTATGCTATATACCATACAAGGCCGCCTAAACGGCTTGCCCTCTCAACGCCTCTCACTGGCCACCTGCTCCGCAGACACAGGCACCCTCTCCTCCGCGCCGGGGTAGTCCTCCCTCGCCTTGCCCCGATACCCCGTCTCGTAGTCCCTATCGAAGCCGCGCTCGTGCGCCGGGTCCGACGCATTGGCGCCCACGCCCTCGAGCCCCGCGCCGTCCTTCTTTCGCTTTCCCCCGTGCAGCTCCTGGCTAGTCATGCCCTGGCCCGGGTGTCCGAGCCCCCGATGCACGTCCGCCGACGTCGCCCCTGGCAATGTGTCCGAGGCCGCCGGCACGGCGCCTCCTGACGGCACGGTTTCGTTAACCGGCTGTGGCTGGAAGGTCCGGCTCGCGGGTGCGGTGCCGGGCGGGTGGGTTTCGGCGTGGAATTCCGGGAGGTGGTCCTTGCCGACCTTTGTGCCGGGCGCATGCTATATATGAGGCACGTCTGGTTAGCGATTTGGTTTCTCTATTTGCTGCCCCCGCGCGTTCTGATGTTGCTTACCCCCTTGGTTGTCAGCGGCTCTGATGGCGCTACTTTGCTCCTGAACTCGCCCTGGGCGGATGTCATGGCATCCGGGTTCTTGCTCGCCGACATGTTGTTTTGCTTTGCTTTTGTCTTTGCTTCAAGGGTCTTCTTTCTTCGGCGAAAATTGGCTGGCAATGTGATCATGTCAAGGAGCAAGCGGTGTCTATTGAGTCGCCGACACTTATACGGCCACGCGCTTCCTCTTTGCTCGTCGCCAGCACGGCATGACGAGACATGATGTCAACAGCAACTCATTAGAAATTACATCACTCTGGGCACCACAGGTGCGTCGCGATGTCTACAATTCGATTCTGTTGGATGATGACTCGCGTATTTGTGGTTCATCCTCTTGTCAGTGGAAACTTCACTGAGTGTCGTGTTGATGCCGTTGCGAATTTGTGGAGCAGACTCGGAGCAGACCTCCGTCGTGGGTCACGCAGCGTCGCCAGAGTGTCGTCATCCGTGACGAGTCACGCTCTTCGTTGTGAATGAATCTGCAGTACGTAAATACATGCCAAATAGTGGTACGGACAATTCTTGCGACAAGCCACGGCTCATGGGGCCGAGGTCTGAAGCCCCGGCTCTCATGCCTTGTCGTCGCTTGTTAGTCATTGTCTGTGTCGTCAAGCCCAGCTTCGGCTTCATGCGGACCAAGCGCCCAAGTGCGCATCAGCGACACGGCATGGCTTCGGAACGGCGACCTGCCGGACGAGGTGCAGAGCCAGGCCGGCCGGCTTCAAACTCTATTGAAGCATAGCTTAGGGGCAGCGGGCGCGTCGCGCGACAACTTGCCTGTTCTCCCCTACGGTTCGCTCGATCCGGCAGACGGCGAGCCGGTAGCGCTGAAAGCTTAACCAACACCGAACTCAAAACCTCGCCTCCAGCTGACTTGCTCATCTCGAGGGCATTGATCGCTTGGTTCATTGTCCGGTCTTTCAATGGTTGGCTCGCGGTCGGGTGAAGCACCGCAGGTCCTGAAACAGGTCTGGCCGCCTGACATTAATTACGCGGCGTCCTGAGCATTCGATCGTGCCGATGACGGCGGGGATCGATCGTGAATCGCGATTCGAGCTTGGAGGCTGAGCAGGGAAACCCATCCTCTTTGGGCCACACCATCCCAGCAACACCGCCAGCGTGGCTGACGAGCAACACGAGCGCCGCAGCGGCGTGGGTGTGGCGCACCCAGCGGCTCACTGGTCATGCAAGTCATGATTGGCATTCAAACGGGGCGCCGTTGAGTCTGGGGAAGTCAACAAGGACACCAGCGCACCGGATTCGGCCGCCGCATGCTCGTCTGCCAAGGTCGCGGCGCAAAGCTACCAGACGAGAGCTGGACGGTCTGACATCGGGGTCGCGGTTGCGTGTCGGCCGAGATCGTGGCAACAAGACAGGCCGACTGAGTTTCACGTCCAGGTTAGAGTTGTTTCGCCATTCCAGCGCCAACAGGCCGGTGACGACCGATGGGGAAATGAGTCGCCCTGCAATTGTTCGTTTTCGACAAGGCGCGGCGCGGGCAGTTCGTCAATGCTCGCCAGGTCCCCTCCAGGTCCCCTTCAGGTCCAGCGAAAGGTCCAACAAAGGTGCCACAGCCGGGGCCGCAGGGGGCTTTGCGGGGACCGCTGGGGCCGTAGAGATGCCTTGTCGGCCGCGAAATTGCACTGTTGGGGACGCGGCGTGGCGGGGAGAAGCAAACAGTCGGCACACGGTCCTTCATAGACGTCCACCTGCGGGCACAACAGGCCGAGTGTCTCAAGGCACGGAACAGACGGCGTCCTCGTTGCCAATCAAACGGCCGTGCAGGAGGCGGCGCGGGCTCTGCTTGGTCGACTTCGCCCGTCGTCGTCCTCAGCTCCAAAGTGCCGACGGCTGGCCGGCTTCACGGGCTTCGGCCACGTCTCAGACGATTGGGTCCCCGTGCTCCTGACTGGGGCTGCTCCGCCCAGCCCATGCCGCCAAGGAGTCGCGCTCTGCTGGCTGCCAACGGCGACAGGAGTCAAGGAGGTGGTGCTGGAGGCTGGAGCTGGTGCTGGTGCCCTGCTGCAGCTCACCCATGTTCAGCACGGCTGTGCAGCGCAGCGCTGTCGCTCACTGCCTTGCTTGCTTGGCAGCGGCCGCGCGCGCCTCGAGGCACCGCCCGCACAGCGCCGCGATGCGCCGAAGTGAATGCAAGCCCGGTGCGTGTACGCGGCACCTCGCCGGCCGGTAACGTTACGAGTCGTCACGCCAATATTGCTTCAGGACGCCGTCGGAAGGTTGTTTCCCGCGATGCAAAGCTTGTTCCTGTCAGTGGGTGGGAGGCTCTGCTGACGGGCCGGCTTGAGCGGCTGTGGCGGGAGCATAAGCGGGTGGGCGGCGCGGTGGAGGAGCAGAGGCAGGTCGAAGAAGAAAGCATGGTGGTGAGGCGAGCCGGCAACAATTAAAATTCCCATGCCCACATTGCCACCAGAAAAGTACGAGGTGTACATGATACTTTTGAACCGAGCGAATGGAAGTCAGGCAATCAGGATATTAACTAGAGCATCGATCGCGGCAGGCGCGTCCCGCCCCCATCGTTCCTTCCTGCAGCCAGCAGCCAGCAAGCGGCAGGCGGCAACCCCTCAGCTACTGCTGCTCCAACCTTGATTGCGCCTTCCCGGCCTGCCAAGGTTGACTTGGTTGCGACTGCCTTGGATATCTCCTCCCTCTCCTTCCGAGCACCCTCTCCATATCCAAGTAACAAAGTACCTACACCACCCTCACCAGAGATGCTCTCCGCATCGGATCCTGGCCCTTAGTCTTGATCTTCCCTCCTTCACCTCTCCTGCCTGCCTGCTCACCTGCTGGCCTGCCTGCACGTCATCCAAGGAAACAGGTGCCAACTTCATACGTCCCGACCCTCCTCCCCCCCACGTCTTGTTTCGTGTCCTTTCACCTTGCTTCACCGTCTCTCCCACTCCGGCCTCTCTCTCTCTCTTTCTCCCGCGCAAGGCCCTCCTTTGTCCTTTCAACCCGGGCCCCGCCGCGCAAAGCCGGCAATCAGAACGCCTTGCCTGAAAGAATGCTCACATCGAGCGTCACGGCGCCATAAACGAGCGGCCCAAGCTCACGTCACCATCAATGGGTCGCTAACTGCATAAGCCCACGCGTCACGACGGCAGCTCTTATACTCTGCTTGTCGCCGCTGCCTCTCGTCGCCCTCGCCATCCTTGCGGGCTCACAAGTCGCAGCCAAGGCGCCTTCTCACCAATGGGCAACTCTACGTCGTCCGAGGCGCCGCGCAAGGGCCCCCAGAAGCTCTCCAAGCCGAGGCCGCCTGGCCATGTTTCAGCAGCCGATTTCTTGAGCCCGAGCAGCCTGTCTGCCTCCAGCGGCGACCGATACTGCGAGAGCTATCTCGCCGGATCCCGACCCATCCTCTCAGTCGAGGACTTCCCTTCCTTCACCCATGACCCCGCCACGGCCCGCAAAGATGTGTTCCGCAACTCCTCAGCCTCAGGTCATCTGTCGAATTCAACCTCAGGGGCCGGCACGACCGACGTCGGCACATCGACGCAGGTACAGGACCCGCACGCGCGACAAAGAAGACGGAGCAGCGGTGTGTCTCGCTCCGACACAACCAGATGGCCCGACCGCCCCAAGTCCATGGTGGTTGATAGAAGCGCGGTGCAGCCGGTGGCTCGCGCTGTCAGGTTCGTACTCGGAAACGGGCCTGGTAGCCGCTTACAGACTGCTAACGCCTGACAGCTTGCACAGCAACAGACGGCAACACGTGCGATCAAGCCCAGATCCTTTGCCGCCCGGCGCACAACACCTGGTTCACTTGCAGCTGAAGACCCTGCATAACACCCAGTCGGCAGTTTCCGTCACAACGTGTGAGTCGACTGCCTCGCAAGACGCCTCACGTCGATCCCCTCGCCTGGAACGCCACGATGGCGGTGAAGGTCCGCGTCACGACCAAGATGTATCGCCATCAATACCTGTGCGTCGACGCTCGCTCATCCAAACCCCGGGCGTGGCAACGCGCGTGGCGAGGGAGTCTCCGCGAGTCCTGGTCAAGACAAAGCTCGAGCGACGCCATACAATCATTGAGACAGATACGCTCCACGTGCCTACGCCGCGTGTCGACAAGTACCTGTCCTTGACTTCTCATGCAACCGACGCGGTACCTCGAGAACGTGCCGTCACGCCATGTGAAGCTGATTACCAACAGCTTGGGGGTATGAAGTTTGGAACCCTGCGCATCACGAACGGCTCACCCGCCATTACCCCGGCCTTGGAACCCGCCGAGAGTGAGGTGACTTGTGGAGTCTATTCTGAACGGCCGCTTGGACACACCCGTGCCAGCTCTTTTGAATCATCATGGCCTCTGTGTACGCCGACTGGACCGCTTGTCCAACCACAGTCAGAGATTTCAGACCATAACCTGGAATCGAGGGGAGCCCAACTGCTTGACGGCACTGTGAGGACTGTCACACCTGCTACAGCCCTCAATTCCCACCCCATTGCACGATACGGCGATGCAGCGCCTGGCATCGGTCCATTGGAAGCACCGGAACAGCCAGAGCAAGCTCAGCATGCCACGCCGCATTTGGCTCGCCAAGATAGCGTTGCGCGTACGTCAAATGGCGCCAACGATATGGACTACCTGTCACCGGAGGTCTTCAACGTCAGATTGGACCCCAACGCCAAGTCTAGCAGCAATCCCAGGCTGCCCCTCCCAAGCAAGGATGAACGTGGTTCCGTGGCTAGGTCGGATAGCGGCTTCGTGTCTGCTTCGACGTCGTCGTCTTCCAGTTCTCGCGCGCCGCTCTCCAAAGCGGATAGTGGTTACAGCTCCAGCTTCTCGCTGCGGTCATTTCGTTCGAGCACGAAGAGTCAGGGTCGGGAATCGACGCACGCTACTAGCCCTGATAGCCCTTCTTCTCCCAAGGCTGGCACTTTGCGGTCTCTTACGGGGAGGTCGAAACGGCCGAGCCTGAAGTCGTCTAGTGGCTCTTTCAACCTCGTGTCGCGGGATAAAAGTCGTCGGCTACTAAAGGCGGACAAGAACGGTAGTCAGCCTAACTCGCCCCAAGCAGCTCATGTCCGCTCGGGTTCCAGGGAGGCAAGGACGACGCCATCGGAGCCCCGCCTTGAGAGCAGACAGCACTTGCTGCATAGGTTTGGCCAATCGAGGAGGCAAAATGTCCAAACGGCGTACACGTCGCACGACTCATATGACTCCATTCCTGCGGTACCCTCAGACATCGAGGAGAGGCTTCATGAGCACAATGGCCTCTTTCCAACGGCCTCCAAGCGCGTTGCTTTGCGGGTGGAGTCGAGTCAGGAGACCCTCAAGACGATAGTGAGCATGGACAGCCTCTATTTCGGAGAGCAGGCGGCGCCCGTCTCGAAATTCACACACAAGGGTCTGCCCACTGCGACCATGCAGCATAAGGATCTCGGTATTCAGACTGGCAATTTCCTGGGCCGCACGCAAAGCCAATCCATTAGGCGAAAGCCCGTCGGCTCGGGGGGCCAACATCCCGCTGCATCGACAGTCGGGGACCCCGTTCCGCTTTACGGCCGCGATGGTCCAGCCCAATTGCTCAGCACCCGTGCATCGGCGCCAGATTTGCCAGGCACAGGCGCTTGGCCGTTGAGAAGCCGAACGCAAGGCGACAAGAAGTCGCCGCCGGTCTCGATGCACTCTGGCACCTTCCGGTCATCTCACCCACCATCATCACATCATTTGGGCCATCCAAAGTCCACGCCGTCATTGTCGCAAACAAACAGCCGAGATGGCCCTCGACGCCATCGGAAAGAGACGTCACAGCCTGAAAGTCAGTCCCTGATCGCCGGGTCCTCGCACCACCATACTCGGCATAGCTACTCCGGGACAAAGCGGCCGCCCCCTCAGGTGTATCGAGAGCCTCTGCTGCATCACCGGAGCGGCAGCGCTCCTCGCTACGACGACAATGGTCAACAATACCGTATTCTTCACAGCTACAATTCCCCGGCGTACAAAAATTCTCCCATCTGGGGCTAGCCACACGTTCACACTCACCTCGCATTTGCATTTCCGATACCACACACAGATTGCGCATTTCTGGAGCCAGGCTTGTTGTTACATATACCCACTGCACAACCCGTGCCGTTCGACATGCTCGACACATCACCCGCCGACTTGGCCGGCATGACGTTGTCGTTGCCATACTCTCATTCTTTTCGAATCTCTCACGTACACATGTAGTTGCTACATCCGTGAGCAGGCGCTTGCAGGGCTGTACATATGGAATCCTGCATCCCTTTCTCATCTGGCTCCGCGCGTCCTTGTGCTGTGCCTTTGTTTGATTCTCTTGTTGAATTGGTGGACAAATATACCCTCTCTTGGGCGCTTGGGGCCGTACGTGGAAGGGCATTAGGTCGCAGGGCAACAAGTCATTGGTCGTTAGACGATGGCTATTCAATTCACGTGGCGTCATGGTAATGATGAGAGAGCGATATATATACTCCATCTGTTCAGCTATGCACGTTTGGCTGTGCGAGGCTATGTGACAAACTGGGCGCCTCAGTATGCATTCTTCCGTTGAGTGTACTTTGGCCCGCGGACCAGATGAACCGTCTCCCTGCCCGTCAAGACTGGAGTGCCATACTTGATCTTGAGGCTGGGCACCTTTGCGCCGCCGTCCTCGACGGCCCAGACGGCGACGCCGATCCAGTTGTCGCCGCGGTGGTTGAGGATGCCCTCTGGCACGGGGAACTCGGTCTGGGGGCCGATGTTGGAGGCGTACTTGCCGAACTGGAACCCGTTGATGTAGAGGATGGCGCGGTAGGCCTTTGCGCCGTCGGGGTTCTTGCCAAAGACAAAGGACAGGGGGATGTCGTACTTGTCGGCGGGGAGGTTGAGCGTGAAGAGGGCCGTGTAGAAGGCGACGCCGGGCTTGGCGATGCCGTCCATGGGGCTGCTGCCGGGGCCCTTGGAGAACTTGTCGAGGGGCGGATAGGGATAGTGGTAGCCCTGGCGCTCGAAGAAGAGGCCGCCCTCGTTGAGGGGGCCGCGGAAGCGGTCCTTGTACGACTCGCCGCCGAGGTTGCCCGTGATCTTCCAGGGCGAGATCTTGGTGGCGGGCTTGGAGGCGTCCGAGGAGACGACCTCGTACTTGAGGATGCCGCGCGGGGACTTCATGTCGTCCCAGCCCGAGTTGAGGTCCTCGTTGAGGCCCATGTTGTCGACGACGACGGTGAGCACGTAGCTGGACCCGGCGGTGAGGCTGGTGAGCGGGAAGGCGCCGTCGTTGTAGTCCCAGCACCAGTCGTTCTTGTACGAGCCGAGAAAGGTGCCGTTGAGCCACACGGCGTACGAGTAGGCGCTGCCGCCCTTGGTCGTGAGCTTGAGCTGCGTCTCGGAGCCGCTGGCCGTGAAGTGGCCCCTGAAGACGAGCGTGCCCGTGTTGAAGCCGTAGTCGGATGCGTACAGGGAGACGGGCGTCTTGAGCGGCTCGACGGTGTTGTTGGACGACGTGTGGTCTGCCGTCGGCCACTGAGCGTCGTCGTATCCGGGCTGGATCTCAGGCAGTGAGTCAATCTTATGCCATTCCACATGGTCGAGGTCAGGGATCGGGAAGGACGGGCTGTCGACCGTGATTGTCGTAACCCAGTTGCCAAAAGAGTTGGTCGTGTACTTCAGCACCTTGTCGTTCACCCGCAGCTTGGACGTGCCACTCGGCGCACCAATCACCTCCATCTCCGTCGTCTTGTTGAAGTCGGCCTTCACGTTGAGCGTCGCACCATCGACGGAGACGGAGCGAACAAGGTAGCCGCCATTGATGATGACGGCCTCTGGATTCATGACGGAGCTGCCATACGCGCTGCCGTTCGCGGGCAGTACGGGAACCCAGTAGTTGTACGCCGCATTACGGTCTGTCACGTCAGCTGCGCTCTGATAGGAGAGGAGAGAGACTCATACCAATAAGATAGACGGTGAGACTGCCAATGTTGACAAACTGCCGCTTAGGTGCCGTGTGCCATTGAACCACAGTTATACCAGCCGATACGTGAACCGTGGCGCTGCTGGCCTCGCTTTGACTAGTGGGGGGAATGCCATTGTATGCGAACTCATGCGTCTCGTTGGGGCCACCGTACATGATAAGCACGGTCTTGTTGCCGAATTTCTTCCATGTCAAGATCTCGCTAGTGGAGTAGAGCAGACTGTGGTCTGGTCCAACAACGTAATCTGTGACGTGGACCTTGGAGTCGCGGCGGCTGAGTGTGAGCGTCGCATTGCCAATCTGCGGTATAGTGGCAACGTCTGCAGATGTGGGCAATTTGAGCTTATACGAGACTGAGTCCGTACTCGCGTAGTCTGCGTGGCGAGCGACAAAGAACCTGCCTGTCTTGTCTGCGTTGAGAGGCGTGATGGCAATCGCTGCGTTGTCACTGTAGGCTGTGGTGCTGAGGTCTCCAGGAACAGTGAGGAGGTAATTGGGCGACACTTTGAGAAACTCGCCCTGGAGCTTGAGCTCCGAGTACTTTTCGCGATCGAGAACCCGATTCTCTTTGATGGCCTGTACAAATTGAGCTTCCTGGCTTCACTTCGAAGGCTTTCACACTTACAGCTCCATAGTCGTAGGACGTGTATCCGCCTGGGTGTCCCAGGTTGCCCCAGTTCGTTCCGCCATAGACCTATGTGTGTTAGTCGATGGGGCTTTCTCTCTTCTCATGTGCAGTGAGACCCAACTTACCATGTACTGGCTGAAGATGGCCACGCCTGCAGCAAGATTATTCTTGTTGAAGACGCGGGCAAACTCGTGGTTGACGAGGGCGGCGCACTGGTCAACACCAGACCCGCCCCAGGGGTCGTAGGAGCCACCTTGAAACTAGGCACGGTCAGCATAGGTGCAGCTGGTCGATGAGGGCAAGTGGCTTACCTCGACGATGGCATACGGGGTCTTTGGGCTCTGCCTGACATGTCGTTGGTGCAGGTCTGTCGGCAGCTTCCCTGCTGGCCAATCGGAGGGTTTGTCCTGCATCAAAAGTCAGTTCAACCGCACCACTCAAGCTTCTCGAATTCTATGGTATCACTTACACAGTCAAATCCAAGAGGGTAGTTGTCATGGCCCTGGTCCATGTTAGTGCGGTCTCCGGTTTCCCTGGTCAGATATCAACTCACGTAGATGTCCATCTGGCCCGTGCCACTTCCCGGCGCATAGTAACCGTAGGGACCAACGTCGTTGTTGATCATGGGCATGACAATCCCCGCCCTTCGGGCCTGGTCGATCACGTACTGCATGTACTTTCCATTCGGAAACGGAATCTTGTAGCCGTAGCTGTACTCATTCTCGGGTTGGTAGAGCACAACAGCGCCCCCGTTGGTGATTTGGTGCTTCGCGATGATGCCGCAGATGCGAGCCATATAGCTGTAGGCAAGTCAGTAAGCGCTCCTCTGTAATCGCCCAACGTGTTAACGGGCCGACTCGACTCACTTGTCGGTAGAGCCGAGAAAGTCGCCCGAGTCTGTCCTGAGGACGCCGGTGTTCCTCTGCAGCCAGCCGGGAAAGCCTCCGCCGCTCACTTCTGCGTTGATGTACGGCCCCGGGCGGGCGAGGAGGTAAATGCCCGCCTGCTTGGCTGCCTCCAAGAACGGCTCCAGGTCGTGAATGTCTTCGGCGCGGAACTCGCCACGCTTGCCTTCGAGGAGCGCCCAGTCGACGTAAAAGGACACCATGTTGAAGCCCGCGGCCTTGATCTTTTGCAGCACATCCAAGTGCAGCGATGGCACGGGTTGACGGAACGGGTGGTACTCGCCCGAGAACATCATGGCGCGCTCGCCGCGGATGAAGAGAGAGTGCTCATCCCAGGTGACGATGTCCTGAAGCGCCCGCTTCTCCGGCTCGCGGATGATGTTGTATGGCCTGCCGCCTGGGCCAGACAGGCTGAGGCCGTAACAAGGCGGCAGCGCCAGCGCCGCGCAAAGCGCCGCAGACAATTTCATTGTGCGTAAAGATGCTTGTCGTAGTCAGGATATCGATCTTCTTCACCCCGCCAGCTTTTCAATGACAGCCCGCCTCCTTTGTGGGAATGAGACATTGCATTCCTTTATATCATGGCCACCTACGAGCACGTACGAGCCGTCCTTCCAACAGCCCCTCCCTTTCTCTTGCCCCTGGAAGACTTCGTCCAGGCTCCCAACGGCCCTGGGAGAGGCCTGCTGCCCGTCGGTCCGATGCATCATGGGCCAGATGCGCGATGAAACCTCGTTTTTGGCCATGCGGTGCCTTCCCCCGGAGACATGACGTGCTGTCCGACGAGGCATTGGCCCTCCATGCCGGTCGTCTGGAGATTACTAACATGCAGGCCGGGTTAGAATAGGGAGCGGCTTGGACTCTCGAGTGTGGAGTGATCAAGTTGAGGCCGTGTCATTGGAGGTCCGAGACAACGGTGCCGACCTCCCCAACCCATCTCAAGCATGCCGATCACCCGCACCAACGAGGTCGGACGCACCCGCGCCAGACAGGTTGCTGTAATTTAGCGTCCCAATCCGCGTTCACGCGAGCACGGCGTGTCGGCACATGGCCAGAGCCTACCAGCGCAATGCCGGGTCATTTGACGCCTGCGCTCATCAGCCACCTGTCCTACCTGCCGCTTCCGACCTACATAAATTGAGTAACTCACATGCATCGTCCGCCAGGAAGTTAGATTAGCTGCCACGTCGGGTCGTCTTGTCCCGACTCCTGCATTATCGGCTCGATAACGCCGACAGGAACGCCCGCGTGCTTCCAGATCTTGCCGTCCTTCATCACGAAGCTCACTTTGCGCAGCGCCTGCTTGTCCTCGCGCGGGTCCGCGTCCAAGGCGACGATGTCGGCGCGGCTGCCCTTTGCAAGCCATCCGAAGCGGAAGCCGCAGGCGTCGCCGCCGCAGGCTTCCCAGCCGCCCACCATGCAGGCTTCTAGAACTTCCTCCACTGGAATTCCCGCCTCAATCAGGAGCTCCATCTCCCGGACGCCTTGCCCGTGGTTGAACGTGCCAGTGTCGCCGCCGGCGGCCAAGCGAACTCCCATGTCAAACGCGCGCTTGGCTTGCCGTTGGGCCGCTTCTACCTGGTCCTTGCGGATGGCTTCGGTGGCTGCAAGAGTTGGGACCAGGATGGTGTTGTGCCTCCTTAGCTCCTTGAGCAGTTCGTCCCCGCCTTCTGATCCGTGCTCTATCGATGTAACGCCAGCCTTGGCGGCCATGATGGCACCCCTGGCAGTTCCTGCATGGCAGGCCACGGGAAGCCCAGCGAGCCTCGCCTCCTCGACGATGCAATCCATCTCCTCTTGCGTGAACATGACGACCTGAGGGTTCGCATCCCTAGGCGGAAAGGGCATGCCGCCAATGTATGGATGAGTCTGTACCGGTGGAAACCTCATAATCTTCCTCCTGTAGTCGGCGTAAAACTTGATGACATCCGCACCATCGGCAACTCTCCTGCGAACTGCTCTCCGGACGCCGGTCGGCCCATCACACGAGTTGGATATTGTCGGTCCAGCTACACCATTGGCTGCGTTTTCGGTACGCATCTCATAGGAGCCCGTACTGGTCAGTGCGTGCGTCGCAACGAAGAGTCGCGGGCCCGGAATGAGCCCGCGATTGATGGTGTCCCTGAGATTGGCGTCGAACGAGCCCATCCCCTCGGAGCCCAGATCGCGATATGTGGTATATCCGGAAAGTAGGGCGCGACGAACATGGTTGGTCGCGCGGACAGTTCGCTCGACGATGCTCTCGTCGCGCATCTGCTCTTGAGCCGGGCGCTCCCTGACAATTGGTCAGCACCGAGTGTCGGGAGGCTTGGGTGAGGTTACGTACTCGTAGGAATGGAGGAAAATGTGAGTGTGCGCATCGACGAAGCCTGGCATAACGACCTTGGATCGAAGGTCTATGTCACTGGGCTTGATGGCCTTGTCCGCAGAGGCATCTCGCTCAAAGACATCGGCAATGGTGCCCGTCTCGGTGTCGACCTGTATAGATACATTCTGCCTGAAAGCCTTGGTCTTGGAGTCAAAGAGAAGACCTGCGTGCAGGGCGATGATCCTGGGCGCCATGCTGGCGGTGTCAGGAATTCGTGCGCAGATGAGCTGCAAGGGGAGAGAGAAGGCGCTGACGAGATGGTCTTTCCACCGGTAGCCGGCTGGAAGGTCCAGCTCGCGGCTTCCTAATTAGGCAGAACTTGAATACAGGTAGGATTCGGGGAAATCAAGGCGGCAAAAATGACTGGTTTTGGCTCGGAAACAGCGATTCAATTCAATTTAGAGCCAAGAACCCAGCGGCGGTCGAGTCTTTCATCGATGTTGGGCATTGATCATGGATATCTGACCTGCGATGCAAGGCCAGGTTGTACAGTGGCATGGACCGCTGCAACGCTTACAACACCACCCACTCACTATTCAATTGTTGCTTGCACCATAATGAGCGACAAAGCAATGCCGACAGTAGCCGCATATTTTGCTAGACCGAGACGGTTGTGTGAGTTGCTAACTGCGCGGAAAACGAATAGTGAGGACGGTACAGGGTAGGCAGCTTTCTCAAACTATACCCAGCTCAGGCGAACGTCCTCGGTGGCATTCGGGTGGTGTAGGAGCTGGTTTGTGCGAATTCGACATCCAATGTGACCCGAGAACGAATCGCAGCGGATGGCGCCTCGAAAATCCACTGGCGCGGTCCTCTTCCCCAAGACGGAGCCGCGTAGCGACACAGCTGTTAAAAACGGCCGAGCTTACATCGCGATGTCACATTCCCAACAGGATGCAGACAGACGGGAGGACGATGACGCCGCAGAGCTGCCGCGCCCGTCCGCCTTCTCACATAGAACGGAAAAACCCTTCGCAACGGCCCTGTCGGACCGATCGCATTGCGAGTTCCCTGTTTTGAGTCTTTGGAAACGGTAGCTTACGAAGGCTGGAGAACATGACTGTACTGGTCGGAGAGGCTCGTATTGGGTGGATTGGCGAGTGCTGCGCCTCGACCAAAAATAGGTCCGTCCACCCATCATCCAGGGCAGGTATAAAGGCGCTGCTCGCGTGGTGCAGCAGCGTCGCGGTGCCTGTGGCGGGCTTGCAGCGCTGGGCGGCGCCTGTCCTGCATGTGTGCTCGCGCGTGCGTGTCGGCTGTGCTTGTGTGTGCGCGAGTGGCGCCAGCCTGTCGGCCGCCCAAGGGGACTGGACGCTGCACAACGCCTGGGCGTCACATGAGGCGTCCCACGCCCAATGAAACGTCGGCCTTGCACAAAAACGGCCGCTTGGCCGTGGGCAGCTAGAGCACGGGATCGCCCTCTGTGATACCCCGACCCCAACAACCTCACACGCCATGGCTTCCCTCCCAATGGCTTTGGGCCTGGCTGACAGTGGTCCTCAGGCCCCCGCGAGAGAGGCAACGGATGCGTTCCCACGATGCGACGTCAAGGACAGCCCGACGTGCCGCTGTTGCTGAGCACCCGCCCACCTCGGCCTGTGATGTGCATCCTGTCTGTGCATGTCCGTCCGAGTGTGAAAAAAAGTGGACTTGCCATCAGGGGCAAACGAGGCTGTTCATGCTGTCATCTCTGCTCGCAGGCCAATAACGGGAGGGTCGGTACGAAAAAGATCCGCGTCGCATCTGCCTGTCGCTGTCTCAACAGTGCTCCGCAGTTGTCGCGGGGCGACGGAGAGCTGAAAGTACTCGTACCTGTACACAGAGATGTGCTGATGCACAAAGCCTGCCCAGTGCGGAGATACAAAGACATTTGTGCTTCGTGCGATATGACACCCACGTACGAGTGGAGATGCATCGTCAGGGGACTGTTTTGCTGTTCATGCATCCGGCCCTCTCCTCCTCTCAACATTTCGAATCAGGGCCGGCAGTCAATTTTTTTTTTCGGGGTGCAGATGGAAAACAATAGACCTGCAGCGGTGGCGTTGATATCGTGCAGCGGCTGCTGGACCTGAGCCGATGGACTGACACCACTCCGCGAGGTGGCGCCGCGCCAGGCCAGGCGAGGGGACCTGCTGGGCTGGTTGGTGGCAGCCCAGCGCTGGCAGGCCATCTACGCTCAGGCTCCCGTCAGCGTCCACCTCCACCTCATGCATCCATCCATGGACCCAAGCTCCGAGAAAAATGCACCCGGTCGGTGGGTGTCCAGTGCGTCTCACCCGCCCGCCTGGTCCTTCCGCAGCAAGCGCACCTCAGGTAGGCCATCTTGGCCGTCCACCTCATGGGTGGCATCCATGGATGGTGGTGGTCCCCTCCCCGGGGGCCAGTCCTACGGTCCCACGCACCGCAGCGACCACCCAGACCCCTGCACCAACTGCATAAAAGTCTCTCGCTCTGGCCCTCGCCGCCTCCTCCCCTCGTGCTCCGTGACTCTTCTCCGCCCTTCGGTCATCCCATACGTGTGTCCTGGGCCAGCCTGCCTTCCTTTGCGTATTCCCTTGTTGTTTTCCCTACTCCCTCGCATCTTTCGCGTCCTCTCGTTCCCTTCCTCGCCTCGTACAACCAGCGTCGGCCTCGAGCCTTCCATTCAGACAATCCAGCCTCACTCGCGCGCCGTCCCATCGCGGCTCCGCCTGGCGACCGGCGAAACACCGAATCGCTTGCGTGGCCCCCCCTCGAGCAACGCGCGTGCGAGACCACCAGCAACATTCGCTTCCATCGAAGCGACTTGCAACGGGGCGACGAACATCCGCAACGACCGGCACGCGCGATAGTTTATTCTCCGACGACCTTTACACCCTTGCACCGACCGCTTGTCCCGTCACTCAGTACCATATCTTTTCTTGACACCAAAGTACCAAAGTACATCATCAACAATGTACTCTTCCAACCTCGTCCGCCTCCTTGTGGTGGTGGTGTCGGTGCTCCTCGTTGCCCAGGCCTCCTGGCTCGAGGGCAACCGCTTCGCCGTCAGGTCTGTCGCTCGCAGACAACTGGGCGACCTCGTCGGCGGCTCCTCCACTGGTAGCTCCGCATCACCCAGCGCCACGACGCCTCCGTCTTCCAGCAGCTCTTCATCGTCTTCGTCTACGTCCTCGTCCAGCTCGTCGTCGTCTACGCCCGTAACGTCGGAGACGCCCAGCTCAACCCCTTCGTCGACGCCAGCCCAGACGACGCCCTCTTCCAGCTCGTCCAGCGCTGGCGCGACCACGCCGCCAACTACGTCTTCTTCGCCCTCGCCCACTCCAACCCCGACCCCTGAGGGCAGCTCGTCCAGCTCGATCCCGACCCCGGTGGTCTCGACGAGCATCGAGGTCGTTACCATGACCAACAGCGATGGATCCAAGACGACGGCGTCCTCTACCAAGCTCACCACGTCTACTCCGGGCCTCAACTCTGGCAACTCTGGTCAGACCTCGGGCATGTCGACTAAGACTCGCAACACCGTGATCGGCGTCGTGGTCGGCGTTGGTGGCGCCATCATCCTCGGCGCCCTGGGCCTCGTGGCATGGAGGGTTTGGGGGCGCAAGAAGCAGAACGATGAGGCCGATGGGCTCATGGACTACAACATGAACCTCGCCCAGCAGGAGAAGCCAGAGCATGGAGGCTCCCCGCCCCCTCAGCGGACTCCCTTCCAGTCCACCTTGGAAAACTACCATCAGCCAACCCACGTCAACGCCTCGTCCAACTTCTGATCCGAGTCAGTGTCGGCAACGGACCAAGAAGGGAAGAGGCACCAAAAAAAGGCATGACATCATTTATACTGATGCTTTCAACGCGGCGTTCCGGATTTTGATACGTCCCCGTGGATTCATTTTTTCGCCCGGTCGACGAGTCGCCGTATGACATATTCAAGGCGGAGCGCTCTGTTACCGCAGCGCGCCTGAGCATGCCGAATTTGCGGAATAAGGGGCACAAGCGTCCTTTCAAGGAGGAGATGAGCGATGCCCAGCTGTGGGGGAAGTCGGAGCGCTGGCCGCAGGATCCTCCATCCTCGCGGCCGGTGGCACCGAACCTGCGCAAATTCACGTTGCAGCATGCATAGCGAGCCTTGTCGAGTACCACATCTAGAATAGACCACTTAATAATACGGATATCGATATGTCCACGATTCATTGCAAGGTCGGACGAATCATCAGGCGAAGTGCTTCGGGCCAGCGGGCATGTGATGCCATGTGGACGGGGTGAGTCAAACGGTCTCGTGAGAAGAGTCAAGACAAGAGGTCAGATTGCTTTCTATTTATACTCGACTCGTTACTGAGCTGGGCAGCTTGATGCTCAGCTCCTTTGCCTACGATGGAATGGGACTTTTGAGGCACCAGTCTCAGCACAGCTCGTTTTGAGTTTCTGGACGACCAGCCTCGCCATGCCAAGTGTTTCTGGTGCATCATTCATACTCAGGACACAGTGTGTTGGCGGGCTTGTCGGCCTCCTCGCTTGAGCGGCGCCCACCCCGCCATTGCTCAACGAGGCGGGCAACGCATGAGCGTGAGACATTCCACGGCAAGGAGGGGCATGCGCTGGAATGCGACGCGTTGAGGGGCAGGTGCCGCGGGATATGCGGCAAGAATGCTTTCACAGAGAGTGTTGACTGGAGGGCTGCGAAATATGGATTACAGCGCCATGGGTTGTTCTGCCTACTGGGGGTTGTTGGACGGGTTTCGGACCGTAAGGGTAGGTCGCGATGGTTCGACAGTAAGTCCCGTCTCCATGCCCTGAAGCAAGGAGAACACGAGTCAAACAACACGCACCAGCCGATCAGCCCTCACGAGCACGGATGGGATGGGTGCCTGCAGGACGTGTCGTCCAATGGCGAACAGCTCCGCGTGGGAGTGACGTTACCGTCGCGCGTCACCGGCTGGGCCAAGGCAGCCCGAAACGAATTTTTTTTTCTTGACTTGCCCCCCTCCCCAATGCGTTCGTCCGTTTGTTGCCACCCGAAGAGCTCGGCCACCCGTCAGAAGCAAGTCCCGCGCCGGGGCCCTCTCGCGACAAGCTGCAGAGCTGCAGGTTGTGGATGTCTCTTCGTTCGTCGCGAGGGTCGAACCGTGCCCGCTTTAGTGGTGGTGGTTTGACGCCACGGCCAAACTCAATCCGCAGTGCGCGCACTGATGAGAGAGGTGCGGGTCGTCGCGCGTCCCCGTCCCCGTCGGGCGCCGTGCTTGTGTTCCTGGAGCCAAAAAAGGCAGAAGCCATTGCCGTCTCCCTCGTCAGGCCGCCGCCGCCGCCGCCGCCCCATCGCCCGCCAACACACACACACAAGGGACACAATGGGGCACTGGGGTCGGGCGCGGGCTAGCGCGCCATCTGTGGGGAATGATTGAATGATTGACTGAATGGAGCGAGTGGGTGAATGGATCTCGCTGCTCGCCGGGCTGTGGCTCGCGCTCTGGCTGGCGACTTGCGTGGGCGTGGGCTTCGGGCATTCGTGATGGGATCCATTGCATCATGGACCCCTACGATAGGTACCACGGGGGTTCCGGTCTCAGAAGCCCGTGGCATGCCAACCGGCTAAATATTTTTTCTGATTTCGCGGGACGGGGACGGATTCACGTCATGCCCTCTGTCTGCAGCAAATGAAAACAACCAGGCCCGTTTGCACGCCGCCTGAACACTTGCGGAAGGCCCTGGCAGCTGGTAATAAAACCAGAGCTCCTGGTGCTAGCCGAGTCCATGATGCTACCGCGGCGCGTCGAGTCGTGGCGGGTCCCGTCCCTGGCGCGGCGTTTAGGGATACATGCGCTCGCTGTAGAGCGCCATACTCGGCCGCCGACGCTGACGACCCGGCCGAGGTACTCTTCATCGACGACACCCCTGTCGCGCAGAGACGGCCCGGGTGGTCTGTTGTATCCCGCTGGGCGGGCATGCGGGCCACTCATCAAACGGCACGGCCAGCGGGCAGCAGCAGCACCTCGGGCCCCCAGCGTGGGAGCGCGCCGACCAGCCAGACGGGGTGCAGAGGTCCTGGTGGCCGGCCACTCGTTCATTGCTCGGTGGTGCGGGCTTTGCTTGAATAGGTACCTATGGAGGTGCAGGCCCGCCGCCGCCGTCGACATTGACGCGTGCACTGAGTCCAGCTTGGGTTGGCGGGCACCTAGTCGTCAACACCGACGGGACCCTGCAATAACAGCAGGTGCCCTGGACGGGCTGCCCCGTACCTCCAGCTCAGGGCCCTCTGTCAGCGCCAACCCGCCCAGCTTAGGTGTGGTTGGCCACCCCCCCAAGACCTCCGGCCAGTTGGCCCCTTCCCACCCGCAACCTGGAACCTTTCCATTCGATTTGGCCCGAACCTTTGACCTTATTTCTTCGACATCATCCCTCCCGCCCCGGCCGCGACCGTCCCCCTTTGACCGTCCGATGTGTCCGGCCGCACCGATCCATCTCTGTTCCCGTGCCAGCGCCGTTCTTCTTCTGATGCCATCGCCGTCGTTCCTTTAATTTGTCGACACGGAGGCGACTGCCCCAGCCGAACCGGCCCCATCCCCCACGACCTCCTGCCCTGCGCGCGCCGCGTTAGTCGTCCGCTAAAAAGCCCCCCTTTCCCGCCCGCGGGAAAGCTCCTTGGTGGCCACCACGACGCGTCGCGTAACCAGCTCACGACGGCCCCGACGCACCCCGGGCCCTCGAGAGTGCGAGCGAGCGAGCGAGCGAGCTTTGGAGTCGAGACGCGAGGAGATAGAGAGAGACTCAGCTGCAGGCGACGGGTTCTTCGTCTGCGCTGATCTCGCTAGGTGAGTGCTGAGACGGCCGCTCGCGAGCCTGCCATCCACCAACATCCTTACTTCCCGTCCCGGCAAACGCAAACCGAGCAAACGTCCCGAAACCCCAAAGCTAATTTCAGGCGCAAACAGGTTCCAGTAAAGACGTCGCCGCAAAGTTCGCCGGCGGCTTCTGGTCCTCGTGCACGCGCACAGGACGGCCCTGTCGATTCCTCGTCTGAGATCCCTCAGCCGCAGGTGTCACCGGCTCTGTCCACCGCGTCCACCGCCGACGGCGACGAAGACATCGAGTCGTCTCCCGCGCTCCCGCCGCTTCCCGCCCCAGTCCTCCCTGGACGGGTCGCCGAGTTACTGCGGACGCCGCCTCCCGAGGCGGGCGAATTTGGCACTGCCAGCTGGGGCTCCCCGTACCCCCAGACGGACGCCAATCTCCGCCGACGGAGCTTCAGCAGCGAGCTATCGGACGACTCGCCGATCCACCACCTCAACATCGACACTCCTTTTCTGCGGCAGCAACCTGACGCTGCGCCTTCCGAGCCCGAGTCACAGACCCCCATCAGCGCCGCGGCTGCTGTCCTTGCGAACAGGGCTCGACGGCGACAGAGGGGCCTGACGGAAGATTGGATCCGCACGCACACCACGGGCATCGTCAACGCTGAACCTAAGCACTGGTTCAGCGACGGGAGCGACTCTGAGCACTCTTCACTGAGCGGCTCGGACCTTGCTTGGTTTGCCGACGGCGACCTTCGCACCCCCAAGCCGAGTCGCAAAGTTAGCGGACAATCGGCAAAGAGACGTTCACGCCATCCGCGCTCCAAGTCCAGCCTCGAGACGCTGAGACCCGGACTCTCGATCAGCCTCAAGCCAGGCGAGATAATCGACATGGACGCGACTCCTGATCTGGCCACTGCGCCTGCTACGGAGCCCGAGCTCTCTCTGGCTGCCGATAAGCGCGACATTTCTCCCACTGTCGAGTCTCCTGAAGAAAAGACGTTTGAAGCCGCGATGGAGGAGGAATCACAGCGACCCGCTACTCCTGCCAAGAGCTTGGAGAAGCCCTTGCCCAAAGAGCCGATGGCGAGCCCACGTCTCAGAAAGAAGGTACCGTGGAAAGGCAAGAACATTATGATTTCCCTGCCTCGTGATGATCGGCGTGGGCGTCCTGGGAGCACCCCAATGCCCCTCCGAGCTGACGAGGTCGAGCGGATGATTGACTCTTGGAAGGAACTGGGGTACTCTGTGAACGGCTTTGACCTCATGGTGGAGGGTTCCCAACCGCATGGTACCGCCAATTCGCAAAGCCGACTGGGCTGGCCCGACCCTGATGAGCTGACCCAAGAGCGGTCTACGAGGACGTACCAAGTTACTTTGCCAGATCTGAATGCTTGGGCCAACTACGTCAACGAGCTTCAGGAGGCGAAGCTCCGAGCACTGGGGGTCTCCTTTGGAGATGATGAGCTACAGGCACCATCCATTTCTCCGCCGACCACGAATCCATCGCGACAGCCCTCTGCGCAGTATCCGCCACTGCCTTTCTCTCCTCCTGTGCCGACGTCGTCGGCTTCCAGCAACCAGGCGATTCCCGGATACCCTTTCCCGGGACAATTCATCCCGCCTGTTCAGAGCCCTGGACTGCCCACGGGGCCATCACCCGTCCCTTTTGCGGCGGTACCTGGAAAGTTCAACCCTCGTCAATCCATCTCACTGCCAGCCGGCAACTCACCATTCCAGTTGGCTGCTCAGTCTCCCCATGGATGGCAAAGCCAAAGTGGCGTTCTGCATGGACTCAACCGCCACGACTCGCCTTCGCTGATTCATCTCAACGGCATGCTCTCGCCGCAATCGCCGATGCCATACGGGCTTGATGGTCTCCAGCAGACAGTGAGCCCGTCTTTCAACGTGCACAATCGACATCAGTCTCTGCAGTACTTTCCCCAACAGATGGGTGCCAGGGCCTCGCCACGGTTGCAGGAGGTTCGCGAGGAGGATGAGCTTGCTAACAAGAGCCCATCGAAGACGCCAGAACCCCTGCAGCAGCAGCAGAACCCGGAGAGCCTGCAAGCCGAGATTGACGACGCCGAATACCACCTCGAGGAGCAACTTCGGAATCAGCTTGAGCACGAGGATTACAACCCACAGAACCAAGCCGAGAGACCTGCCGCCGATGCGGCGCAAGCTGCGCCTGCTCACTCTCGCGACGGGTCCAGCAACGTCCCAGTTGCTGAGCGGTTTGCACAGGAGCCCAGCAAGCCCCTCGTTCTGCATCATCCCCGTCCTCATAGCCGAGGCCATTCGTTGTCGCAAAACTTTTTCCGCGAGCATGATGAGACTCAAGACGGCACACAGGCTGGTCGCAACCAGCTGAATGCCCTGAATGACATCCCCGAACAGGCAAAGAGCGACGAGGCTTATGAGATCGAGACAAACCCTAGCAACCTCGGTACTCCCGTCCAGGACTTTGACTTTGCCGCTGCCCTCGGACACCATCAGAAGGCTCTGTCCAACGCCAGCAACCCCTGGCAGGACAATATGTCGACCACAAGCACCAGACGGTCCAGTCATGGAAGCAAGCCTTCATTGTCCGGGCTTAATGTGCAGGCACCAGAGTTCAAGTTCAACCCCGCCAACACCTTCACGCCCGGCTTGTTCAATTTCTCGGGCAACAACTTCCAGCCGGCCGTCTTCCAAGCCGGCAACGTCATGGGTTCTCCGGCCAACTCTGTCTCGCAGCACGGCGGCTCCGGCAGGTTTCACGCGACGGCACCGTCCTTCTCTCCTGGGCAGACTGACTTCAGCTTCTCGACGTCTGGGCCCAAGTTCCGACCCGATGCGCCGTCGTTCACTCCGTTCCAATCCATCTCTGGCTCTGTCACTAGCCCGATCGGGTCTGGCAGCGAGAACGGGAAGAGGAACTCCATCTTCGGGAACATCAGCGTCACTAGCGACATCATCAAGCCAACCAAGAAGTCCAAGGCTATCCCCATTGTCCGGCCGTCTAGCAGATCGTCTGCCAAATCTGGCAAGTTTTCCACTCGAGACGATGAGATTCGCGAGGACGATACTGGTCGTCTAGCGAATGATGAATCGCGAGTCAAGCGAGCCAGGAGCGAGGCGCCGGACGGCAATGACGTACCTCTTTTCGCAGAGCGGCCAGATGACCTTGACCGTGATGAGCACAGTGGTGCGGAGGAGGTCTCCGCTCTCGAAGAGGGCGATGACGCGCTGCCCGTGGACACATCTATCTCATCGATGGCGACGGATCATATGGACACGCAGGCTACGACCGCGGCTGCTTCTGAGACGTCGCCGGCGGTAGAGAACGGCAACTGGACTCCTTTCGAATTCGACTCCAAGTTCGAGGCTCAAAACTTCAGCGAGGCGCAGGCCTTTGGAGATACCGGCTTGGGCCAGGCGGAGCATAAGAAGTCCATGTCTGCTACGGCGGAACCGTTCGTGCCCAGCGGGGTCTGGCCATCAGACGAGCAAGACGAGCAAGACCAGGACAAGACTGTCGAACCCGAGGTTTCAGACGTCAAAGATCGCGAGCCCTCGCCTCCGCCTGCAAGACGGACAATTACCCCGAAGGGACTGGGCGCGTCGCGCTTCGCCTCGCCGCCACCGAAGCCCCAAGGTCTTGCGGGCTCGCGCTTCGCCAAAGAGCCTTCCCCCGAAGAACAGCCCCAGAAGCCCATGTCTGACCAGGAGATCATCAAATCTGTGGAAGAGCAAGACGATGCAGGTCCTCTTGAACGACTCATTGATATTGGAGAAGACCGCGAACCAACGTTTGAGGAGATCGACGCGGTTATGCAGCATCTCGAGACTGACCCTTCGATGGGAGTCAACAAGAACAAGGACACTATCCCGCAATGGCAACGATCAGCCACAGCTGAAACTGAGATCGACATTCGAACCCATGAACTGCAACTCCCGAAGGACCAGTTCACCGGCGATGGAGCGAGCGCTACGCCTCGTCAATATCATGCTACGCCCGAGGCGCCTCCGATGCTCAGCACTGAGTTGGAGGATCCCTTCGTTGATCCGCCAATCAGCCCTCGCTCTCCTGATCTCGACAACGAGTTTGACGAGCCTCAAATCGAAAGCGAGCTTGCCAGTGACTGGGAAGGTGCTTTCACTGAAGATGAGCACGACAAGCTTGCTAGCCGGACCCAGTTCTTTGACGGGCGTGTCAATGATATTGTTGGTAACCTACTGGCGGCCAGGCTGGAGCCCTTGGAGAGGTCTCTGTCGGCCATTCAGCATGCCGTGGCGCCCAAGTCGCGACGTGCTCCTTCCCCGCGCCGCGAAATGCGCAGCATTTCCGTCGAGTTCCAAGAGAGCGACGCTGATGACGAGGACGACGACCTGCCTGCGCCTCGCCGGTCCGCTAGCCCGCGCCGGGATCGCAGAATGGAGTTCATCAAGGCTGCCGTCATTGAAGCGTTGGGTTCGCAAGAGCGCCAGCCCCCTGCTGCTCGAGGAGAAACCCCCGCGGAAGAGTCGGTACTCCGCAAGGCGCTCGAGGAAATGAAGGAACAGATCGCTGCCAGCTTACAGGCTCGATCTGAGGAGCAAGAGCGGGCGAACACCCATGACACTGAGATTCGAAAGCTTCTCACAGCGAGACCTGACGAGCAGCTGCTGAACAAGGTCGAGAACCTTCAGTCCAGGCTTGCTGAGGCGGAAGAGCGCCTCCAGGACCAGTATGCCCTCGCTGAAAAACAGGTCACGGAGCGCAGAGCTGCCGAGGATGCCGCAGCGGAGCTCCACCGCAAGCTCCTGAACGCTGAGACTCGGGTGGAGGTTGAAATTATCAACCGAAGCGTGTTCGACCAGCGTGTTGCGGACCTCGAGGAGCGTCTGAGGCAGCAGGAGGACAAGACCGAGGATGAGGTCAAGATTCGACGCAGTGCCGAAGATAGGCTCTCCGAGGTACAACGTCTGCTGAGAATCTCATCTGAAGAGGAAACACGCCTCAGAGACGTCGTTGAGGAGCGTGATCAGAAGATCAAGGGTCTCGAGCAGACTGGCGGTAAGGCTGCCATGCGGATGACCCTCCTCGAGGCTGCGCAGACCAATTCTTCTCAGTCGCAAACGGAGATGACCAACAAGATCAACACACTCGAGGCGGACCTTCGGACCGTGCGCCAGGACAACAACCACTGGCGAGCTGAGGCCGAACGAGCCGACGAAGCTGCCAGGCGCAAGTCTGGCGAACTGGCCTACGTGATGGAGGAGAACAAACATATGCAAAAGACACTCAACACGTTGGCCACGCAACTCGAAGAGAACGAGCGCCTGCGCGAGACGTGGCGCACAAAGTTCCTGTCTCTGCAGGATGACATGGGCAAAGCCGCTAGGGACATTGCCGAGGAGAACGCCCGCCGCATCAAGAGAGATCAGACTATGATTGCCCGACAAGAAGTGCTTGATGCGAGATTGCAGGCCGAAGCAAAGACTCGCGAGCGCCTGGAGGTAGAAATGGAGCGCCTCCAGATGAACGAGCGTACGGGGATGCGTGCCGTCAGCGAAAACAAGCGTCTGGAGGGCTTGTTGGCCGAGCTGCGCACCGAGAACCATAAGCTTCAGCAGGCTGCGTCCCGTTACCAGCGCGAGTTCGAGGAGGCTCGGGAGTCTGGAGCCAGCGAAGTCAAGCGCACCCGGATGGCCCTTCAGACCGAGGTCGATGCTGCCAACCATCACGTCAACGTTGTCCGAGAAGAGCTCGAGGAGCAGAATACGAAGCTGCGCACTGAATTGGACAATGTCAAGCTCGAGGCCGACACCGCCAAGGCTCAGAGCGAGATGCTCCTGGAAGAGGCCCAGAGTACCAAGGCCACTGAGCTGGAGCAGCTCAAGCGCAAGCACGAGAACGAAACCGAGGACATGCAGGCTCGCTACGAGCGACAGGTCAGCAACGCCACCGAGGATGCCCAGCGAACAGAACAACAGCTCCTTGAGCGCCTTAGCCTGTCGTCGTCCAAGATTGAGCACCTGCAGGACCGCGTCGTGCACCTCGAGGACAAGCTCGAGATCGCCAAGGAAGCCGCCGCAGCTGCAGCTCAGGCTGCCAAGTCGGCTGGTGTCGAGCCCGGCCCAGCCGCCGCTGTCATTGCCTCCCAGCCCAAGGCCGTCGACAGGAAGCTCGAGCCGCCCGAGAAGATTTCTCCACAGGCCCTCCGCGAGTCCATCATGGTTCTCCAAGAGCAGCTCCAAGCCCGCGAACAGAGAATCGAGGAACTGGAGCAGATCGTGGCCAAGTCCGATCCCGATGCCGCGGTCAAGATTTCGAAGCGCGATGACGAGATCATCTGGCTGCGTGAGCTTCTTAGCGTGAGGCACGGTGACCTCCAAGATATCATCACTGCGCTGTCCGGGGATGCCTATAATCGTGAGGCGGTCAAGGATGCTGCCATCCGGCTCAAGGCCAACCTCCAGATGGAGGAGCAGGAGCGGGAGAGGGCAATGAACGGAGGCTCGGCCATTACCTTGCCCAATATTGCTCAGACCATCCAAGCGGCGACGCCACGAGTTGCTCAAGCCGTCGGCCCGATTGCTGCGGCTTGGGGTAGCTGGCGCAAGTCGAGCCAGCCCTCATTCCGAAGCATCTCTGCCGCTCTCAACTCCCCTGCCGGGAGCAACGCCACGCCCTCTAAGAGCAGAGGCGTAACGAGCCCCCAGAACAGCCTGCTCGGGGGCCTCTTAACCCCACCAGCATCGGGTCTGCGCCAGACGCCGCCTGTTGACAACCGACCGCAGCCGACCGCCTTTGCCAGCACCGGCCGTCGTTATACGTCCCAAAGCAGCGCACCGCTTCGTCCGCGGGGCGAGTCGACTGCTTCCCGTCGATCAGATGTGATGCCCTCGGTGCAGAGCACCCCGCCGCGCCAGCACGAGCGAAGAGATCACCCTCAGACGCCGCCTATGATGCGCGAGAGCGGGTATGATTCCGACGCCCAGCCGGGCGACTTTGACGATCATGACTTTTTCGAAGAGGATTAAACCTTCGACAGCAGACCACGCCGCACGTTTCGAGAATGACACGCCGGCGACGTCTGGAACCACTACATATTCAACCTTTCCTTTGTTTCTGCTTTGTTGCCGGAGAGAGAAGACAAAAATGGCTATTGAAGACGAGCAAATGTGCGCAGCGGTCACGAATCACTGCCCCCAGCTTGCGTTCTTTTTCTTCTTCTTCTATTCCACTCAGACTGCGAAATACCACACATCACCACTTGAACCTAGAAAGATACCCCCTTGGATTGGCTGTTGCTGTCTTTGTTTTCACTTCCACTTCGAAGCTGCCTTCGACGACGTCGTTTGCGCACACTTTTTTCCAGCACACAATTCTTCGTTTCCACGAGCTTGAACATGAACTGCTGCCACAGATTGACAAACTGGCACGGGAGCGTCTTTTGTTATTAGCCGTTTCGTGCGCGCTCTCTGTGCTCTCCCAGTGAAGCTGCTCATATCGCCTCGGTGGACGGCGTCGGCGTGTGCGCTTGCTTTCCTTTGTGGGATGCATAGCGGTGGGTGGGTGCGCAGGGAGGAACGGAGGGACGGATGGGGCGGATGGAGCTTGCCTCTCGAGGAGCGCCGTTTAGGTGGAAATGAAGGGCGGGTATGGTACACCGACTTCCTCCATTTGTTTTTATCAGACAACCCTTTTTTGTGAGAAATGCTGTATGAGGTACATAGTAATAATTGCCCTCCTCTTTCTACGTGCTGCGTTGCTACTGCTGCTGCCGTGATGGTGAGTGAAGCTGGTGTGGATGCGCATACGAAGTACGGGGAGCCACATGGTGGCTCAGAGAGGGTTTGTGTTTTATTGATTGCCACTAATACCACATGATTGGGGTATACTGCTTCATGACTAGGTAGTGTACAAGACGCGCAACAAAGACCCCGATCCAAGGGGGTGGGTGCGTGGGCGCATGAGCCTGCCCCGAAGTACTCGCCGCCGGCGCCGGAACGGGGCAAGACGCTCCCGCCGGCAGACAGCCCTGCGAGCCGCAAGCGCAGAATACATGGCGAACAAGGAATATCCCATTTCTCGTCGTCGTCGTCGTCGTTCTCGTCGTCGCCTCCCAACGGCGGGTGGTTCTTCAGGCCGAGCTGAGGAGCTTCTCGACGGCCCACTTGACGGAAAAGTTGCGCAGGTCCGAGTAGTGCTGGCCGACGCCTACGAAGAGGACGGGGACGTTTGTGGCGTGGACGAGGGAGACGAGGGTGCCGACCATGTCGCCGACGGTGTCGCACTTGGAGATGATGAAGCCGTCGAGGGTGCGGACGGAGCCGAAGGCGGCGTTGAAGTTGCGCGCCTGGGCGACGGAGTCGGTGCCGACGAGGGCCTGGTTTGAGGGGCCGGGTGTTAGCCAGGAGCAGGGCATTATTGGGACGGGACAGGGTGAAGGGGGGCGGGGGGTTGAACCAGGAAACATAAGGCAACAAGGCGAAACAGAAACAAAAGGGGGTTGGTTAGGTGTGTATATGGGACGTACCTCGCCGACCATGAGAATCTTGTCCGGCTGCGCAAACTTGGCAAACTTCTCGAGCGACGACATGAGGCGCTGGTCGTTGTGCCGGCGGCCAGCCGTGTCGATGAGGACGACGTCGAAGCCCTCGTGGGCGGCATGGGCGACTGCGTCCTTTGCGACGGCGGCGGCGTCCTTGCCGTAGCCCTTTTGGTAGAGCTCGACCTGGCCGCCCTCACGGGCAGTGAGCTCCTTGAGGTTGCGGACATGAACGGCGAGCTGCTCGACGGCGCCGGAGCGGAAGGTGTCGCCGGCGGCGATGAGAACCTTGTACTTGTTCTGCAGGAGGAAGAAGCAGATCTTGGAGAGGTTGGTGGACTTGCCGACGCCGTTGACGCCGACGATGGAGATGACGTAGGGGCGGGCCTTGCGCAGCGAGGTGGCGGGCGGCGCGGTCACAGCGTCGATCTCGCGGAGCAGGTCGAGGGAGGAGGTAGGCGTGAGCATCTTGGTGAGGGATGACTCCATGGCTGTTTGGATCTTCGAGTTGATGCCTGCACGCTGTGTTAGTGGTGGGTCAACCGAGGGGGTGCTCGGAGCGGTAGAAACATGCCCTCGAAGCTGCCCGTCTTGACGCCGACGAGCTCTTTCTGAACGCCCTCGCATAACCTCACGGCAGCCTCGCGCGCGACGTTCTTTCGCAGGAGGTGCTCCTCCATGCCCTTCATGGCCTTGTCCAACTCCTCCTTTGTCAGGGTCTTGCCGCCAACAACGTTTCGAAACAGCCCGCTGATGGCGTTGACGCCAGAGCCGAGGAGGCCGCCCTTAGCCTCCGTCTGCGTGCTCACTGCGGCCTTCTTGGCCTCGGCGGACGCGAGCATGTCGTGCACCTCGTCGCCGAGGTCTTTGAGCACAAACTTGCCCTTGCTCGAGGAGCCCCAGGTCGACGCATCCACAGCGTCCACGGCGCTTGACCGGCCGACAGTCTCGGCCTCGTTGTCGCTCGACGGGTTGAGCTGTGCAGAGTAGTCCAGCTTGACGTCGTCGCTCTCCTCGTTGGCGAAGCCGTCTGCGTCCCAGACCCGGCGCACCTTGCCGCTCTTCTTTGGCTTGGCCGCCGTCTCGTCGCCTGACGAAGCCGCCGCCGATCCGGCATTTTGGGCTTTTCGTGCCCGTCTGGACATTTTCGCGACGGGACCAGCCTTGCCGACCACCAGATGGCTGCCGCCCGGAGTGGAGGGCCGCGACGTGTTCGGCGTGACTATCGGGGTAGACTCGTTTGACGGCTCATCGGGCGCGTCGTTGTGGAGGGCTCTGCCTCTGTAGGTGAGGCCGGGGGCAGCTGGCGCATCCTCCACAGCGCTGGCTGCCACTTCCCGCGTCGTGGGATCGGCCGAGCTCGACGTGTCTAGCTCTTGGATCTGCTGGTCGAAATAGTCGTCGAACTTGGTACATTCGACAATGGTTGTGTGGGGCTTCTTGAGCTGCTCGCCGTACAGCGAGACGAAGATGGTGCGGATGTTGTCGACGAGCTTGTCGACCCACGAGAGGTGGAAGAGGGATCGGTAGACAGCCTGTGTCGCAAACGCGTTCAGTAGTCGTCCCGTAGTAGAGAGCCGCTGTGCCGACTTACGACAAAGATGATGCCCAATTCCTTCACAATCGTCCACTTGAGCGTGTGCTGGTCCCTCTTGTATGGAGGATTCGTGGCCGCCGACTGCGCGTCCTGGATTGCGCTGGCGCTACGCTTCTCCTCGATAAAGGTGTCGGCGATGAAGCTGTTGACGACGGACGGGTTGACGGGCGCATACGTCCTGGACCACAGGACCACGCCAGAGGTGGTGATGATCTCGAACGTGTCCAACATGGCGGCGTCGGGGGTCCGCCGTGGACCGGGAGAAGGGGGATGGGTGGTGACAGTCGAGGAACGGCGATGGGTCGGAGGAGCGACGAGGAGGAGACTTTTGCAAGCCGGCCAGGTGGCTGCGGCGCGCCTGACAGAGTTTTGACTACTGCCGCCTTTGTACTTGGAGGATCAATAAACAAATTGGGCGACGCAGAATTAATCGTTGGAAGAGGGTGCGACGGGAGGCGAACGGATTGTCGTCGTCGGAGATGCCGTGCCACAGCTTCGGTCGGCGTCGGCGTCGGCCAGTCTTGCAAGGGTCCCGCGCCAACTGATAGCGATAGCGAACTTGTCTTGCTGGTCTCTTTCAGGTCTTGGGGGGCCCGGAACATTCTGGGCCACATCACGTGGTGGCCACTGCCACTTTAGCTCCACTTGATCCCCCAGGCCGCAGTTGCCCTGTAGCGCTGCTAGTGGTGCTGTCCGCTCTCCTGGCATTTGGGCATGGGACACAGTCGAGGCACCAGCCACACTAGAGGGGCTGCCTGCCAGCTGTACCAAAGCGACCACATTTCCTGATGCTCAGGCTCACCAGCCTCATTTGGCCGTAGCACGCCTGGAAGCTTCACAGCCAGCTAAACCTACCACCACCACCATCAACACCGCCGCCCTTCTCCCTCCCTCGCCGTCTGCGAACCCCCTCAACCGCACTCTACTGCCGCCGCAACCTCGACAGCGCCGGCCGACACAGCGAAACTTCCTCCCGCACGCCCACAGACACACGCGACGCGCGCAGCCAGACCGCCTTCCTCCATCGCCATGCAACGGGCGTCGTACGGGCAGTCGCCCCCGTTGCACCACCCCGTGCCGCAGCACGTTTCCACAGTGCCCCAGCTGCGGTCGCCGCCGCCGCCGCCCGGCTCGGCGCAGTCGCATCAGCAGGGCTACGGCGGGACGCCCTACCAGCAGCAGGGCGGCTCGGCGGGCAACGTCTTTGGCGCCTATGGGCAGTTCATGAACGATCCCACGGCGCAGGTGGCCGCGCAGTTTGGGCAGACGGCCTTTAAACATGGCCAGGAATACGTTGAGCAAAACGTGTGTACACCCACTTCTCGACCTCCTCGCCAGCTAGCTTGCGACGCTCGGTAGCTGCAGCAGTGGCGGGCAGGCGTGGCAAAGGGAGGCGTCGGCTTATGCTAACGGTTGCGCAGTTTGGCCGCTACGTCAACGTCTCGGCGTTAAAACACTACTTCAATGTCTCCAACTCGTACGTCGTCAACAAGCTCTTCCTGGTCCTCTTCCCGTGGCGGCATAAGCCTTGGTCGCGCAAGCAAGCGGTCGGCGCGAATGGCCAGGAGGGCTGGTACCTGCCTCCGCGGGAGGACATCAACAGCCCCGACATGTACATTCCAGGTTCGTTAACCCCCGATGCCATGGCGAAGAGTGCTCGAGTCTGACAAGCCGCGCTGCAGTAATGGCCCTCGTCACATATATCCTTCTCTCGACTCTGATCGCGGGTCTGAGGGGTCAGTTCCAGCCGGAGCTGCTGGGGTACACGGCAACGATAGGGCTGGCGGTTGTCATCGTCGAGATAGTCGCCCTCAAACTCGGGTGCTACCTGTTGAGCATCTCAAGCCAATCGCAGCTCTTTGACCTCATTGCGTACTCGGGATACAAGTTTGTCGGCATCATTGTCACGATTGTCGTGGCCGAGCTTGTCAACGGTGGCAAGGGCACGGGCGGCTGGGTTGGCTGGGCGGTGTTCTTCTACACGTTCCTGGCCAACTCGCTCTTCCTGGTAAGTTCTCACATATCCCTGTCAAGATCAGCGACTAACTGCTCCTCAAGATGCGCTCGCTCAAGTACGTTCTTCTCCCCGAGTCGTCGGGCAACACCGGCGGCCCGATGCAGACGGACTCAAGGGCCAAGCGGAACCAGAGGACGCAGTTCCTCTTCTTCTACTCCTACATCGTCCAGCTATTCTTCATGTGGATCCTCACCAGGGCTTGAGCGGACATGGCGACGCATTGGAAGAACGAGGTGCCTCCGATTGGAGGTGGCAAAGGTGACGTTTCGTCGTCAACATAGAACTTGACCGGCAAAGGCTCTATGGCTGATGCGCGAGGACGCCCAGGCAGGCTCATGCCTGACTCATGATGATGGACGAATTGAAGAAGGGACGAGGGCAGCCTTTCATCACAACAACTGCCGTGTATCCAGTAATCAAGGAGGGGGGGGAAACCCAGGCGCGGAGGCGTATGCGTCAACGGCGTTGGAGCCATTGGCATATAGACAGGATGACGAAAAAATAACAAACAAACACCCTGCTAAAATGCACAAATCAAGAAAGATCGTCCGTGGAAGCGTCTCATCAATGCACCGTGCGCAGCTGGGCTGAGACGCCGCCACGAACGCAACAGCCCCTGGCGACATGGACATGGACATGCGGCGCCGTGCCAGGCCGTTGCTGCGATGGGACGCCCAGTGGAAGAGCCCCACCACGTGACAGCCCGCCCAGCTTCATACAAGTACACCACGTCGCCTCAAAACCAAGAGCGCGGCCCCTTTACACGCACCCTCACAATACATTGCATTTCCTCCATTAACGAGGATTGCGGGAAAATTCTTCTCTTTCTCTTTTTCTAAAATACGCTGAAGCCGCCCTGCGTCGGAAGAAGGAGAGGTGAAAGGGATCCAAAATGGCGCGCCACCCAATCTTCAACGCGACGCTGCAGGCGGCCCTGCTGGGCGCCATCTCCAATGTGCTGGCGCAGCTCATCACGGCGAACAGAAACAAGGTGAGGACGAGCAAGCCGATTGCGCTTTTCGTGTGTTGTTTGAGCGTGGCGTTTGGTGTTGGCAACAGAAGAGGCCGATACTATAAGTTGCCAGCTAGCTAGCATGACTGGAAGAAAGGGGAGGGGCGAATTTGACGGTGTGCGAGGAACCGTGGCTGACTCTCCGCAGACTGAGATGGCGATAGACTGGATCCCCGTGTTCCAGTTCCTGCTTTACAGCGTGGTCAACACGCCGCCCAACTTTCTCTGGTACGGCCCCCCTCCCTGACGTTGATGATGGCGAGAGACCATGGCTTCTTCAAGAGCCGGCGGTCGTAAGAAGGACGAGGAGGGAGGCCAGTCTCGCTCACAGAGCACCACAGGCAGGAATTCCTCGAGTCCGTCTTTCCGTCGCACCCATCCTCGGGCGCGAAGTCCAAGGCTACGCAAGCCAGCAAAGCCCGTGACGAGGGCAAGGAGACGAAGCAGCAGAAAAAGAATCAGCAGCAGAAGAAGCAAAACGACGACGAGCCGCCCCTCTCCCTGCGCAACACGCTCGCCAAGTTCCTCCTCGACAACACCCTCGGCGCCGCCGTAAACACCCTCCTCTTCAGCACCTTCACCCACGCCCTCCGCGCCGCCATGCACCCCGCCCCGCGAATCACCAATCTGACCCGCGCCGTCGACCACTGGACCCGCCCGGGGAGCATCGACTTCGCCGCCGTCGACGGCGACGCCGTATGGGCCGCCGCCCGCGCCGAGTTCTGGCCCATTGTCCTCGCCGGCGTCAAGTTCTGGCCCCTCGTCAGCCTCGTCAACTTTTCTCTCGTCAAAACTGTCGAGGGGCGCAACCTCGTTGGATGCCTGGCGGGCGTCGCGTGGGGCGTCTATATGAGCATGTTTGCTGCGCAGTAAAGAGCGCCTAGTCTTCGACGCTGGTTCGTTGCCAGGGGTCTTGTTGGATCTTATTTGATGGCTACGGGAGTTCGCTTTGGTGTTGGAGGCACATGGAGATGAATAGACGCCTTTTCGGGCAGGTCTCGTACGGATCTTGGGGCAGTCGCTCTGTCCGTGGACAGCTGCGCGGCGATTCGACGATTTTGATGTTTTCTTCGCTCATGGAATGACGGCGTGAGGGACGGACCCGACTGTATGCTTTCAAAATGATGAGATAGGCTGGCGTTCGGGATGATAGACAGCATTACCAATACGTCCAGAGCTGTCGCACAGATGACACCCAAGGCGACTGCATAACACCCATATCAAATGACTATTGCCTTGTACCGCTTCTCGACGCTTGTTCCCATAGACCTAGCCATATACACAAAGAGAAATCAAGGCGCTGGAGCCATTTCGCCCGCCAATCCTGGTCGAACGCGACTAGTCCCGCCTGGGATCCATGGATCTCAAGTCCAATCTCCGACAGTACAGACCCCTTGAAGACTATGACAAAACCGAAAGGACATGGCTTATACTGACAGAGTCTGCGGTTGACTCAAGATCTCGTTACCACAGTCACTCTGTGATGCGTAGCCCTCGTCAAAGTCATGACTATCCTCGCGAGATGTGAAGGTTGAACAGACCGTCGGCGGTGGGACCGGCATGAACGCTGGGGCAGCTGGGTTGAGGTTTGATGATGCGGCCATGGAACTCTCTCGGGACCATCTGGCAGCCGCTGGGGGGAGGTTGGCCCACGACGAAGCGTAGCCTCCTGGGGCGGGATCGAATAACGCCGTATCATGGAGCTGCGGCAGACGCGTTTGCGTCGACAACCATCCGTGTATGAGAGCGGCGTTGGAATGCCTGACCTGATACTGTTGCTCGTTTCCCGCATTCCTCAGAGAATTGAAGTGACGGACGATGGTCCTGGCACTCGACGAATCTGTGCCGTTCGACTGGCGGTTGGTGGGAGACTTGTGCACCTGCTGTGGCAAAGTCTCAGGCGTCGCACACGGGCGGCTGAACCAGTCAACCTCGGGACTTTCTGCGAGGATACCAAAGAACTTGAAAAGCTCATCCGCAACGGTGTACCAGTGGACGAGCCATGACCGCATCTGCCAAGCCGTGTTCTCGTCGGAGTCTAGTCGGAGTACCTCATTGGCGAAGTTGTATATCGTGGCGAGCACCCATCTCAGCTCCCTTGGTAGGGCAAATATGGATTGCGTTACGCACGACCACTCCCGAGCCTCCTTGAAGACTTGGTCGCCGTTTGGCTCGAGCGGCTGCAGCGAGTCGAATAAGCCCATGGAACGGATATTCCTCGAGCACGGCTGGTACGCCAACGCTCCCTGAAAGGTGCGGTATTCAAGCAGGTACGTGTCGGCAAATCGCTTGTGGGGGATGAGCCGGGTGCCCAGGGACCTGTATGTCCAGTCTCCCCTGGGTATCTCGTTGAAGACGTCGTTGGATACCTCGCAGGGAGGCATCGACAGGTCCAGGTCCTGGGCTTGGTGGGGCTGAATCTCGTCGATCTCGTCGAGGAGCCTTGTCGTGTCGGCCACAACGTCGCGAAAGACTCGAGACACGTTGGACAAGACGGCGCCGACATCGTATTTCTGCAGCCAGGTAGCGCGGTGGGCCTGGTGGAAGAAGAGAACGGCGCATTCGCCGCACGACGGCTGGGGAGATCCCGCAAAGAGGAAAATGGCATGGAATACCAGATGGGCCGGGCAAAAGTACTAGGTGAGACCGATATGGCTGACTTCTTCGTGCATGACGGGGCTGCATTGGGATGCGTCATGAACCGCGAAACAGCGGCCGCGGCAGACCCAGGTAGGGAGGGACATGGTGATGTTGGTCGGGTGCTGGATATCGCCAGCAAAGAGTGCTAAGTAATGGTGCGTTACATTGGCGAGACGAATGAATGAATGAATGAATGAATGAACGTGTTGCTTCTAGAGGCACTTGAACATGGCGTGGTGAATGCTTGGGGGAAAACAATGTGACACGGTGGACTGTTGACGCGATGCGTCCAGCCTGCTAGCTGGGTCGATGAACGAGACGGGGAAGGTACGCTGCTGCTGTCAGTCGAGTGAGGAAGGTGCCAGCTGGCAGGCAAAGCAAGGGTGGATTGTCTCAGCCGGCGGGCTGACCCTTCGTCCTCCTCAAACCTCTCTCACACGCTGCCAACTAGAATCTTCCATCTCAATGTAAGTCAAAAGCGACATGTATGACTTGCACGGCTTACGATGCGTCTGCTCCGTGGCCCCACGACCGCAACTCCTGACCTCGGCTCCAACCCTGCTCCGCTTTCCACGGAGAGCGCAACGCGAACGCGACCACAGCATCTCCGCGAAATCATCCGTCGCTGAGGCAGTGCCATTGCCATCATCTCGAGCCAACAGCTTGAATTCGCCCTCTTCCTCGAGTGGGAAGTCTCAGGGGTCGTCGCCGTCGTGGCCCAGCCAAGTGGTGGTTTGCATTATGCCGCAGAATACCGAGCACGCGCCCAGCAGAAGCCGGCCTCTCCAATAATAAATCCGCCTATGACACCGCCGGAATTACGCCGCGGGACGGCTCTCAAGACGCTGCGGGGACCGGCAATCGGCGTGGGCGGGGCACGAAACGCCTCGGATTCGGGGGTGGAGATGCCGTCCCTGACGATTATAAAGCCGCTCTCCGCTTGATCCGTTTCTTGCTGACTCTCCCTGCTTATATTGGCATGAATCGCCTCGTGACTCGTTTCCCTTTGCCTTTACGACATCAACAGCCGTTTTCTGCTTTGCGCGTTATCGACAGACTTCCACTCCACGGCGGCAGGGCATTCAGCTCTCAGCAAGTCAAGATGGCAGACCGCGTTCACAGAATCACCATGTTCAAGGCCCCCAAGCCTGAGGACCAACAGAAGCTGATTGCCGAGTACAAGGTTGTCAATGCAAAGGCACAGCGAGTGAGTTGAACCCAACCTCAGGCCGCGCACCGGCCGCGGTTCCCCGGCATCGTTGGTCCATCGAAAGGATCCCCGGTCGCTGGAACGCGGGGTACGTGCGAGATGCAAGAAAGCTGACATCAACGCCCCAGAATGGCGCCCCGTACATTCTCTCCCTGACAGCAGGTGTCGCAGAGGCGGACCCGCGCTCCAACGGCTTCACCGTCGTTGCAAAGACCGAATTCGCCAACCTCGACGACATGAAGTACTACGACAACGAGTGCAAGGCTCACCAGGACCTCAAGGCCGCCGCCAAGGGGCTCACGATTGAGGGCATCCAGACGGTGTACTTTACGCCCCAGGTCGTGGCCGAGAAGCAATAGAGGAGCTGGCGCAAGAAGACGAAAGCGATCTATATTGAATTCTAATGCAAGGAACTGTATTCTTGCCCACGGCTGCCGTCGTGAAGTCTGGAGTGGCGCCGCTGCAGAATTGCGTTGAAGGTGGCACAATGATGTCAAGCTTGCAGCAAAGTGACTCCAACTGCCTCCCCCGCCCCCGCTGTTGCCCATCGTAAATCACACACCCACGGGCGGTTAACCAGCCTTACTGACTTCAACTTCACCATTTAAACAAGCCGCACACAAAACATTCCTCGACAGTGATACAAATTCACACACAAACCAGAAACTCTGAGGCAAGTTAGTACCTCAATTTCCAGATCAGAATGGCGAAGCCAATACCGCTGTCGTCGCTCCGCGTCTCCCGTCACTACATCCCGGCGTGGAACATGATACCCAACACAAGCATACAGAACCGGCCCCTCCTCATCTACCACAGTGTCTTCCCATCCGGAACAAGCCCCAGCGCGATCGAAACGCATTTATCCCGCGTGGGCGCCGTGGCGCCGCAGTGGCGCTTCACCATGTACGACACAACTCACTTCCACAGCAACACGCACGAGGTGCTATGCGTGACGCACGGCCGCGCGCGCCTCTGCTTCGGCGGCGAGGATAACCCGGGGCGTTTAGAGCCGGTCGTCGAGGGCGGCGACGTCGTCGTCGTCCCGGCTGGCGTCGGGCACCGGCTGCTCGAGGACATGGGGCCGCAGGGCTTCCAAATGGTGGGCAGCTACCCTGTCGGCGCGCCGGCGTGGGACATGTGCTACGGAAGAGGCGGCGAGGAAACGAGGCTCGAGGGCATCAGGAAGCTCGGTTGGTTCGATAGGGACCCTATCTACGGCGACGAGTGGCCTGTCCTGGATGCGGAGACACAACAAGGGGGGCAGGTTGGTTGATGGAACGGTTGGACAGGCCATGACGGCCACATGCAGCTGTGCGGGAGGACAACGCCCCCCTTGCCCTGCCACTTCTTCCCTCCTGCGTGCTGCAGGGGAGCAGCGCGTATGCGCGTAGTTCGCAGAAGTGCAGAGTTACAGTCGTGCGCGCCACCGCCGTGGTAGCCATGCAGCGAGACCGAACGCCGAGCCGACGTAGCTATCACTTCGGCGAGGGGAGCATACGATACAACGGCGGGAGGAAGCTGGCATCCGCCCTTCGGGCGTTGGACCAGCCGACGACGGGATGGATGCACGCGGAACGGGTAGAGGGGGAAGACGGAAGGCGACGGCTTGAGAGATTGGGAGCCAGCCAGCCGCACCGGGCGTCATCTTGGCGCTCGTGTAACCAACCGCGTCCGCGACCTGGCCGCAGCTACCCGCTCGCACGTGCTTGTGCTCTCCGGGTAAGCGAGCCTTTTGTACTGTGTTGCTCTCACATCCACTTTTGCTCGCAACGCGGTGTCTTCTGTCTTCTCGAGAGAGCGTGGGTGGCGATATGGAACTGCTTGGTGTTGGCGCGGGGCACTGGTCACTCTGCGAGCTGACATGCCGTCTCAGAGAAGGGCGTCAAGACGCGTGTATATTAGGTCATGGGAATCAGCAACTTCAATTGCTGTGTTTGTTTTTGCGTCTTTCATATTGGTCATCGTATTCTATTCGCAGCGTGTGTGAGTCGTCACCCTTCATGTAAAAAGACTCGCCTATGATTGGCGAAGAGGTCATTGGACCCCGGCCAACCCCTTACACTGAAGACATGAAGCAATATTTAACTGGGAAGCCATGGATTGAGCTCGCCAGCAAACTGCTCCTTTGCTCTGCCTTACCGTATGCTCTCGTCTCTTACGGTAAAACGGAGTCCAGCTAATGTCTGGTTGCCATTGGCTTAGTCGCTTTGCCGTTCATCCACGTTCATGTTTCCAGATGCCCATCAATGAAGATTTTGCTCGCGCCCTTGAATCACCGGCAAAGGGTTGCCCTTCGAATCCTAGAATATGTTTGAGTACCCTGATGACTGTATTTGGAGCTACCGCGTCCGGGTGGACGAGGGCGTACGTCGATCTCCCTGCAGTTTGCCCAAATGACTTCTGACTCCAACATAGACTTGCAATCGCAGGCTGAAGCGCTGCATGCCCAAGGTTAACCGAGAAGACAAGATGCATGCAGACGGGAAGCTAAGCAAGAACTGACTGTATGAGATGGGGATACCCTGTTCTCGAGCATTCCCGGTATGTCGCTAGAGAGAATCCGTCTCAATGCGCGACGACTGCATACAACGGTACTGTTTTAAGGGAGCCTACAGTGCTTAGAAGATGGCCATTATTGCCATTGGTGGAATACTGACCTGCTCGCGACATGTCCCTGAAGATACTGAATGTGCCAGCTGAAGTGGTTCATGTTGTGGCTGAAAATACATACATCAATCTAATTCTTCCACTGTGGTACACCACAGCAGGTCTCGAGGCCAAAGGCCGAAGATAGGCTAATCATGGCATGCTCAAAAGCAGTCAACAAAGACGCCAGGTCTGTTCCCTCTTCCCTGCCCAAAAGCGAGACTTGACGTCGCGCGGCATCCGTTTCTCGGCGGGCCTGTACCAAACGTTGCTCCAACAGCAGTCGCATACTCGCTGCAAATTCTTGCGACCATAATCCCATGTAGAAAGGCGGTTACAATGCAAACCCATAATACAAATCCCACCTGCCTCTTCCCGCCTGAGGCTCGCCATCATGGTGGATTGCCAGGCGGCACGACACGACACAGCCCCTGCCGCTTCAGCACGTCTGTGCGCGACGGTTTAACAAATTGTACATCTCCGTGTGTGAGTCGCTCGACCGCGTCGACGAGTTACGTCCCTTCGCAGACGGCGACAGGCGCACCGCGGCCGTGCGGTTCTCCAGCGGTGTCGGGTGTCGCTCGAGGGTGAAGAGCGAAACGATAACCATGGCGGCGCAAACCACCATCATCACCTGGACCTCCTGCCCAAAGGCGGCAACGTAGGCACTCGTGACCTTCTTGCGCAAGTCCTCCGGCAGCCTGAGGCTGGAGAGGGGCGAGCGAAGCAGGTCGTCGATTTGAGACGGCGTCAGTATATCGCCGAGGTCGCTGTTGACGTGGTCGTTGAACATGACAGTGCAGATGGCGAGGCCGATGCAGCCGCCGAACACGCGGGCCTGCGCGATGGCGCCCTGGGCGGAGGCGCGGACGCTGGGGTCCGCGGCCAGGATACTGGTCATGATGGTGGCGGCGGAGAAGGACATGCCGACGCCGAGGCCGAAGATGGCCTGGTAGCCGTACTGTGCGGCCTGGCGCGAGTCCGATGTGGTGACTGTGGTCAGGAGGCCCACGCCCAGCAGCTGAAAGCACGCCGAGCCGACGAGGGTGAAGCCCGTGTTGTTGCGCTTGCTCGAGACGGCGCCGCCGATGAAGGACCCTAAGGCGCAACCGACGAGAAGAGGGAGAAGGTGGACACCGGCCATGAGTACATTGTCGCCGCCGGCAATCTGGAAGCGTTCGGGGATGACGATGGACAGGGAAATATACGGGAAGCCAGCCAGAAGTGTGAGGCTGTACCACGATTAGCTGTTGGCCTTTCTTCGGCCGAGCATGCAAACTCACAAGAGTCCGGCGACATAAACTCGTAGACCAACAAGTCTCATGGGGAAAATGGGCTCGACACGGCCAAACTTCTTGCTGGAGAGGAATGTCTCCCAAGCAACGAAGCCAACGCAGCACACGCTCGACAAGGTAAGCGCGGCGATGACGACGTCGCTGTCCCAGGCGTACGTCTCGGAGCCGGCCTGCTGGATGGCAAAGATGAGCAAGCTAGAGCTGCAGAACAGAGAGGCACTGCCGAGAAAGTCGATGCGAGTGAAGCTCCTCCACGAGATCAGGCTGTCGACACTCTCGGCCGGCCAGCAGTAGGCTATGGGCAAGAGCGTGACGAGACCGCAAGGAAGGCTACCGCGTGTCAGCGACGGCATTGGCTTCACGCTCTATGTCTTCAGTGCACATGAGGAGATCTTACTTGATGTAGAAGATCCACTTCCAGTTTGAGAAGTGCGTGATGACGCCTCCGAGGAGGGGACCGAGGACGAAGGCGGTGGCCAGCGTCGCTCCGATCGCAGCGCCTATCAGGGCTGGCTTATCGACGGGACCGACTTCCATGAGCGCAATCTGCGTGAGGCTGTACATGCCGGACGCGCCGATGCCCTGAAACGCGCGGCAAATGATGCTGGTTTCGCGTCAGCTTATTCGCACAATAGAACAGTGGCTAGGGTGCGGTGTCACGTACAGTGTAGTCATGTTCTTGGAGAGCGCGCATCCCAGGGAGAAGCTTATGAACAGGATCCACGACAGGATCAGCATGTTGCGGCGGCCATATATGTCGCTGAGTTTGGAGATGCAGACGGCAAAGCCTGCAGGAGAAAGATGGTGGTGAGTTTACATTGCTCTGGTCAGGGCCAGGGGAAGAACGTGAGACGAACCCATGTATGTCAGAAGGTATGCCAGAACGATCCATGGCGCGTTGACAAAGTCGTCCAGCTCGTGAGATATGGTGATGAGTGCCGTGGATACGATGGAGGTGTCGAGGCTGGAAAACAGCAAGCTGACCAGAAGCCTAGAGAGCCATCAGTTCCATGACTCGACGGTCACGCTGGCTGATGTGAGGAGGGAATCGCACGCTATGAAAAGAATCGTTCGACGAACACCGCCAAACCTCGCCTTCTCCTCCGGGACCTTGCCATTCTCACTGCCGGGTCCCTCTGAGGTTGCCACATGGCCCAGAGACGAAGTGGAAAGATGTTCTGCCGCCATCATCAATGGATCGTGCGGTCTTTGTGTGTGAGTCGTGATCAATGCTGCGGGCCAAGAAAGACGGAGAGGAGGGCAGGACCCGCTGTCGATGGCGAGAGATGCAGTCGGAAGCAGTTGTCGGCGTGACGTGACACCGTGCACGTTTAAAGGGCGTAGGGGGAGGAGGGACGTGTCGATCCGCGCCCGTACAAGGTTTCAATCTCGGCGTTGAGGCGAGGCTGTGCAGGGCACAGGGCAGCTATGCACATGCCGCGACGCGAAGGCGCGATCACTAAGGGCAGGCCGAGCTCTGCGTCACTTCAAGGCCGCGATGAAGTCCTTTACTCGCGTTAGCACCGAGGCTGTCACTGGTGGCAGTGATCCCTCGAATTTCGTGGTGATCAAGACAGACGAACAGGAAGGCTCTGCCACAAGTCAGAGGCCGGAGGCAAGCAACGACTGCGGAGGCAGGTGGCCAGGATTCGGTCACATATGTGGTAGATCTTGTGCCTCTGAAGAAGAATTGTTCAGGAGGCAAAAGTGACAGATCTTCGAGTGGTATGCACGTCCGACGTTGACATGCAGAAGAGAGGCTACTGAAACGGTCCCTCGGGTCCGTGTCTAGTTTCACGGGCCGACACGAGGCTCCTCGACCACCGCGTTATGTACTCAGTGGGGTGCCTCCCTCCGAGTTGCCGCCGCCTGGATATTCTCCCGCGGCGGGAAAGCACTGTACTGTACCTACAGCGCTGTACAGTACAGTAATAATGGGTGTGACGACGGGAAACCCGCCGGGCTCCCCCTCCAGTCAGTCAACCAGAACCGAGGTGAGGTGAAGCCTGCCGGGCGCACACGCTGGGATCAAATGGGGTCTGCCACCCCTGCTGTGAGATGGCCAGCGACATCAGATGAGGGGACGTGGGCACAGATTTAGGCGAGCGGCCGCGTCGGATAGGACGAACCGAACGGGGTTTGACGTAGATCTCCCAAGCGAGACGGGTCACCATTGGGGGAGAGGGGGAAGAGGGTGTCGGGCCAGGTAGACTTTTGAACTGAAACACTGAGATACTCGACATGGACCAGACCATCTACAGCGGTCTGGTTGTACGAGGTGTTGTACGGGCGCCGAACTGTGCTCGGTACCGGACTTCTGGTTCTGGGCACGGTGCACGCGCCGGGCTTCCTCGTCGAAGAATAGTTGAAGGGTGCCGCAATACCCGGTTGGAAGTGCAAAGATCACTCTGAGTGGTCTGTGCTGGTCTTGACAAACTCATACAGTCTCGTGGCCACGGTTGCGGCCACGAAGCTTTCGAGGGGCTTAGCCACGTTGCGGCAAGAAGACGGTCTTCCATCTACAACAGAATGACTCGCACAAAGCCCGCATGACGATATGGAGTAGGATCGGTGGAGGCTGAATCTGTGGCGGAGGTGGCTGCAGTCGATGCCATCCCCCCGTGTTGGGCCTTTGCGTCTCTCATGCTTCGTATGCAAGTACTGTACGTTTGAGGTATTGATGGCGTCGGAATCCACAGTCCCACACCTCTGCAAGCCACAACATCTATTTTCAAGCACATACGATACAGTGCTGTCACGGATTCCATCTGGGACAACCATCGGGCCAGACCAGACCTGGGGCGGAATGACACGCCAGTCTCCGCGGGCCCCTCCCTTTGCCTGGGGCTGTTCGATAAAGCATGAGCGAGGCTTTCCCAGCTGTTGTTGGTTCCACACGATGGCGCATGGCTCCTCGATGCCCACTTTGGGGTTTCACGAGGCACGCAGCGACCGCTACGATCCCGTTGCACGGCAGCCCGGCCTCAGAAACAGGGCGACAAGTGATGATTGTCGGGGGCGCAACGCGAGTCGGGCAAGTGTCACCCCAGCCTCGTCTCAAGCGCCTGCATATCCCCTGTCGTGTAAGCGGCGGTTGTGCTGCCGTCTGGTGGGTGGTGGATAGGGGAGGGGGATGCCCGTCAATTGACTCTACGCACGAAGTATAAGATTCGAAATTGAAAGGAGGATCCATCGTTCGCTCAGACAATTGGGACCGCATCAAGAGCCGAGAGCCTTCAACGTGCTCTCTTGACCGCCAGGTAGAGCATAACGTCGTGTATTTCGGTTGGAAACGAACTGGACGGACTGGCTGAATTGGCCCTGCCAACTCCACCCCGACCGTCAACCACATCAGTATCGAGGCTCTCGGGCCGACGCTGTAGAGAGCAGGAGGAGAGAGACTTGTGGCAGCTGAGACTACAAGAGACCTGCATCCAGAACCAGCCACCTGCATCGCCGCTGCGGTTTTGCGCGGGAAGGTGACACATGGGAGGATCCATCGCAAAGCGCTCCTCCTCCAGCCGTCGTGCAACTTGACCCTCAGCAGTTGGGGTCCTCGCCCGTAGAAGGCAGGAAGCAGCGCATGAGGATGCAGGCGAGAGGTACTGTACATGCATGCGAATTGACTCGAATGTCGTTCCTGACGGGTAGACTTTCAAAGGTGTGCTTAAAAATAGCCACCAAAGACCATGCGCTTCTTACGTCTTCATGGCTTGAAGATGGAGGACTCCAATCACTTGCAGAACCCACAGCTTTTCGCCATCTCAGGGTCTTGATTGCATCACTGGCCACATGACCTCAACTACGAAAAAAAAAAAAAAAAAAAAAAAAAAAAAGGCTTCACCTTTCCGTCTCGAAGCCGGGGCTGGGCGTTTTGGGGGCATGACGCACGGAACTCCTTCAGGCTCGTGTTGGGCCCATCCATGGAAAGTTGCACCCAACGCGGCCCCTCCGGCGGCAGCGGGAGCGATGCATGCCTTCGGATGAGTAGGTTCTTCAGTGCTTTTAAGGTCCAAATCCACAAGTGCTATGTGGCTAGATAAGCCACGTGGATCCTTGCGAAGCCAGGGGCTCGCAGGCGCAAGCACAGAACCTCAGCTGCGAAACGTGAGCCAGACAGTCGTTCAAGCGTCTAGGTTTTGGGAATATGTTGAGTGTTGCAACTTGTGGGCCTCGATTACTTTGTGTACCCCTTCTCCGTCCCAGGTCGTCGCCATGTGCTGTACGCCCTCTCCGTAGTTCTCAATGACTGCATGTGTCCCTCAAGCAGGACGTACACGTTGCGGCCCGTCGCTCCAGTTTACGATGCTACAGACGTCATAGTCTCGCTGGCCAGTAGAACACGGAAAACCGTCGTGAAGGAAAAGACAAAGCTGAGCGTCGTAGGTCCATACGAGTTCCAGACGGTTCATTCGGGCAAAGTCCTTGGCCATCCAGCTGCTGTTGTCATACCCAGATACAGGCCCGCCCATCTCTTGGTCTGCGGAGGGCGGCACATCTCGCCGCGGACCCCATTTTAGGAAGCAGGTCTCGGGAGCACTGCCAGCTTGGTTGCATCATCTCACTTGCTGTTGGTTCGGCGTCTCTAACGTGACAAGCCGCTGCACGTTGGCTCGGGCAGATCAAGATCTCCACCGCGCCGTCAAGATCGCCAGCGGAGCGCGAATCCTTGTCACACACTTGCAGTACAGTTCTGTATTGTACTGGAGCACGAAATCTTAGGCTCTGCGTTTCCGTTCTCAACAAGTTTCATTGGGAGTTGTGTCTGTTGGTCTCAAACTCATATACACTTATTACTGTGCAACACATATAGTTTGAGGGCACTAGATTGCTGAGAGCCCAACAGCAACCGACGGGCACTCACCGCAAGTGTGACTCGAGTTCTGGTAGGCATTCAGTCCGAAGTATTTCTGACAAATCTTAAATCTGGGGCCAAGGGCCCTTTCATGTCGTGCTGGACTTGCCCAGTCTGCCTCGAATGTCTCATCCGATCTATGAAAACGACGCTAGCCTCCAGCTGAGAAATGCAACATAGTCCCCCTTGTCATGCGGCAACGACGCGCATCTCACAAGGCACCCAGTTCGTCTGTGCCATGGATCCCAACGCCGAATCCGCGTGCTGGGTCAGCTTGCCTCGAACGCTTTGCTGACCACCCACACAGAGGCGTATGATCGTAGGGTCGTCCACTTACATCACATTTGGCGGAGGCCCCCAACGGCGTCACCCCGAAGGCACACATCTGCCACACCTCCACGTAGGGCTCAGATCTAGCCGTCCCCCCATGCCCGTTACAGGCTGGAGACGTTCGATAACTGCGGAGGCGATGCCTGCAGCTGACGTTGGTTATGACATGTGACGGGCCGGTGTAAGTGGGTGCTGTTGCAACCCAGGGGTGGTGAGCTCGATATGGTCACTGCCGGACGGAGACTTTTGCGGGCTTGGCTCTGCGATTACCCTCTCCTCGGCCACGGGCATAATCTTGTACTCGAAGCCCCCTACTGGCTAGATGCTCGCGTCTGTCACCCCCGATTTTGACGCTATTTATGACTCTTGGATCCGAAGTTCCCCTTCTCCCCTCTCCAGCTCGGAGCATGTACCTGGTTCTGGACATAGCTCATTAATGTCTCGAAACTCCTTCCCCTTTCCTTTATGAAGGGGCATTCGTGGACCCGGATTGACTTTGGTCCTAAGTCTGGCTGCAACGCCTGGGTCCATCTCCTTCAGCCTCGCTCCCCGTTTGCACAGACAGCCAGCCCCGGTGGTCTGGACCCGCGCGGAGCTCGACCAGTGAATGGGGACGTGAACTCCCAGCTTCAAATAGATATCCTCCGACTCTTTCCGAAGCTGGTGGAAGGAAGCCGTATCCTGACGACTCAGAAGGACGTCGTTCCTTTCTAGCAACTGTGGCGTCTCTGCATTGACCATCATCAAGCCCACCCACGTGCACATCCCGTATCGCAAAACAACCAACAGCCCTTCGTACAAAAGCATCCTGACATCCGGCCCCGAAGCCGGAGGGTAAACAGTCCTTCTGGCAACGAGGTTGAGATCGATCATGGAGGATATCGCGGTCATCGGTCTCGGGCTGCGGTTTCCTGGAGATGCCAGCTCTCCGGAGCGGCTCTGGGACGTTCTCGCAGAGGGCAAATCGCAGTGGTCCGAGTTCCCCAAAGAACGCCTCAATATCGATGGGTACTTTCACCCCGGAGGCGATCGGGAAGGAAGCGTGAGTACATCAGCCACAATGGGCATTCAAGTGAGAGAGGAACGTGCTGACGCCACCAGATTTCCTTTCGCGGCGCACATTTTCTGAAGGGGGACGTTGCCGCGTTCGATGCCCCAGTAAGCCCGACCGTTCCAGTTGAACAAGTCGTTCGTCGCGGCAGTTCTCTAATCGCTGGGACGCCAGTTCTTCTCTGTTGCGGCCGAAGAGGCCAAGGCGATTGATCCGCAGCAGCGGATGCTCCTTGAGATTTCTTACGAGGCCATTGAAAATGGTGTGTGCCGTTTCCAGCGAGAGTGAACGACGAACGGATGACTGACATGGTTGCAGCGGGACTTCGTAAAGAGGACCTCGATGGCAGCGACACGGCAGTCTATGTCGGTTCGTTCGTGAAAGGTGGGCTATCTACCTTCCTTGAGTTGAGCTCAATCTGACTCTCTAGACTATGAGCAAATCTGCTTGAGGGACCCCGACTGGTCACCACAATATGCCGCGACTGGCAACGGTATCGCCATCATGGCGAACCGAATTTCTCATTTCTTCAACTTCCATGGCCCGAGCATGACCCTCGACACGGGCTGCAGTGGCAGTCTTGTTTCCGTTCACCTGGCAGCGCAAAGCCTCAGGAGCGGAGAGTCATCTTTGGTAGGTGTAATACTCCGGGAAAGTTGCGGACTCACACAGCGCTAACATTTCGTAACGTGAAGGCTCTAGCAGCCGGCGCAGGCCTGATACTGACCCCGGCAACAATGATGCCCATGACGGCGCTCAACTTCCTTAGTCCGGACGGCAAGTGCTTCACGTTTGACGCTCGAGCCAACGGCTACGGACGCGGAGAGGGAGTCGGCGTCGTGGTGATGAAGAGGCTCTCCGACGCCCTGCGGGACAACGACACCATCCGCGCCGTCATCCGCGGCACGTCGGTAAACCAGGACGGCCGAACCCCCGGCATCACTCTGCCCAGCAAGGAGGCGCAGGTAGCCAACATCCGCCGCGTCTACGCCAACGCCGGTCTCGACTTCAACCAGACTGCGTACGTCGAATGCCACGGAACCGGAACCCAGGCCGGCGACTGGCGCGAGCTGAGGGCGATTTCGGAGACTCTGGCATCTGGCCGGCCGGTAGACAAGCCGATAGTCGTCGGGTCCGTCAAGCCAAATATCGGCCACCTCGAAGGCGCGGCCGGCGTGGCGGGCATGATCAAGGGTGTGCTGGTGCTGGAGCACGGCAAGATCCCTCCCAACATCAACTTCCAGAAGGGCAATCCAGATATTGACTTTGAGGCGTGGAAGGTCAAGGTATGGGTCACTCTGCGAAGACGAAAAACGCTTTATTCTGACACTAGCTCGAACAGGTCCCTCAGGCGGTGCTGGATTGGCCGGTAGCAGGCGTCCGCCGCGTGAGCGTCAACTGCTTCGGATTCGGCGGCACGAATGCCCATGTCATCATGGACGAGGCGCCCGTCTACATGTCTGAGCGCGGTCTTCAGGGCAACCACAGCTCTCTCGTGGCGGCGACAACACAACTTCCCGAGCCGAAGGGCACCGAGGCTGGATTCTCTGGCGAGCCCTTGCACCTGTTCTGCTACTCATCGCACGAAAAGAGTGGCGTCTCGAGGGTCATTGACTCTCACCTCGAGTTTCTCGACGCAGAGGAAGAGCGCTCCACACAGCAATACCTCCAAGACTACGCCTACACCCTTAATTGTCGCCGCTCCGGCCTCGAGTGGAAGACGTTTATCCTCGCCAGCTCCCTGGCGGACCTCGCCTCCAAGTCTCAGTCCCTCGACCCGGCCACCCTAGTCCGTTCCTCGCGCGAAAAGGCCCCAAAAGTTGGCTTTCTTTTTTGCGGCCAGGGATCACAATGGGCACAGATGGGCAAGGGACTCATGGCACTGGAGCCGTTCCGTGCGAGCATCGAGCAAGCCAGTCGCTACTTACACGACGCGCTGCTCTCGCCGTTTAACCTCATCGAAGAACTGCTCCGTCCAGAGGCAGAGTCGGCTATCGGAGAGCCGCATATCTCGCAGCCAGCCACGACGGCGCTGCAAGTTGCCCTCGTGGACCTGATGGAGACACTGGGCGTAACGCCGACGTGCGTCGTCGGCCACTCCTCCGGTGAGATTGCCGCCGCGTACGCCAAGGGCGCCATCTCGAGAGAGGCGGCGTGGGAGGTGGCCTACTATCGCGGACTGGCGGCGGCGAGCATTCCCTGGCGCGCACCCAAGCTTAAGGGCAGGATGGCGGTCGTGGGAATGTCCAAGGACGAGACTGGAAAATATCTCCGGTCGGTGAACAAGTCGGCGCAGATCGCCTGCATCAACAGCCCGCGCTCGATTACGATTTCCGGGCAGGAGGACGCCATCGACTTCATCGACAAGGATCTTCGTGAGAAGAAGATCTTCTGCCGTGTGCTGCAGGTCAAGACGGCGTATCACTCGTCTCACATGAAGCTCGTGGAGCACGACTACAAGACTCTGCTCGCAAACGTGAGTCCGCGAGATGGTTGCCCGGAGATCCGCATGTTCTCATCCGTCACGGGCAATGAGGTCGACGGACGACGCTTGGACGCGACGTACTGGGCCTCCAACTTGGTGTCGCCTGTGCAGTACGTTGCCGCCATCGAAGCAATGATGGCCGCTCCTGAAGAGGAACGACCTGGCGTTCTGGTCGAGCTGAGCCCGCGAGCGGCTCTCCGGTCTCCAACCTCCGATATCCTATCGACCAGTCCGTCCAGCACACAACCTTCGTACTTCTCTGTGCTCGATCCCCGCAAGAACGCCACCGCATCTTTCCTGGGGCTCGTCGGTGAGCTTTGGTCTCTAGGATGCAACGTCGACATGGAAAAGGTCATGGCCCTCGTGTCTGGCGGCTCTCGAGCAAAGTGTCTCTCGGACCTGCCTCCTTACCCCTGGAACCACAGCAAGTCGTACTGGCACGAGTCCCACCTCAGTCTGTCCGTCAGGTTCCGGGAGTTTGCTCGCCAGGATCTCATCGGCGCGCTGACGGCGGATTCCACGCCGTTTGAGCCCCGATGGCGCGGGTTCTTGCGTGTGTCAGAGAACCCTTGGATTCAAGACCACCAGGTGCAGAAGACCATCGTCTATCCGGCCGCGGGCATGGTCTCCATGGTTCTCCAGGGGGCATCGCAGATTGGCCGCAATATTCCCGGATTGCTCGGTTATGAGATCACCGGCATGGGGATTGAAAGGGCAATAATCGTGCCGAACACGAAGCACGGCGTCGAGGTCATGCTGGTCATCAAATCGCACCGCGAAACGGCTGACGGCTTCAGCCTTGACAAGAACGAGTTTTCCATTTACTCGAAGCAGCTGGATCGCGACTGGGAGCGCAACGCCACGGGATCTCTTCACTTTCGGCAGCGTTCTCCGGGTCGAGAAGCAGCCTTCCGCACCCAGGAGGCACGTCAAAAGACCCTCGAGGAGTCTTGCAAGGAGACGCTGAACCCACGGCAGCTGTACGAATTCCTCGACACAGTCGGCATGAACTACGGCCCGCTGTTCCAGAACATGACGGAGATTCGCAAAGACAGCAGCGCCGGGGCCTGTGTCAGCACCGTCCGCGTCCCGGACACGCGGTCCAAGATGCCCGCCAAGTTCGAGTACCCGCACATCATCCATCCGGCGACCCTCGACGCCATGTTCCAGACCCTGTTCGCTATCGACTCGTCGCCCATGGTGCCCACGTCCATTGCGAGCATCTTCGTGTCGGCTGATGCAGGGTCCGCGCCATCGGACGTGCCGTTCAGGGGTTACGCCGAGGCGAGGCGCAGCGGCATCCGTGATGCGGATGCCACCATTGTGATGAGCAGACAGGGGGAGTCACAGGCGCATGTCATCATCGAGGGCCTTCACCTGACGGGTCTGTCCACGCCATCACCTTCTGAGGGTGGCTTCTTGCCGAATCATCGCAACCTGTGCACTGAGATCCTTTGGGCCGAGGACGCGGCGTTTGCGAAACCCACCTCGTTCTCAGAGTACGTTCGGCTGTTCGCTCACAAGTGTCCTGCCCTCTCAGTGCTGCAGGTCGGCGGAGGCCCCTCCGCCGCAGTGGCAGTCATCGAGTGCCTGCGCCCGCAGGAGGACGAGACGCCGCGTCTCGCGCGGTTCACGGTCTTGGAAACCGACACGGACACCAGCCACCAAATACTGGCTCACGTGAAGAGTACGGCGCTGGAACCTTTTGTCGAGGTCAAAGCAAATGCCACTGAATTGGTCGCTGACTATGACCTTATCATCGTCCTCGACATCGCCGCTGCTGAGGGAGAGATCTTCAAGACAAGGCTTAAGTCCGGAGGCATGCTGCTACAGCACAACACCGACCTAGACCTCGCGGAAGTGGCCTTCGAAGCTACGTCGGAGCCAATTCTGTCACTTACAAGCTACAGAAAGGCACATCCGCCTATTGATGGTCAAGATGTCGTAATGCTCGTCCCTGAGTGTCTTAACCAAGACGCCGTCATTTTGGCCAATACCATGCAGGGGCTCATCAAGGAGGCTTGCCCAGCGATCGAAGTGAGCTCAATGCCCGTCAACGAGCTAGATAGAGAGTCAACTTCTCTCAGCGGCAAGGTGGTCATCTCCCTCCTTGACTTTGCCGGCGCCACCACCTCGGCGGACTGCTCCGTCTTCACCTGGAACGAGTCCGACTTTGACGCCTTCCGCACCTTCCAGCGCACAGCAAAGGGCATCATCTGGCTCACCCGCGGAGCGCACATGACGCCCCTCAATCCGAAAGGCACGCCCATCATCGCCCTCGCCCGCACGCTCATGTCCGAGGACCCGCTCAAGACCATTGTCACGCTCGACCTAGACCAAGATTCGCGCCTCGCCGACCCTGCCGTCGCGCAGGCCGTGCTGCGTGTCCTGCGTCAAACATTCCATGTCAAACATGGTTCCGAACCGCGCGAGACAGAGTACACGGAGAAGGATGGCAGGCTGTATATCCCCAGGCTTGCACCTGTGCGGGCGCTGAACAGGCTCGTGGAGGATGAGCATTCGCACGGCGGGTTCTTGCAGCTGCCGTTTATTCCTGAAGAGGCTGCGGATGAGCAGCAGCGTCAGAGCTTGAAGCTCACACTTGCGAAGCCGGGTCTTTCGGACGGGTCGTTGTACTACACTGAACTTGAGCATTCAGAGCTTGGGGCTGACGACGTGGAGGTTTCGTTTGAGAAGGCGTCGTTGACTTACCTCGATCTCGACACCGTGATGGGAAGGACAGTCGAGGCAACCATTGGCAGCGACATTGTGGGCCACGTCAAGCGTGTTGGCACCGATGTCACGCACATCCAACCCGGCGAGCTCGTTGCAGCTCTCGCTCCTGGAGGGACGATCCAGAGCACCGTTCGCACAAAAGGGCCACTGGTAGCTGCCAACATCCCCGGCTTCTCCCCGTCCCTCCATGTCAGCGCGTACTACGCCATCATTCACCTGGGCAGGGCCGCGCCGGGACGCAAAGTCCTCATCCACGCGGGCGCGAGCGCGTACGGACTGGCCGCCGTGCAGATGGCCACCTCGGTCGGTGCCGACGTGTACGCCACGGTGCTAGGCGCGGATATGCCACTGCAGCGCGAGGTTCTTGTCGCTCATGGCTTGTCCAACGAGCGAGTATTTGACGCGGATTCGGACGGCTTCGTCCCTGGCGTACTGGCGGCAACCAGCGGCAAGGGCTTTGACATTGTGTATAATCCGACGCAGGAGCACGTCGAGGCGAGCTTCAAGTGCGTCCGCAAGTGTAAGTTGTCTCGCTTCCCTCCTTACTCGCCACTCATGTAGGACAGCGACACTGACCAAACCCGAAGGCGGAACAATTGTCCAGTTTGGCAGCAGGTCGGCCGCAACACGACCACTGCCAGCGCCCGGCGGCTCTGCGACTGTCGTGAGCTTCGATATCGGCCAACTGATGCGCGAGGACGAGGAATTTGTCGCGGAGCTATTCGAAAGCTCGAGGCGGCACGTCCAGAGCGACAACTTTGGTGCAACAAGACGATACGGCCGGGAACATGTGTTTGCAGTCGGCGAGCTACAGGCTGCTCTTGAGAAGGTCCAGGCAACTCCATACCTTGGCCGCGTCGTGCTTTCAACAGATGCTCCGGGAAGCAATCTAGTCCCAGTCATGAACACCAACCCGACCAAGCCCCTCTCAGCATGCCTCGATCCGAACCGCACATATCTCCTCGCTGGTGGTCTCGGCGGTCTAGGACGCAGCATCTCGGAGCTCCTCGTCGCCAATGGTGCCCGCCATCTCGCCTATCTCTCGCGCGGAGGCTCCTCTTCAGCGACGGCGAGCGAGTATCTTGCCACCCTCCACGCACAAGGCGTCGACGCACGTGCGTACAGCGTCGACATATGCGATGCAGATGCCCTCATGTCGACGCTCGGCGAGCGACTAGCCACTGAGATGCCTCCCCTCGGCGGTGTCTTCCAGTGCGCGGCTGTACTGCGCGACGCCGTCTTCGACAACATGACGTGGGCGGATTGGGACACAGCCATCAAGCCCAAGACACTCGGCTCGTGGAATCTTGTCCAAGCTGTTGATGCAATGCCCCGAGCTAAAGAGAACGGGACGCAGGGCAATGGCGGCGCCTCGGGCCCCTTCTTCATCTTCCTGGCCAGCTCGGCGGGCGTCATCGGCAACCGCGGACAGGCCAACTACGCCGCCGGCAACGCCTTCAAGGACGCGCTGGCGCGCAACCTGCGCCTCAACCGTCGCCACGCCGTCGCGCTCGATCTCGGACCCGTGCTGGGTGCCGGGATGCTCGCCGAGGACGAGGCAGTGTTGGACATCCTCCGCGCGAGCGGCTTCTACGGCATCCGCCATGGGGACTTCCTTAAGCTCGTCACTCACGCCATTACCATGGATACGGGCGTTCCGGGCGAGCCCACCCCGCCTCAAGTCACCCTCGGCGTCGGCACCGGCGGCATCATCCGCCAGAACCAGCCCGCGGACCCGTATTGGTCGCGCACCGCGCTGTACCGTTACCTGAACCTCGTGGATGTACCCGCCCCCGACTTGTCGCAGTCGGGCGCCGCCGGTTCCTCGTCTTCTAGTGACCTCAAAGCGCTGCTCGCGTGCTGCGAGAGCGTGAGCGCGGCTGCGGAGGTTGTGCAGCGCGGGCTCATGGGCATGCTCGCCAAGGCGATGAACATGCTGCCCGAGGAGGTCGATGCCGGGAAGCCTCCCAACGCGTACGGGGTAGACTCTCTCGTGGCTGTGGGAGTGCGCAACTTTGTCATCAGCAGCTTTGGCGTGCAGGTGTCTGTGTTTGAGATCCTCAGCGACCGTACCATTGCGGAGTTGTCGTTGATGGTTGCGCAAAAGGGGGGTTATGGGGCTGCGTAGATATGACCAGACGTGTAGGGTCGGTAGTGAAGTCAATGTACATAGTTCTAACTCGTGGCGGTCTTTGGTGTAAATCCTAGTTGTAAAGCACTTCCTCTATCTCTGGCACATTGTTCTCAGTGCAGACTATCGCCAACTTTCGATTTGGACGTCATTGAAAGTCGTCGCTGACATCTGGTATCAGCTTCGCCTCGCGCTTTCCTTCGCGCATCGTACACGGCGGGTAGAGTTTGGACGCGATTGGCGAAACGGAACATATTTGTTCGGATCCTCGGTTTGGTAGATGTCTGCGGGTTCACTTTGACAAGTGAAACCGCTCCAGCACCAATTTCCTGCCTCCGGACCTCAGAGGGACCGCTTTACCATGGACCAAGTCATGACAGGGCCTCTTTCAGGTTTGCTTTGACGTATACATCGCCCTTGCCAAAGAAGTTGTCCGGGTGTAAGCGGGGGCCAATGTAGTTGTAGCCTTGCTTGACCACAGATATGCGACGCAACACGGTTGCCATTCCGTCGAGCTGCTTCAGCCTTGCGGCCTCCTTGGCTGGGAGGTTCTCCCGGGCGTACTGCAGTAGAAATCCAGCGATCCCCGCCAGTATCGGAGTCGCGTACGACGTTCCCGACTTGTAGGTGAGGCAGCTCTGATTAGCTGCCATGTCGCAGAGATGCAGTGGCCAGGCCCCTTCCGCGGCCTCTCCCACCGTGGCAAAATTGTCTCCTGCTATTGGAACGGGGTTGAATGGGGATGGCGTCCCATCTGCGGCGGTGGCATGGACGCATATGACGTCTTGGTGTCTGGCTGGCCAGGCTCGCTTCGCGTTGGCGCCGTCATTGGATGCGGCGGCGAAGATGAGGACGTCGTGGAAGCGGGCGTTTTTGAGAGCGTTTTCGAATTGACTGTATCCACTGTCTCGAGCTGGCCACCCAAAAGACATGGAGATGATGTCGGGTTTCCGTTGCCTTACGACATCATTGATAGCCTAGATTCTATTAGCATGGTCTGCTTACTCAAGGATTGAACAAGGAGACTGTCTTGTGGGACATACTACAGCTATATTTGTTGATGGTACCGGATCATTGTCGGCGATCTTCATGACATATATGTCGGCTTCTGGTGCGTAATCGAGCAGCAAACTTGTGACATGTGTACCGTGGCCGCTCACGTCGCGGACGCTATTTTGATCTCCGTCTACGTACGACACCGCTGCTTTGATGTTGTCGTTGCAGGCGAAAAGGGGATGGTCCATGTCGATTCCACTGTCCAGAACGACAATCCTGACCGGGTGCCTTCTCGCGACGTTTGGCAAGAACCTATTATACACACCACGAACGCTGTCCTTCCAGGACACGTAGGCATGCTTTCTTCCTAGATATGAGCAAAGAAGTAGAATACGGTCACTCCCGCCCTGGAAGACTCACCTTGCTGTGGACACCAGATCGGGGTTTGCCTGATCGTCAAAGAAACTGAGTCTCGGTGGATAAGAGGCCCATTCCTCTTCGCGCGGTCTCAGCGCGCCATATTGAAGCGTTTTATGGCGTACGTTGCGCTCGCTTTCTCCACGCTCATCGCTCCGTTCCCGTCTAGGGGACGTAGCCGGCCGTGGTCTCGTCCGAGGGGATCCAGATCGCGCTGACGGTGGCTCAGACTGGATTGGCCGTCCATGGTTTGTCAAGTCCAGGGTCTGCGCAAGGGCGTCAAGGCCATCGACAGAAATGTAGCTGTACCCTTGCTCCAATTCATCTTCCAGTCTTCGAACGATGTTCTGGTAGATGGCACACCGCAGGCTGTCCTCGTCCGGTTCACCGTCATCACCATCGCCACCTATCGTCACGTCCAAGCAGGCATCAATAGCCATGCTAGTTTGATCCTCGAAATCATGTTTGCAAGCGTCGAATATCTGTCCAGCGACTAAGAACCTTTCTTCGTTGCTCATTTCGGGCGATACTGTCAGGTGATGCTCCCAGGCGATGGTCTCCAAAGGCCTCGCCTGGTGCAGCTCAATAAGCATGAGTGCCAAATTGACCAAACATGGGTAGGGATGGTAGAACAAATCGTCATCGGGGTCTGATTCGCCACCGTCGGCTCCTTCGGCCGCTGGGCAGGACTGTGAGTGTGCAAGGCCCGGTCGAATCTGTAGATATGGCTTCAAGGGAACTCCTCCCTTTGCCTTAAAGAACAGGATATCGTCGGAGCATAAGGTGGGCTGAATCCAGCCCGTGCCGTAAAAATGGAGCACCGCATACCCCAAAAGAACGGCAAGGATCCGTTTTGTCTTGCCGTTGAGGACGTGGGGGCGTTCCTTGATGAACTGTGACAGTGTAGCGGCCTCCTCTGACTTGTCAATCTGAAACTTGCTCGGTTCAGATGGTATCTTCCAAAGTTCGTTGTTTCTGAGCTCGAAGTTCAATCGGTACATCCAGCGGGTCTTGGAGTCTTTAATCTGGCGACACAAGTACTTCACCTTTGTCTCGGTCCTGCCACGGCGGGCGCTTCTTGCCTTCGGTCGTGAGCCAGTATCGTCCGCGCTGCTGGCTTCATCGACGACGAACTTGACCATGGACCTGGTGACCGACCGGATGCGTGCTTCATGCCACAGCTGGTCGAGGCCGAGAAACATGTTAAAGTCACACTCCTGAGCGTAGCTCTGGGCCCGGTACGTCTCGATGCAGAGGCGGGCGCCGTATCCGTGGGGCACCTTGCAGGTATCGCACATGTCAGTCTTTGAGGAGTCGAGCGCTGAGTAGACTGATCGGGCCAGAGGCCATATATGAAGCGGCGGCATGCTCCTCTGCTTGCTGCCGATGTCGTTCTCTGAGTCAACATGTGACTTGCTAGTCCTTTGCCCCGCCTGACATGTTTCCTCGGCCGCCTTGAGCTGGCTGATCAAATCATCGCGGCGTTGTTTAGAGCCAAAGTCGAGACGCCACAGCGCGAATGAGGCGTTGTCAATGCTTTGACTACCAACGTTGCCGGCCCAGGTCTGTATCAAGGCGTTGAGACCGTCAAAATCACCAGCAGGAAGATTGCGGCTTGTGGCGAGGTCAGCGGTGGCGCCCTCCTCGCCGAAAGGCGCTTCGCTCAGGTCAACAACGCGGTCGAGGGATCGAAGAAGCCTGATGGCCATGCGATTGTTTGCTAGGCTGGCACAAAAGATGTCGGGTGCGTCGTCATAAAGATTCGAGAGGATGATGGTGCGAGCGCTCACATGCCAGTAGAACTTCTTGATCTCAGTCGCGCTTTCCTCGCGAGCCAGGATCTCGCACGCCTGCCGAAAGATGGGCAGTACCTGCCCCAGCAACTGCGCGTCCCCCGACATGGCTGTCGGTGGTGCTCTTCCGCTCTCGCCATTGTCAGACTGCGGCACACGAGGATCTTGCGACATGTTTGTTGCCCTTTGAAGTCCGTCCACCCCCTCCCCAAGTTTGGGGGCTGACCTGTACCACAGGACTCAATGGCCAACACCAAAGGCAGGCCACCTCCCAGGCCGCCTCGCCAAACACGTGAGGCGGCTGGACAGGGGTCTGCCGAGTCTGCCAGCCCCCACGCTGCGACAAGCATCTCGAGGTTCTCGTGTCTCCTCACGGATTCTAAGGACGCAATGAACATACGTGCATTCGGGCCCCAGCTATGGCCGCATCGTTCCTCAGCATATTGACACTGAACGCGAGAAGGCCGCCTGTTGGGGCGGCCTCACCACCGGACGTCGTCATCGCGTCGAGCGCCGGGGCGTGCATCGCAACTTTCGAGCGATGCAAGGAAAACGCCGCGGTCGTCGACCCGCAAAGGCAGTCGTCCGTCGAAGACCAACTTGCTCGGTTCTCTATATGGGCGTTTAACATGGGCGTCTTCGCGAAGCCGAAGCTATCATTAGATCATCGACTCAGAGAGGCAATCGGAATTCGCCACACCGTAGTTGGGCTTCTTGGTGTCTTGAACGACCTCGTTGAGCAATGCGAGTGTTCTCCAATGGCGCCGTCGACTTGTCTGGACAGCAGAATAGCTAACATTCATTAGTATGCACGTTTCTGGCTGATATCGGAGACCCCCTGCTGCAGATCCCCGATCGCAATCAGCGCCTTGCCGGAGGCGAGTTCGAGCGAGTTCTATTAGAGATTGCCGGCGAGCTCACGCTTCTCCATGACCTTTCAAACACTATTAGTCAAGCAGGAAGAAAGGCACAGGAGGAAAAAGCTCCCAAAGATTTTGTCATCAAGGACATCCAAGGCAACGAGCTTGAGGTACCCCTGATGGAGGCATACGCAAGCAATATCCTCGACCGCTTCCCCGACTGCAGTGAGGTGATTCGGAGGCGATTGGCCCATACCATGGTTCTTAGGAGAAAGCGGATACTATACCGAAGGTTTCGCTACGCCGGCAAACCTATCAGGCCGACGCAACCTTCGACCAAGCCCACAGTCCGGCCACCACAAGATCGAGCACCCGTCACCGAATCCCGCACAAGAGTGCGAGAAGCTCGCTTTGAAACAACCACGAAAGTCACCTCCAAGGTTGCGGAGAGTGTGGCACAGTCGACGGCCATAAGAAGTGCGACGACTCTTGCGATGACGGCCTTCCGAGAGGCACAGGCTCCTACCGTGGTTTCGAGGTCGAAAACAATCGCAATCAACTCCCATGAAGGACTCGTCTTCCCACCGGCACCGGGCAAACACATCAGAGATCGGTACAAACAGCTCAAGTTGAAGCAAGAGGAAGACCTCGAACGACGGTTGGGTCGGGTTGCTGCACGACATGCACGCGATGAGAAGAGCAAGAAGAATACGAGAGGGTTCCTCGATGAACTATTGGCCAAGGAGCGGCAGCGAAGTCTACGAGAACTGGAGATTTTGTGGCATAATTGCAACGAATCTGTTGTTGAAGTGATATGTCCGTTTTGCCTCTGCGTCCTGACACGCACGGACGTCAACAGAGACGAGGCCTGGAGGTCAGTATCTGAACATGACGAGTAGCGTCGTTGATGCTAACATGTGATTCCCCTCTAGAGAACACGTCAAGAATGATCTGGATGCCTATGTATGCCTCTTCGAGGAATGCGGCGAACCGGACAAGCTATGGAGACGCAGTGAGGCGTGGTTGAAGCATATGACGGAACACACCCTGCGGTGGAGGTGTCCAGCAAAGGCCCATCGAGACCAGCACTTCGAGACGCAGGACGCCTTCCGGGCTCACCTCTTAGAGGGTCATAAGAAAGCCTATAGCGATGCCGAGCTTGCTATGCTCATCAGCAGAAGCAGGAAAGCCACCGGGCCGCTGTTTATATCATGCCCTCTGTGCGGCCACACCACCGAAGAGGTGAATGGGAAGCTTGAGCAGCACATCGCCGGGCACCTTCGATCGCTCGCTCTCAAGTCCCTCCCCCCTGTACGTGCTCGGCCCCCTAGGCTTCACTGGACCTCCTTTCGCGATATCTCAGTGCGAGCTACCCAGCGCCGCAGCATGCTGACACGGACCGCGACTTATAGGAATATGACGACGCGGACAACGAGGACGAAGATGGGGCCAGTAATCAGGGTTCGTTTGACGCACTTTCCAACCGCAGCACGATCAAAGCTGTCGATGACATGGGAGAGCCACTCGTTTTCGATGATCAGGACGAAGTCCACGAACCACAGACGACTGGGGCCTTTGTGAGCTCAAATGATAAAACGACTCAGCGGCTCGTGAACGCGGACATCCGGCCTCTAACGTACACCGCGGAAGATTTCCATCAGGGCGTGGAAAAGGAAAACGAAGCTTGGACACTCTCATCTACTTATTTTGACCGACTGCTCGTGCCAAATTATCTCGACCTCTACCAATTGGACCAGACGAATCCCGCAAGGCCGGTCTATGTGGACCACACCTATCCCACGGCTGGGAGTCCTCTGAGCGATTTAGACTCCTGGCTTGTCGCAACGAACCATGACAAGGCATTCGAAAACCTCCCGGCGCCGTTGGGCACAGAGTCTGCATACATGTATGATACAGCCGGCCTTGGCGACTGGGCAAATTACGACAAGGAATTCCATGAGCCCTGGGACGCGGTCACGGGATATAGGGACTCGGAATGGCCTACTCGTCCGCCCCTCATCGGGTTGGGGTTAGAGCCTCCAGCTCGGAACGCGCAACCCCTACCTGAGCATCCAACTGAGCATACCAGAGTCTCGCCCTGCAGCAATGAGACGCTCGTAAATATGCCGCCGATATATGTCTCCGCCGCGACGCCCCCTCCTCCAGTCGCTTGGGACGCGGACTCATTTCCATTCGAGCCGCATACTCACGACTTCGTCATCTCTGGCCTCACACATAATGCTAGGGCAGATGATAAGCTGCGCAAACTCATGCAGCGAGTGGTCGCCAAAGAGGCCAGAGAACATGAATGGGACGAATTCCAAAACACACTCGGTCTGGTAATTGATCAGCATTACTCCGGGAGCGATCCCGAGGAACTGGCGGCTTCGGCACTCTTGAACGAATTGAAGAAATCGGCGGAAGAAAATACTGCGATAGCTAAGTCGCAAGCGCGAGCCGGGCCATCGAGGCTTGAAGGCGAGGAACTCGAGAGGCCCGACCACCCGGCAATTCTTTGCAGAGGATGCAGTAAGAGGTTCGGGAGCCCTGAAGAGTTAAATGCACACGTCGCCGCAGAGCACGGGGGCATCGTTAAGAGATACATCTGCCGAGACCCTGAGACAGTTGGCCTTGGCTCCAGCCTCCGGTGCGAGACTCCGCTTTCCAATTGTCAATCCTGTGCGTCAAAGAAACACTACACCAGGTGGCTCAGTGCCGGTGCGCATCTGGCCAGCTGCCACTTGGAGCGGCCCGGGCCTTCGAGCGGCAAGGATAAGAGCGTGTCGAACGACGTGCGCGGAGCCAAGGCTGGAGGTAGTGAGGACGTGTCAGTCGATCTGCAAACCGTGTCGGAGCTCAAGCTATGGTTGGAAGAGGTGTACGTCACCGTCGACGGCGATGTGCTGGAGCCGATTGAGGCCGCCAGGCGCAGTCTTGCTGCACTTGAGCAGGAGCAAAGTGCAGGCGGCCCCCAGACCCTCAATACGGTCTTGCCTCTAGAACAGCGCCCCGGGGCAAATCCTGCATACTGGGGAGGGCCTTAGAACAGTCGGGAGACAGGTGGGGTTTTGGCATCGATGTCCGAGGCCTCCAAGTAGGTAGCGCAAAATTGCGGAAGGGAGATGTACGACTTTTGCTGCTTCCTAGAACGTACGTTGGGATATTCCTGAAGCTGCCGCCAAATGACACAAGACGGTGGAATGACTCCTGCTGGCATGTGCAAACTCCCCCTTGAAATGCTAACTACACCTTGCTCTGAGTATAAACCTCGTCCGAGGGTAGAGACGGGAAGACAGGACGACGATACCACGCACGCATCTTCTCTCCTCCCCTGGCAGCACCCTGCTTTCATGTCCCTCGCAAGCCACCACCACCACCACCATCCAGCGCCAGGTCCCAGGCCACAAAGAAACAAGAGAGGGCCAAAAAAAGAAAAGAGAATAAACCAGCGGCGGCGGCTGCGCCCGATCCGTCAAAAAGAATGCGTGATCTGGGAATCGAACCCAGGGCTCCCCGACGTTGCTCGGATGGCAACGGAGAATTTTACCACTAAACCAATCACGCTGTGGTTGCTCAGATCGGATGGTGGTATCCGATCTGATTGATGGAAGGACACTGCGTTATTTTCTTACAAGTTCTCTTTACTCTTGGTGGCGGTGGGCAGGTGGGCGGGCGGTCGTGGTCGGGGGGGGGTTCGGGCTTCCTGGGCGGGCGGAGATGTGTGGGGCCGCATCTTGCCGTTTTGAGACATCCGCTCCGGAGGGACGTTGACGGGCTGGCTGGCTGGCTCAACTCACAGGTTGTTCAATGACCGTTCAGACAGCCGCCGGACTGGGGAAATGCAAAGGAGAAACGAAGGAGAAAGAACGATGAAATTACGCACACTATTTTTCCTATGTACTTGCTCTGGGTGCATGGCTCTACTAGATAGCTTGCGCCCAGATGGGCATTGTATATGACAGATTTGTACAGCGCACACAAGCAGCCCCTCAAGATTGTACACCTCTGCTGCTCAGCCCTCACTCGCCGTCGGCATCGGGCACCTCAACATCACCATTCTGCTCAGTCCCCACAGTCTTGGGGACTTCGGGCTCCCAGACCGCTTCCACGATGCTCATGCGGCAGCCCTCGATCCTCTTGGCTCCCTTGAACGCGAAGCGCGAGTCCGCCTCGGCGAACAGCGCCTTGAACTCGTCCTCCCGACGCTCCTGCGCGTTCAGCAACGCCAGCATGACCATGTCCATGCTGCGCATCAGCTTGTCGTCCCACGGGTCGTCTATTCCGGGCTGCTCCAGGCAGTGCTCGTTGATGATGATCCTGGCGCCGGGCTTTAGCGCGGGCACCAAGTTGCGCAGAAGTTTCACCGCGTATGGGTTGGAGTAGTTGTGCACGATCCATCTGAAGTAGTAGACTAGACGACAAGTCAGCATGGGAATGGGTGAAAATGGGGACGTTGAAACCTACCGTCCGCATCCTTAATAGGCTGTTCCTTGAAAAAGTCGTGCACCTGAAAGTCGATCCGCTCGGCCACCGACTCGTCCTCGCAGATAGGCTTGGGCGCGCTTTCAACCGTCTTGGGCAGGTCTTGGACCACAAACTTCATGGCATTCCATCTCTTGGCCAGCTCAACGCAGACAAAACCATGGCTTCCTCCAATGTCCACGAAAGTACCCTTTTGCTCGTTCACAGCAGTCAGGTCGCAGCCGTCGACAAAGTACCGTACCTCGTACCCAGCGGTACCAGTCAAGCTCATCATCGCGCCGCCGAACCGCTTTGCTCTTACAGGGTCCTTGCCCAGAGTCACAAACATGGGCTCCTTATCGACGGTTCCATACGCATAGTTGAAGCCCGTTTGTGTTAATGAGGTGGCCTCCGGATGCTCTTGAAGAGCGTCGAGCACATGGGCTGCCGCGGGGAAGTGGTCTTCAGCGTTGAACCCGACCCAGTCCTGAAGGCTGGCATCAGTCGCGAGCAAGCGGGAGGCGGCGGTATGGGCTATGAGGCCAGGAGACGGCTCGCAAAATATTCGGTTGGTCATTGCATGACGCAGAACGCGAGCAAGGTTAATCGGATCGAGAGTCGTTTTGGTTTGCAGTTCTGACAGGGGAATAGGGGCATCCAGGGGTACAAGTTTGGCTGCATCAGTCAGGCAAGGCGATTCTCAAGTTGAAGCGTCGGAAACTTACCAATGTCATATCTGTTGACAACTTGCAGGCTCAGTGTATCCAAAAACTGCAGCCCTGGTCAGCTCACATGGAATTGTGTCGCGTTGTGTTGAAAGAGGACTCACGGCCCACGCGCCCCATCTCACACACTCTCTAGGGCCCCGTGCCAGTCTCTCCAGCTCCTGGCACGAGTTGACAATCTCTTGTCGGCTCCGCTGCACGTCGCCCGGGAGATCGGGATAGTCCTCCGGGGCGTCGGCACCGAATGCTGGTTCTGGGAGGCTGTTGTTCTTAAAGTACGTCTCCACCTTTTCGGACTCGGCGGCAATCTTCTTGGCGAGCTCAACCATGCGGAATTGGCCATTGGGCGCTGCCTCTTCAGGCACAGGCTTTTCCCTTTGTACTGTATTAGGCTCGGGGGCTACGGTTGCCTCTGGCCTCGCCTTGAGACTGGAGAAGCCGGCAAAGGAGCGGCGATTCTGCTTCTTGCGATCCGCCTCTGCTGCCGACGACGGCGACTGGAGCCACGACGGAACCCTGAACTTGGCCATGACGGTGGGGAGGCGTCGACGTTTCCTCCGGCGCCTGGGAGGGAAGGCAACTAGATGCTGCTGGTGTAGCTCGAAAACCTGCTCCGAGTCAGCATTGGCGTTCCTCAGCCGGCAAGTATCCGCCACCCAGGGGCATGAATCACGGGACGATCCGGACGGCAGTGGCACCAAGCTCTCGTTTGCATCGGCCTTGGGCCGAGAAGGAGCTTCGGGCCGCCAAGGTTACACAGGGCAATTCGGCTCTCTGCGCCACATGGCAAACGACCACTCGCGCGAGATACAACCGACTGAGGCGAGGGGACAGGCCCGGACTATGGCACTTGTTCCTTCGACTTGGACGAGATGCATCCGCCGCGAATCAAGATCGATGAGAGAGACCAAGCAGCAAACGATCGTGCAAGCTCGTCGCCGCCTGGATGCCGCAACTACCGGTCAGTCGCGCGACGAGCGCAACACAAGGAAGGGCAAACGGCGCCACGGCGTGCGAGCCCGGGACATGCTGGCGCCCCTCCCTCCCCCTTGTCTCGCGTTCCTGGGGACGAGAGAACAAAAAAAAAATCTCCGGGGCTGCGATCCGACCGCTCGGTAACGAATCGCGCCCCTGGGGTTGCGCCGTCTTGTCACACCCGAGGGATTCGGGGGGGCAGCCCAGGGGGGGAAGGACCCGGGGCCGCGGGTCGGAGCCACGTGGAGGCGAGACAAACGACGCCGGAGGACCTCAATGGGTGGAAGAGAGGAAAGAATGGAGGACTTTGCGGTGGAGGAAGGAAATCGCGGTGATGACCGACGCGACGAGGAGGCAAGGCCAAGGCAAGGCAAGGCAAGGCAACCTGGAAGCGGAAGGAGCGACTGGGCGGGAGAATAAGCTGAATTCGACGTACGTGGTACCCGGGGGCGCGGCGGCAGGCGCGGTCTGCGTCGGACTTTCTGGCGTCTCGGAGACGGGCTCGACGGTAACACGAACGACGGGGGAAGCTGTGCCGGGAGGCTGAACCTGTGCCAATTGTACACGCAATCGAAGGTTAGAGACAGACGCTCCAGATAAGAAGAAGAGAGAAGGACAGGAAGGCCGGGCGTGGCATGATTCCCACATGGGAAAAGGGTTCGCTTGGATTACCTGGGTCGTTTGGGTCGGCCCAGTCTGCCTCCCTCCCGCCCGCCCGCGCGCCGCCCCAGTCCCGTTCCGCGCATCCATCCATCCATCCATCCATCCATTCTAATCCTGCCATGGATGGTGCTACATGCGTACGTGCTCGGACTAGACGGACTGGGCATTTCGCACAAGGCAGGCAAGGTACGAGTACTCCGTACGAACGGACTCGGTTTGGCTTGGTCCGGTACCCATCTGCTGCTGCCCCCCCCCGGCGGCGCTAGTAGACTGCTAGTAATAAGATGCCATGGGGACGGCCATGACTGCTTGTCACTCACACCTCACACACAAGGCAACATGGCAGCCACACGGCTCGCGCGCCTGAGACCGCGCCAGCGGGCCCATCCATACCCTTGTTCTCTGCCCTGCGCCCTGCCTGCATCCCATGCCATGCCCTGTCCCGTTCCTCTCCTCGACTCCCCATGCCCTCCCCCCCTTCGAAAGAAGCTCCATCGACGGCGGCTTGGGGCAAGCACAAAAGGAAAGAAACAGGCAGGTGCTGGGTGCTGATCGTCTGCTTCTCCTCCTTCCCGTTGCCCCCCTCTCCCCCTCGATGCCGATGCCGAGAGCTGCAGCCGGTCCCCGGTTTGAGTGGCTGCAGCGCAACTCTTTGGCAACGCGCGACGCGATGCGGATGCACCAGGGGAGGTCCGGACCGTCCGTGCTAAAATGCTCCGCTGCACGCACGCACGTCCGCTGGTGAAGGTTGGGCGGACGTCCCCATGCCCGGCACCGCCAGGCTGGGCCGGCCGTCTGTCCTCCCTCCCCAATCGCTGATCAGAGTGGTGCACCGGCACGCATGCGGAGGTTTAAGCATGATGCCCCCCTCTCCCCATCCTGGCCTTGCAGCACGGCAGTGCAGTGTCTGGTGCGGCACAGCTCCTCTGACTACCACAGCAGTACCTTGCTACTTCGTACAGCGCGGACATGCCTTGACGATGGGGGAATCGATGCCCGGCTCGACGACGCACCGCGGCACATAGCCAGGGCTAGGTAGCTAGCGGTAGCGTCTCGAGTTGGCAGAGACACGGGCAACACCCGTCCTCGCCCGCCGCGGGCCCTTGATCCAGTGTCCTGCCCGGACTACGTTTACAGTGCACGCACTTGCCGAAAATCGCAGCGCTCATCGTCTCCGACACGATGCATACATACGGTCTGTCATTTGTCATGGCGTTGATGAGCGCCGCTCCCGCCGTGATGATGAATCACGCCTCTCCCCCACAGCGAGACCACGGGAGCGACGGGGGGGCCGGGGCCGTGGCGCTTGGCTCGTGCAATTGGAACTGGAAGCTCACCGACCGACCACCTGGGCAGGCGTCCAGGAGTCCCGTCCAGTCTTCCTCTGGACCCAACGCTCGCGCCGTCCCGGACTCCCGTCCCCGCCCGTCGCCTTCTGGGGCTGACGCTGGGCAGTGGAGGGGGCCCAAGGCGCTCATCATCATGGCGGCCAACACCCGGTGCCTCTCTCCCGGTACCGAGTTACTCCTCTTACCGACGTACCTTTGGTTGGTATGGGCTCTTCACGTGAATGGATATCGGGCAGCCTGAGCCCTCATCTGGAGTCACAGCTAACAATCCTGATGCCGCCCCAGCCGCCGCCTCCTTTCCCAGTGCCAGCAAGTCTCCAGCACCCGCAGCACCAGCATCACCAGGTGCCAGCCAATGGCTCCGGGCCTCTGACCGCGGCGCTTCCCCAAAATGACAGTGTCCATGGGACGGGGCCATCGACACTCGTTAGCGCCGCCACGGCCCTGTCTCAACGCGGAAAAGTCGCCGTCTTGTCATAATCTACGGATACTCCTCCTAGTAAACAGTACCTTGGTTGTCTGCAATATCCGACGAGCCCAGAAATTAGCGCTCTCCCATCTGCTCTCCCCTCATCATGGGGGCCCTGATGCGCAAGTCGCCCGCTCAGGTCCCCGAGCGATCCCGGTCCCTACCTAATCCCCAAGGTCCCCAGGTCCAGGACCCCGGCACCGGGTGTCGTCGCGGCTCATCTCCAGCGGCATCAGGTCGTAGCAAACAAGGGGACGGGTGGCCAGGCCTGACCTGGCATCCCGGCATTCTGGCATCCGGGATGCCTGGGGGACCTAGGTTGCGCGCGCGCGCACGGCCACGCGCGGAGATCGCCCCAGCACAGGGCTCCGAGACAATGTCCCGAATGCTCCCTCGTGGCCGGGACCGAAAAAGGAAACATGTGTCAAGCCACGCATGGGCGAGAAGCAACGTGCAGCGATACTACCGTGTGTGCATCGGGATCGCCCCAGACTGTCGATTTTGATGACCGCCAGGCTTTCGAGCTCGGCCACCTCATGTGCCGTGAGATGCCACTGCAATCCTCTCTCCGCAGATGAATGGTGCCAAGATTGTCACAACGTTATATGTACATACAGTACGAGGTGCATTTTACATCGTTGACATTCTCATACCAAGAGTCTGTCTTCCAAAAAGGATCCGTCAACGCCTGACGCCAGCCAATTCGCGATGCCTTCCATGGCCTGTCGGCCGTCAGTGTACCACCCCTCACTCTCATCAGTCAGCCTTGCGGTACTCCCACATCACATGGCGTACTCTGGCTTCTGCCCGTAGACAATGTGCAGCGGCATGTACATGAGCGCCGAGTTGTCCTGGTACGCCCGTCGCACCTCCATGAGGAAGAGCTCGACCTGCTCGCGGTCCCAGTGAAGCCCTCGTGTTAACGGCCCCAGCGCAATGGCCTGTATCCCGTCGAGCAGGATCGTTCGCCAGTAAAGGCCTACCGTCTTGAGCACCTTGTTCTTGGGCCACGTTCCGATGGGCACGTGGAATATCCGCTCCGTCACGTTGACGAAACCGACCTCGCGCATCATGCCCGCCAGCAGCCCGCCTGCCGCCATGTCCAGGTTGACGCCTAGTGTGTTGAGTCCCTCAGTCACTCGCGCCCAGAACTGCACCACCGCATGCCGGGGATCTACCATGCCGCCGGGCTTGGCCGTCTTTGGGCAGTGGTGAACCTCCTGGAGCTCTATCCAACCACCCGGCTTAAGATGCCTAACCGCCTGGGTCAGCGACACCCGAGTCACATACAGGACTTGGACTACTCACTCGTAGGCTCGGCGGAACATCCTCGTCCAGTCCTTGATGGCCATGACGGTGTGCCGGGAGTGGATGTAATCGAAATGATTCCGCGGGTGAAGCCACGGAGACTCAACATCGTCCACGAGGAACCGCACATTGGGTGGCAGCCAGTCCGGCTGTATGGGTGACAGGTCGATACCTAGAACATGCGCGCTCGGGAACTGATCACCCACTGCAGTATTGGTATTTCGTCAGCACAACGCCCGTCACCCGAGATCCTTGATCCGGTCCGGGAGGCTCACTCTCAATAGCCCAAATGCCGGTCCCGGTGCCTACGTCAAGCACTTCCTGCGGATAGTCGCCTATCGGTGCAAAGTGAAGCTTTTGACTGCACAGCAGCTTGACCATGGCGTGTTTCATATCCTCTCTCTCCTGCTCCACGTCATCGTTCGGAAAGTTGTACGTGCCCTCGCGGAAGCGATGATATCGCCGCCCGTTCTCGTACATGTAGTCTCGCACCGACGACTCCGCCGACGTACTGCCCGAGCTGAAGCCGTCGCTGTCGTAGCCGCCGTCCGTCCCGTCGTCCGGTATTGAGGAAGCATCGAGGCTCTCCGCCACGATGGAGGCCTCGGCCTGAGACAATGCTTCTCGGGCCATCTCCTCCTGCTCAAAGGTCGACAAGGACGGGAACATTGACTGGCCGTTGGGGTGTGTCAGCGGAGAGAGGAGCAACGATTCCGGCCTCCTCCCCGTGCAGCTCTCTTCAACGGAAGCAGGGGAGCTCGGTGCGCTGTGGAAAACGGCTTCGTCGGCAGCATCTTGTTCCACCGCCGCGCTACTCTCCGGAAGACACGGCCGGATCTCGCAGTACGCGGGACTTGGGCGTTCCTTCGCGGCTTCAGAGTCTGCCGGCGGCAGGGGACCTAGCTCCTGCGGTAGTTGCAGCTCTTGCCGACGATCCAACTCGCTCGTCTCCGGACGCAAGACGTGGGTCCCATTCGCCTCGTGTGGCTGCGTGTCGACCGCCCCGTCGTTTTGTGGTACGTGGCCGTCTGGTGGCGCCGCCAGCGGTTGCTGCTGCTGTGGTTGCAGTTGGTCTCGCTGATGTCGTGGCATATCTGGCGGTGCGACCTGGCTGTCGCCAATCCGATGGCTGTCGGGGATTTCAGGCGTCGCGTGTAGGGCCGGCTGGTAGGCTTCGCCATTTGTGTCGGCGTTGTCCAAGGGAATGCTGAGGCTGCTCTTGGCCTCGGTGACGTCAAAGGGAGCACTTTGTGAGGGCGCCGCGAGGGAGGCGTCGAGATCATCGCTCCTCAGGATCGGGCCAGCGGCTCCCGAGACGCCGCTGTCGATTTGAGACGGGCGCTGCATGTCGGAGGGCGTTCGCTGCCCAGGCGGAGGCGTCGAAGCACGGAGCAATCCAGCAAACTGCATCGGTGTCTCCCCACAGGGCGTCATGCGCTTGGTGCCTACTCAGACGCGCGGCATACCATGCCGACACGACGCTGGAGGCCCGAAATGTCGAGTCTGAATTATGCCGACGGAGGAAGACGTTGGACGGCGGGGGCGAGGCGCGGCCGGGGAAGAGGACGGTCCCTGGTACTGAAAAGCCGAAGCACGGGGCCGAGGACAGTTTGGAAATGGTCCAGAAGGGGCGTCAGTGAGCCTCAATGTGTGGCTGCGAGGGACCTTGAAAGAAGCAAAGGCCACCTGGGGCGACTAGCGGTTGTTGGTTCTGGTTCCCTTCGTGAACGGCGCGCCGCAGCTCTTCGGCCCAGCTTGTCCGTGGGCCTCGTTGCCGTTGCGGTATGCGAGCGGTGGTGCGACGGGGCACGAGAGACGGTGGCGATGCCTGTCGTTTGCGAGCGAAGCAAGGGGTTCCTGGCGGTGTAAAGCTGTGTGTGTCGCAGCAGCAGCGACGTCGGGCAAAGGCGAGGGGAGCCGTAGGGTTGATGTACAAGTAACGAGAGAGGAGGTGTGGGCAGGCAGGGCCTGATATCCAGGCATGGATGTGCTGGTGGCGGCGGGAACCCTTCCAGTGGCGGCAGGGACCGCGACGGCTGCTGGAACTCAATGGAGATGGACGGGACGGGACAAATGGAAACGGGGGGGTTGCGGTGGGTCCTGGAGCTCTTCCTCACCCATGGGCGGGTCTCGAGCGGGCGCGGGCGGGCAATCTGGGGCGCGGACGGCACGCGCTGGCAGTGGAGGTAAACGGCCGTGGTTGGGTGGACGTGCCTTGGTTGCAGTGGGATGGACACCCGCATTTGCAGCGACCCTGGTTCGCCTGGCGAGCTTGGGAACAGGCCAGGTGCCTGCCCCTGGGTTGCCTCCGGGCCGTCCATTTCCCGCTGATGGGCGGAGCCCCGCGGGTGTTAGAGGAAGCTGGAACCACTGAAGGCCTAAACGCCCCTGTCGACGATGCCCGTAGCCGCCTGTGGGCTGCGCGCCACCGCTTCCAGATGCCAGGCTGTGTGACTTTAAATGTTCGCACATTTTTTTTTTCCACGTCCTCTACCGACACTCTGGACGCTCCGCTGTGAGAACCTAAATGGGCCATTCGAGGACAATACGGTATGCACCAAAGGTGTTGCTTCCTCGCCCAACCTGCCCGGTCACCCACGGTGTCGCGAACCAATCCATCTGTCCACCCGTCCACCCGTCCGTCCATCCATCCATCCCTCTTTTCACCACCAGAGTTGGATGGAGCCGTCAAAACGGACCCCAATTGGAGCTTCGGGACGCTCTCTCGCGCCCGCCCACTCAAGGCCTGGTAGTGGATGCACGCATGACGCACCCACGAGGCGCGGGCCGTTCGTTCCATTGTTTGCCGCCCGTCCATTACGGATTGCGTCGTGCACGTTCACGCGCCGTGAGTTAGTAACGAGGTGCGAGTACATGTTTCTCCGTACGTGCAACCGAGCCTGCAAATATGCTGTATACGAGAACCCATCGCCACAGCGACATGTGTAAGCGAAGCGGACGCGCCCGGCAAGGTTGTGCTCTGTCCAATGTCCATTCCCCCCGCGCGTGTCGGCGCCCATTTGCCGTCGATGGAACACGCCCTCTGCCCATATCTGGGGAGCAGCGTGGATTCCCCAGGCAGTGATCATCCCGAAAGGTGACGAGTCGACTTAGCAGCGGCTGCATCTCAGCTCGCTCGGCAGAAATGCCCCGAGATGGTCGCGCGTGGAATTTCGGGTGCTGTTCACTAATCACGACAATACGGGACCCGATTGAGGTCGGTGCTGTGTAACCATACTGACTGCCAGCGAGGCGTGCGATCCTCGACATCAGTCCGCTTCCGCGAGCATCTCGTGGCGCGCGTGTCGTTGAGTGAGCAGCGCACATGAATGACTGATCTCAGGCGCAATCAGCGCGACACATGCTGCCGCCCCTTTGCAGACACAGCGTCGAATAAGTCTCATATCGCTGGATTCATGAGCACTTTCCCGGAACCTGGGTCAATTCCGGGACGATGCACGCGAGGTTTCGCTGTTAAAAAGGAAAAGGATGCGAATGGCCCGGTCTCAAATTGGTGCAGACGCGGCCTCAAATATAGCAAATCGCAAGGAGTCGAAATATGATGAAGCGCATACAAAGAAGTGACACGTGGCGACCACAATACCAGATGCGATGACGAAACGGCATGCTATACCCCTGGATCTCGAGCATGTACAGTACAAGCGAGGCACGGGACAGTGCAGTGCCGGAAAGCCGGCTTCGAGGGCAGAACTGATGGTGGCCGAAAGCACACGACTCCAAACCAACAGCAACCAAATTAATATACCGTTTCTGGCTAAAGAAGGTATACTGTATGGGACAATCAACGGCATAACCGGCCTCACCGTGCCGCTGTGCGTGGTCTTTGCGACTTGCTGCTGCCGTGAGAGACCAACTGCATGGCAGAGCTCGCTTCGTGCCACGCACAGATCCCAAGATGGTCACGACAAGTTCAAAAGTGCATCTCCGGCTTTGTTCCTGGGCGGGTGGGCTCCGTGCACTGGCAGCAACGTCACCAACGACGTCCCAGATGGCGGGGACTGTCGTTCCTTGCAAGGTCTCTGCCGTCTTCTGGCCTATAATGCGCTGCCTGGTGTCTCTACCCTACATGGCTCATGGAAGCAACGCGTTTGGCAATGGCAACGACGTTAGGACAACTCCGCGGGGCGTCATCTCGTCTCTCTTAGCCTCAACAATCGCCCATCTCCATATCTCGCAACAGAATGGGCTACAAACTTTATGACACGGCCATGTGAGACGCCTAGGGGTGAGCTTCGGGGCTCCCCAATTTACCACCTCGCCAGAAAAATGCACGAATGCATGTCCATGTTGGTATGAATTTAACATTTCTCCTTTGCTTGACTTCATTCATGCTCATGTGATACGTTTCCTTCCAACACAGCGAGGAGTGCTTTGAGGGTGAACATGATGGTTGGCGGGGTTCGAGGAATAGACTTTCGGGCGGCTCTGAGCAGTCAAGACAATCTCACCAACGACCGGCCCGTTACGGCAATAACCCATGACCTCAGGACCATTCCTCAACCTCACCCCACCGGATACTCGCCTCCGGCACCGCTCGGCCCGCCGCATCGCATCGCATCGCCGTCCGCCGCGCGCCATGTCTCGCGCCTCCAAACCCCCGCGCTGCGTGGGCAGCCCCTCATTCCGGCCGGATGAAGTCGTCGACGACGCCCCGCGGCTGCAGCGGGCGCGGGACCTGCTGGCCAAGGACGACCTGTACGAGGCCAGCCGCGCGCTCCTCGGCCTGCCGGAGCGCGACACCTACACGTACCACGCGACGGCGAGCGTCAAGCTGGCCGAGGTGCAGCACGTCGTGCGCCTGGGCGGCGTCAACGGCTTGCACGGGTGGTATCGCAACGAGGACGGGTCGCCGGTCTGTCAAGCCTTATGCCCTCGCCGCAAGGGATCTGAGATACATTGCGGCATAGGATGGAATTGTTTTGCTAACGAGCATGACAGAGGGATCCTCCGCCGCGGGCAGACATCGATGCCTACATCGCCATCTTCAACCCGGCGACGGCCACGGCCTCTGCGCTCAAAAACTTTGGCACCAACGCCAAGAAGGGGTCCATCCGCGCCGAGGCGGCCGCGCGCCTGCTCGAGAAGCGCTACGTCCACCCGGCGCTCTCGTCGAAGCTGACCGTCCCCAAGGCCAAGTCGCCGCCCAGCCAGAACCCGTACTACGACTTCTGGGCGTGGTCGTGCCGCAACCTCGAGTGGTGCGGGCCCTGCGCGTCGTCGGAGCGCGTGGCCACGAGCCACCACGTCCTGCCCATCCTGATGCACCACTTCGGCTGCGCCACGCCCTCGCACGAGGCGCTCGAGGTGCTCCGGCTGCTGGCCGCGGGGCGGGCCGTGGCCGACGTGGGCTCCGGCAACGGCTACTGGACGTTTCTGCTGCGGCGCTACGGGCTGACGGTGCATCCTGTCGACAACATGCAGAGCGAGTGGCGCGTCAACTGGGTCGACGACACGTCGCTCACCGACGGCGTCAAGTGGCTCGCGAAGCACGCCGGCGGCAAGGACATGGTGCTGCTGCTGGTGTATCCCGTCGTGGGCGGGGACGGCAAGGGCGCCTTCACGAGGGACCTGGTGAGGGCGTATCGGGGCGACACGCTCGCCGTCGTGGGCACGCAGAACGGCAACGGGTATACGGGCTTTAGGGACGTGACCATGGACGAGTACATGAGGCGGGAGCAGCCCGAGTGGACGCGCGTGGTGCAGATTCCGCTGCCGAGCTTCGCCGGCAAGGACGAGGCGCTGTACATATTCCAGCGAGGCGAGCGTTTGCCGCACACGCCGCCGCCGTGATCCCGAATGCAAGCTGTTGCACGACATTGGGCAATTGGTCATTGAGTTGAAGGGCAGCGTGAGGGGCCGGCCGGGTGCGGTCATGTCCCCGTCGGCGCGACGGATCTGGAGATGCTGCATATTACACCACCCACTGTAAATGCCCGTCAGTGTCATGTCATCGGCGTCGCGACTCACCACGTCGCCGCAGGTGACAGGAGCCACGCGACGACCGCCCCCGCCGACAAGTCATCATAGCTCCATAATGACACTCCGTGCCAAGCACGCATCGCATGCCGGAGCATGCCTCGGGGTTGGCCCCCAGCACCCGGCGGAGTTTATGCGTCCGACACGGTGCTGCAGGCCGGACACCTCCGGGGGGCTGAGCAGGCCCGCCTCCGTCCCGCGCAGGGCCAAGCCCACCTGGCTTCGCCCCCAAGACCGACCGCTCCACTAGGTGCCGGTGCTGGCAGCTGCGGCTCGGATGGTCCGTGGCGGCGCCGTTGACGGGCTGGGCATGGGCGGCCTTGGGGGGAGGGTCTTCGCCGTGCTGCATGCGTTGGCTCGTCGGCATGCCGGTGCATCGCCAGCGGCCTCCTAGATACTTCGTACCTTACCTACCATCCATGAATATGGGAGGGAGGGCTCTCTCTGCGAGCTGCTGCTGGCGCCAGAGATCTGCCCGGCGGGCGCGCCATTCGGTGCCTAAGTGGAGGTTCCGACAGGCCGCTCTCCCACCTCCCGTCAGCGCCCGCAGTTGCCCCTCCACGCCAGTGAGGTGCTGTGAGCACTCCCGTCCTCCAGGCTGCCCCTCAGACGTTGCCGGACCCTCCCCTCCCCTCTCCCCCCGCCGCCGGCGCCCTGGCCTAGCGCCGGGGCGGCCGGGTGGCTGGCGACCTGCACTGCAGGAGGGCTGCAGCTGAAGCGTGGGCTGTTCCAGCGGCTCAGCGCCAGCGCCACGGATGGAGCCGCACTGGACGGCCGCCCTGCACCACCTGACAGACGGACCTCAACGGCACCTCCAGGGCTGATGCATGTCTGGGAAGAGGAACCGCTGCTCTGCTGATGAGCGCGCGCGGGCATCGGCGAGTATAAGCTTATTAGCCGGCGCTCAGCTCGAGGAGCTTCCCCCAGCTCCTCTCCCGTCCTCATCTCCAAGGGCGCGACCCCCGCCCTCCGTCAATCACTCAATCCCTCCATCCATTCATCCATCCGTCTCTTCCCACCCACCACCAAGCTTTTCCATCAGGACCGGCCCGCACCCGCCCAAACCTTCGCGCCAGGCCCATCGCCAGGAACCAACCCCTCGCGTGACCCCGCAACACCATGTCGCTCGCCGTCGACGACCGTCGCGGCGGCCGCTCCAGGTCTCGATCGCGTGACCGCCGCGAGCCCGCCCCGACCTACGCCGACGTGCGCGAGCCGAGCTACGTCTACCCAGAGGACGACCTGGACGACCGCTACGCGCCCACCAGCAGCAGCCGCCGCCGCGACCCGGCGGGCGCCTCCTCCGGCCTGCCCTACCCGGCCGAGGGGGGCATGGACGCCATGCTGCCCGGCGCGACGGCCGGACTGTACAGCTACGACGACACACGGCCCGTCTACCGCACCGCGTCGCCCCCGCGCGACTCGTCCTTCCGCAGCTCCAAGACCAACCTCGACGGCGGCCACGTCCCGGGCTCGTTCCCCGAGGACGACCGCCGCTCCAAACGCGACTCGGACGACGACAACAGGCGCGTCCGCTATGCCGCCGAGCCCTCGCGCGACTCCAAGTACGACGCCCGGAGGCGCGACAGGTCCGACGACGACGAGCCCCGCGTGCGGTACGCCGAGCCCCCAAGCAGCAGGGATAAGCACCGCGCGTCCGCCGGCGGCGACCTGCCCGACGACAAGCTCAAGTTTCTACCGCAAAAGTACAGCCGCAGGTACGGCGACGGCGACGGTGACGGAGGCAGGGACAGGAAGGCCGACCGCCGCTCCAAGAAGGAGCGTGATGAGGATGACCTGGCTTATGGCCGCCCGCCCCCGCCGAAGCCGTCGCGGGCAGCCTCCCCGCCTACGTACGGTAGCTACATATCCGGATCGCAGCTGAGCGAAAAGCGCTCGTCCAAGTATGGGCGGGACGACGACGGCGCTGACAGACGGCGCACGAGCCCTCCGGAGGACCCGTACGCGTCGCGCAGGTCGCACCGTGAGTCCTACCGAGATGACCCCAGAAGCTCCGGCGCCAGCGTACTCACCGCGGAGCCCTCGGACCGTGAACGAGACCGTCGGCGCGACAGGTCCCCGGGGCCGTCTGTCCTCACGGCAGAGCCATCGGATCGCGACAGGGATCGCCGACGCGACAAGTCTCCCGGTCCGTCTGCCCTCACGGTCGAGCCCGCAGGCCGGGAGCGTGACCGATCGCGGGATCGCCGAGACAAGTCTCCTGGCCCGTCTGTGCTCACCGTGGAGCCGGGCCGGGATCGGGAGCGGTCAAGAGACCGGCGCGGCGGCACCCGCGACAAGTCGCCTCAGCCTCCCACGGCCCGCATGTCCAGCCTGACGGTTGACACCGGCCGCTCCTCCAACCTGTCCCTCGCCGCGGCGCCGGCCTCGCCGCTCCTCGAGTCGTACCATGGCACGTACCAGGACTGCTCGCCCATGCCGTCGCCCCTGCTGCTAGCCTCCTCCCACCACGAGGATGCGCGCGTCATCGAGGCTCTTTCACCCATTGGCTCCGACATCGAGGGCGACGGCAAGAAGAAGAGCCGGCGCGCGCGGTTCCACGACCCCGAGGACATCGCGACGACGCTCGCGCGCGCCCTCCGCGGGGACCGCACCCCCGACGTGGGGCCGCTGGTCGAGATCCTGCCCAGCCTCACGCACGAGCAGGTCATGGAGCTGCGCGTCGAGTACAAGCGCATCGTCAAGACGGGCTCGGAGCGCAAGGGCGTCAACATCGCCAAGCACATCCGCGCGCGCCTCAAGGACGAGGACGCCAACCTCATGAAGGCGTGCTATTCGGTCGCGCTCGGCAAGTGGGAGAGCGAGGCCTACTGGGCCAACTTTTGGTACCAGGGCGACAAGACGCGGCGCGAGCTGCTCATCGAGTCGCTCATGGGCCGCTCCAACTACGAGATCCACCAGATCAAGGAGGCCTTTACCGACAAGAAGTACGACAACAGCCTCGTCAAGTGCATGAAGACGGAGCTCAAGGAGGACAAGTTCAAAAAGGCCGTCCTGCTGGTCCTCGACGAGCGCCGCATGGAGGACCTCGACCCCTACGGCCGCCGCGTGCCCGTCGACTACAAGCTCGTCGACCAGGACGTTGACGACCTGCGCCGCGCCGTCAAGGCGGAGAAGGGTGGCGAGAGCGCCATGATTGGCATCGTCGTCAAGCGCAGCGACTCGCACCTGCGCGAGGTGCTCAAGGAGTACGAGCACCACTACCGCGCCAACTTTGCGCGCGAGGCCCTCAAGAAGAGCGGCAACCTCGTCGTGAGTGTCCCCCGCTTCCCTGCAGATCCGTATACGTAACAGGGCCGCTGACAATAACTTTTCCAGGGCGAGCTCCTGGCGCACATCCTCAACGGCATCATCAACCGCCCCGTCCGCGACGCCCTCCTGCTGCACCACGCCCTCACCGCGTCGCGCAAGGACGACCTCCGCCGCGAGCTCCTCATCAGCCGCCTCGTCCGCTTCCACTGGGACGCGGCCCACATGCAGGCCGTCAAGCGCGCCTACCGGGAGCGCTACGCCCGCGACCTGCAGGACGCCGTCAAGGACGCCACCTCGGGCCAGTGGGGCCGCTTCTGCGTCGAGCTGTGCATCGCGCGCATGCCAAACGACGTGCGCAGGATCGAGAGGGTTGAAGTCATCCGGTAGATGCTGCCGTCGGGGATGGCGCTTGGGCTTGGTGGAGTGTTGATGTGTCTGATGAGCGAATCGCATAGTACGAGACCATGTAGATGACGGAGATGGTTGAGATGACGAAAGAGTTGTTGCAATTGCTCGAGTGCACGCCACTAATATACCCTCATGGGCGAGGTGCCAATCTGTTTTGTTTTTCTGTTTTCTGTATCAACTCCGTAGGTACTTAATAACAGACATCGGTGCTATCCTTTCTCGAGCAAGAGTTTGTGACAAAGTTAAACGTCAGCTCCCCCTTGGAGACGTCATTGCCGGCAGGGTAGTCCGTCGGTACGCTCCCGCAGACATCGCACTCGTGCAGCACGATGTAGCCCGCCAGCTCCTGGAACTTCTTGCCCTGCCAGCCGCCCGTGTTCTGCAGGAAGGCGCAGACGCCCGAGTACCAGAGCCCCGTCGAGAGCCACCAGGCCTTGCCCGCGGCGGTGAGCTGCTCGTACCCGGCGCAGGCGACCTGCTGGCCGTCGTTGTACCAGCGGTTGGGGTCGATGCGGTTCTCGATGACCTTCCAGAGCTCGCGGGAGGTGTAGTCGGTGAAGTAGTCGCAGTAGCCGCTGCCCCGGCAGTTGATGCCCAGGGCTGCTGCCGAGGAGGCGGCGATGGTGGCGTTGAGGGCCTCCTCGGCGAGGGTGCGCCCAGCGAGGAGGCTGAGGAGCCCGTGCTGGAGGATCGTGCTGGGCCGCATGGTAGTAGTACTTTGTACAGTATCGCCACGGCTGTGGAGATGGCTACAGTACAGACAAGTGTTTTAGAGTATTGCTGTACGTAGAGGGCAAGGGGTCACGGAGTGGCGTGCGGCGTGTGCGGCGTGGACCGAGATGTGGTGAGAATATGGCAATGATCAGCCACGCTCAGGGGGTTTTATTTATACATCTACATGTTTACAGAGATGCAGATGTAGATGTAGGCCAAGATGCTGGCCGGATGTGCTGGAGTCGGTACAGGTGCCAAGGTAGAGTTGAATAGACTATCGCTTTTAAAATCTCGCCTCAGCTTACGGGTAGTGTTTGGTGAACATGGGTGTCGTGCTGCTATATGGAATCAACCTTGACCTTACCGAGATCTCTTTTACTTTACTATTCAGCTGCGCTGTACGTACTGGTGGAACATTCGGTCTGAGTGCCCATGGGCAATGGGAGCCCAAGCGAGTGACCATAATATGCTGTCAGCTGTTCCGATTGCCAGACGGAGTACTCGGTAGCATTTGGGGCTTGTGAGAGGATCCTGGCGCTGCGTATCGTTTCGTTTCTACGATGTCGTGCACTTTATTGGCATCAATGTGTCCTCCGCCCTTGCTGGGTGTTTTTGACTGGACCCGGGAGCTCGAATGCCTTCGACTGCTTGACGGTGGCTGGCATCAAGCAACCAGGCCCAACACTCTTGCTTCTGACACGGCTCTCTGAGCATTCACAGTTTCCAAGCCAAGGTTTACGTTTTATTCGGAGCCAATGTGGCAACAGACTGGAGCGACGGTGTCCGTCCTGCTGGGTGATGGTAAAACTGGGCACGGAAATGATTCATCACTTGCTGCTTCGTTTGCAGCAACATTGTGCGCGCTCCTGGCAAGTGGCAGCAAGAACACCAGCCCGGGGTAAACGCAGCAGATAAATACATCTACAACTCCCAGGAGCCTCGTTTCTACAGTTGCGCATTGTCTTTCAGGGATCTCTCCTTGAGCAAGATGTGCCTCGGCCGCTAAAGACGGGAAGCCCACCGTCCCCACGAAGTTGTCGCTTCGGCCAGACCCGTGGTATCAAGTCCGATCGGGGGCGCAGCTGAGTTGGGGTTGAGGGTTAATGCGTGGTGCATGTCGGCGATCTTCGTGAGGGCCTCCCTCTGAGCCGTCGTCAGTCAGCCTTGAGCACTTCACACGACGAGCAAGCACAGCAATAGTCGCCGACCACCTTGCCGAGGCACGCTTCGCAAGTCAGGCTTTGAAACTACCGGGAGTCCGGGGCCATCCCCCGAGGCGCGCGCTCCAGCATGAGGAATCAGTTGGCATTGCCCAATAAGCACCGCCACTTTGATCCCGCAGGTGAGATCTTAGAATCGCTATGGAGCCCGCTGATGGGCAGATCCAAACTTGTCTTCAGTACTTGTGGCTTGCCGAGTTCTCGCCCCTCCATGTTTGTATCGTAGTTGGCTACTGTCGGACGGCGTTGACGGGGCGCATCGAAGCTTGGATTGCCTAGCGCGCGGGTGCCTGACCTTGAGAGCTTTCCGTATTTGTGGATTTCTTTGATGAACGGCGACGTTCTCGTACGGGCAGTACTTGAGAAGGAAATTCCAGGCGCTTTTAAACAAGCCGAGTCCACGCCATCACGGGCCCGTCACAAAGGATCCGTCACTCATTTACATCGGCGCCCAACATGTTGCCCATCATGGGAAAGTCATCCCACGCCATCCTCCTCACTCTCCTCCTGCACCAAGTCTCTGCGTTCGGGATCAACTGCCAAGGTACTTTCAACGGCAAAGGGCACGACATTGACGATTACCTGAAGCTCGTTTCGCAGCTCGAGGACAACGGCCTTTGGGGACCCGGAGAACAGATCATGTGCAACGCGGCCCAGACTGGATGCCTGTTCACGCAAAAGACGAACGCGCTCGTGACGGGATACGACGTCAAGATTCTGCTGCCGCAGCTGCGCGACCACGGCTGCAACAACCATGGGAGCATCCCGCTGGGATACCCGGCCGTCAACGACGTCAACCAGGGGGAGCTCACGTCCAACGCCGTTGACCCAGGGAACGCCAAGTGCGTATATGGAATCTGCCCCCCGAAGAAGCACCTGGATCCTCCTTCCCAAGACCCGCCGGCGCCGCCTCCTAGCCCTACACCGGAGACTCTTGAGACGGGTCCGAGGCCGGCAGACCCGGTGTGCGCGTGGGCAGGCCACTGTGTTGGTGAGTCTGCTCTTGTACCAGTGACGATTGGGTAGACGTAGCTGACAACAGACCCGATAGGCGCCCCGTGCAAGGACTACAACGATTGCTCCGACTCGCTGGTGTGCCGCGCTGGAGTCTGTGCCACCGCATAAGGGAGCCTTTGTTGGAACATAGTTGCTGAGCACGCATGCAAATCGTCAAGCCTAGCCAAAGGACGCTTGTTTCAAGAAGTGTTGGATCTCACAAGCACTGCACATACGCCAGCTACTGCACAAAAAAGAATTGCAGCTTCTGTTGAAGACGTGGTCTGTGAAGCATTTACTATCTCAGTTGGCCCCGAGGAAGCTAGTGCCATTGCTATCTCGAGATCAAAGAGGTCGTTGAACGCCGGAATCTAGTATAGTGTATCAGTGGCCCTTTCCAGGTCGATCCTGATATATATCCCATTCCCGGGTCTCTTGGGCTACTAGTTACTGCGATCGACGTTGCTCTCTATCCACATGTGACTCTCTTATCGCAGGAACGACCAGAAAACAAGAGCCATAAACCTAGTTGACAAGGTCGTAGGTTAAGTGCTGAATGGTACTTACAAGACGAACCCGCGCAGCTCTGGTTACGTGATAACACTAGTAGTCCTCCTGCCGTCGGCCTATATCTGCCCCGACACTCACATCCGCCCATCACCTCAATGTCTCATGCACCTCACCAAGCACCACCGCCCTCAACTTCCCCGAATCCAGAAAGCGCTCCTCATCCTCCCTAATCGCAGCCGCAATCTCCTCCGACTGATACTTGGCAAAGAACTCTTTAAAGGCGTCCTCATTCTCAAACGTCAGCTCCGATATGACATCGTACTCAAAGTCGAACTGGTCGCCGGCCAGCACCGTGGCAGGATGATGATGCTGCGCGTCGCCCGATTGATCTGTCTCGCTGCGGTGGATGTAGCGACGGACGTGAGAGATGGGAAAGGCCGCGCCGAAGAGCCGCTTCAGCAGACCCATGTGTGTGCCCTCGAGGTGGTGGCGGAATTCTGTCGGGCTCAAGCCCGGCTTGCGGTAGGCGAAGAGAAGGACCTTGAAGACCATGTTTGCAATTGAGGCTTCCAAGCAGCTTTAATTTGAGTCCTGATTGTGGCTGTTGTGAAGGAGAGGCGGGTAAACTGCTGCTCGATCAAATCGTAGCGGCACTACTGCAGGCTGTGAATGGTGTATGAATGCTCTTGTTACAGAGACGAGAGCCGCATAAGTATTACAGCTGACGCGTCGAGAACAGAAGCGACACACCCCGCACACATTCACCATTTGGGCAGTAGCCGGCTGTCTTTCAAATCAAGCATTATTAATTCACTGCAGCCTGTTGATTTGCAGGGGACAATCTCATGTGTTCTGGCAGGCATCTCAGCAACCTGAAGGATCGCCGCCCCCTTCCGCTCCACTCCGTAGTGCAACCCCCCTCCCAATCCATACTCGACGCTCTGTGCTAGTCAGAAACGGGAGCGGCGCTTCCCCATAGATCATTTATAGACGGCCGGCTACCCGTCCGGCTGCTGCTCTCTCGGTCCCGAACGCCGCTCCGCCCGTGCCGGTCAGAAACATGGTTCGGCCACGCACGAGTCCTTCGGCTCCGGCGCCAAGATAGTCGCAGACATTCATCATGACCGTAGACATGTTCCAAGTATATAACACCATCCTGTCAATGGCCCCTTTGGCCGCAATTAGAAAGTCAAGTGTACACTGACTGATGCCAAAGCCACAATGGGCAAACCAAGGCAAAAGACAGTCCTCATCACCGGCTGCAGCGAAGGCGGCGCCGGAGCAGCACTGGCTCAAGAGTTCCACAGTCGCGGCTTTCATGTAATAGCCACATCAACAGACGGCCTCAAGATGCAATCGTTAAACGACCTCGGCATCACCACTCTCGCACTCGACATCACCTCTCCCACTTCACGCACCCGCCTAGCCGAGGAGATCCGCCGCATTACCGGCAGCGGCGGCGGCCGCCTCGACATGCTCATCAACAACGCCGCCATCTTCACCCTCATGCCGCTCTTAGACGTCGACCTCCACGACGGGCGCACCATGTTCGACGTCAACCTCTTCGGCCCGCTGGCCATGGTGCAGACCTGCCTGCCCTTCCTGCTGGCCGCCGGCGGAACGGCAACCGTCGCCAACGTGAGCAGCATATCGGCAATCATGTGCCCGCCCTGGCAGGGCATGTACGCAGCCAGCAAGGCCGCACTTGTCGCCATGGGAAACATCCTGCGGGTCGAGCTCGCGCCTTTGGGCGTCAACGTCGTCACCATCATGTCTGGGGGTGTGGCTACCGCGGCGATGCAGACGGGCGAGCGGCAGAGCCAGCGCGTTCCAAGCGATAGCCTGTACCGACAGCTGGCGCCGTATATCGAGGGAAACAAAGCTGGCAAGGCTATCAAAAGCATGGAACCAGCTGAATATGCTAGACAGGTGGCGGACGATTTGCTCGGCACGCGGCCGCGGCCGCTCATTTGGAGGGGAGCGTTCGCATGGGTAGCTTGGGTATTCACCTGGCTCGGGTGGGTGGGAATAATGGACGGTGGCCACGCAAAACGAGCTCTCCTGAATCAGCTACATAATCCTTCAACATAGACCCATGCATTGGCAACAATAATAGTGTACGCAATGGCGCTAGCCAAGTTGAGTCTGTACACCCTGCCCCTTGACAACCATCTCAGGAGCCTACATGTGTCCGCAGAGGCATGCTGCGCAGTGTGTATAAACCAGTGAGGGATTCTGGAGAGGAATCAGAATACGGCAAGCTTGATGTATCCAAAGGTAGCCAGTCGCTGCGACAAAATGCCCTGCCAACGCCATGCTTCACTTCTTTGAGCCCTTTCCGCCCCGGCCGCCTTTGCCCTGGCCCTTTCCACCTCCGCCCTTCCCCTTGGCACCGCCGCCTCCGCCTCCACTGCCTCCACCAGCCACCATGACCCTCACCTTGCCCACGGGCACGGAGTTAATCACCTCCTCTGGCTTCAGAGCCTTGAGGAGCTCTACTTCGCGTGGCCACATCCTCTCCGAGTCCCTTGATGATTCGTCAACGACACCCTTCTTGCCTGAAGCCACCTTCCATCTCTCAAGCACCTCCTTGACTGCCTTGCCCTTCTTGGTTGCGCCCGGCTGCATCTTGACCTTGTACTTGAACTTGCCGAGAGCGGGCCAAGGGGCACAGACGGGGATCGCTTCGAGGATTTCGTCGCCCGCGAGAGGCGTTCCGACGAGGTCGTCGAGTGAAGTTGCCTTCTCGGCCTCCTCTGGCTCCAGGACGTCAACGCCTTCGTCCATCATGACTCGGCGAATCTCCTCGTGCTCGGCCGTTTCCTTCTGCTTGCGCTGATGTTGTGCCCGTCGACGCTCTTTGGCGGCCTCGAGTTCGGCCGCGCGCTCTGCCTTGGCCTTGGCTTCTTCCTCGGCGCGCTTCTGTCCAGTAGTTGCGCCAATGAGCGCCTCGGCGACTAGTCGGTCCTCCTCGTCTTGATCTTTGTACTTGCTGGCGATCTTCTTGGCCTTGCCTTTCTGGCCACGCTTCTTGGGGGCTTGCTTGCTGGTGGCCGAGCTGGCCGCTTGCGATGATCGGGCAGCAGATGTTATCGTCGGGGCCTCAGAGACCTCAGTGGCCAGCTCCGAGCGGTCCTGGACGTCCCTATCCCCTTCACTGGTTTCTTCCTCCTCGTCTTCTGCGCCATCATTATGCTTCCCAACCTGGTCGGCCACTTTGAGCTCTGCGACCTGGTCTTCCACCTCATCTACTTCGTCCCGCCGTCGGCTGTCAAAGGTCTGGAGAGGGTTGTCTCGGCCAGCTGCGGCGGCATCGCCGTTCGCGGACTCGTTGTCAGACGCATTTCCATCGTCAGCTGGGGCATCGATGTCCTCATCCTCGTTGCCTTCAGATTCTTCATCTCCAGCGACCGACTCTTGTGTGTCCGCACGGGATTGAGAGTCACCGGTATTGCTTCCAATGGCGGAGTCGCCGTCGTACAGCCGATGCTTAACGTGCCTCGCCTTGCTCTCCTCGCTGATCTTGAACATAATGCCCAGACCGAGCAGAAGCTGAGTCGGTGGCAAAAAGTTCTTCTTGCCTTTGACCATGAAGCTGCCTGATGGAAGAAACTCTCCGGTTGGTGCAGACTTGGAGACTTGGTCTGCGTTAACCCACCATGCTCCCATTCCCGCCTTCGAGTCCCAAGCGTCAGAGCCACAAACCGATAATGACCCCGCTTGCGACAAGGTGGCAGGGGGGATCGGGGCGTCTGGAGTGCTCGCGTTGTTCTTGATGATGACGCTCGGCGCGCCCTTCAAATCTGCGTGGCAGTATACATCGCCCTTACGCAGATATCGCCTGTAGAGCATCTCATTCTGCGATGCGTCCTTGCCCCCGATAACCAAGTAGCCGTCAGACGAGATGAACCAGATGAACTTTTCGAACCACATCTGTTTTCGAATGGGTTGCAGGAGTGCCTTTTCTTGCTTGAGGCCCTTCTTCAAGTCTTCGTTGATCTTCTGCTCGGTGTTCTTCAATGCCCGAGCCGCCTGCAGTTGCGTCTTTTCCTCCTTGGAGGCCGCAGACCGCCGCTGGTCGTGGTACTCTCGTGCGTTACTCCATGGACTTATGGTGAGGTTAATGTCGACGGAAAGGCTTTTGTCGCTGGCTTTGGGTTTGCTTGAAGCTTGCTCCTCATCGCCATCCTCTGATTCGCTGTCATCCGTCTCGAAAGGGTCTTCTTCTTCCTCCTCTTCGAATTCCTCCTCGGATATCTTAAGCGTAACGGTGTTCTCCGCGAGCTTCAAGGGTAGCATGATGATTTCGGCGACGGGATTATGCTTCTTCTTCTCCCGCTCCACCAGCTTGCCGATGTCGACCCAATCCATGCCCTGCGCGAGGAGACCGTTCACGGCATCCATGGCCTCCTGCACGCGCTCCACATTCGCTTCAATGGCGGCGGCTTTGCGAAAGTTCATAGTCTGCACCTCTTGTAGGCCTTCAAGTCGCTTTTCCTGGTCGCGTTTGGCGGCTTCTAGCTTTCTCTTTGCCGTCGCCTCTCTCTCCGTCAGGCGGCTTTCCAATTTCTGGCCTTCGAGCGACGAGAAGAACTCGTCAACCGTCTGGTTGTAGCCGGTAAATTCCAGGACCTTGATGGAAGGGTCATTTCGAAGCTTCTGTGGCACGAAGGGGTGAAAGTCCTCGTAGAGAAGACCCTCCCTGTTGGGCTCATCGTTGTTGGTGCTGGCGGTGGTGCCGCCGGACGCGTCCTCTCTCCGTTTGGCAAATATATAGCCAGTGCATACGGGGGCCGAGGTAATATCTTCGACCGTCTTGCGAGCCTCGCTCAAAAGGCGAACAAGTTCGTCCAGGAGAGTCTCATTCGCGAGAACCTCTGCGGGCTTGACCGCAGTATCAAAGTTGTTTGACTGAAGCGTGTGATCGACGAGAACAGGAGGAAGTTCGGTGATTGAGACCGCGAGACTCTTTCTCAGGTCACCACCAGGCTTGCCCTTGAGCTTCTTGCTAGACGATGCGTCCGCGCTAGCTTTCTGAACTGCCGACTCCAACGCTTCTTGAACCCTGCCCTTGGTCATCGGCGGAATGCCATGGTAGTTTTGTCTGTTGTCCAAGTTGTATTGTAGTCCAACTCGTTGAGGTTCCTGGCCATCGCTCTCTGATACGTTTCGTGCAATCGTAAGAATGTTACGGTCGGCATCGGTAAGGATAATGTTGCCGCTCTAATATTCGTGTCAGCTACTACTTCTCCGCATCCGGCGTCGCAAGAGCCTACGGCAAAGAACTCCAGGAACAGACGGTATTGGCCATCGCTGAACTGGAACTCGAGGATTCTGTCTGTGCCGACTTGCGCTACAGACGTTAACCTCCGCGTCTTGAGGACTTTTCTGAGCCGGGCAACAAAGGCGGATGGCGCGGCGGCCGTGGTTCGTGCGAACTCGGTGAGGTGGCATCGGAAGCCGGTGTCGATGACGAGCTGCTTCTTGTTATCGGGCTTGGCGAACTTGAGGAGCAAGATCTTGGACGAGAGATCGTAGATGTTGGCCAGCCGCAGCGACACCAAGCTCTGGTTGAGCTCGTGCGCGATGACCTATGGAGCTGTCAGCGCTGAAGCTCCCGAATGCGCCGACCTGGCAGTGCGACTCACCTTGACGTCCAGGGAAGAGAAGCGCTGCTTCATTTTGGCTGCGGAAGAGGAACGGCGACTTGTGACGAAGGGAGGGCAGAACCAGGCCGCTCGAGCCAGACTGGGAGTTGGTGATCAAGAAACGCCCCTCAGCGTTGGAATTTGGCCGGCCTGAGTCAACGTGGGGCAATCGTCATCGCGGGGCAGCTGCGACCGACAAAGCCCCAATTCCCAGCTGCCATGGCCAGCTTGGTGCACTCCAGCCCGCCGTCACGTGCTGGCTCTGCTGACTTATACACATGGAAACTGAGGGAAGGCAGCATGGCTGCACCTGCCTGTCGAGGAATTGAAGCAAGTCGTGTGGCAGGATAATGTGCAAGAGAAAGTGAAATTCGCATCTGCCTCGATTCCATGCTTCATGGATTGTAACTCGTACAACGGACATATAGATGCGACCCGCCTCTTCACCGCCAGTCCCCAATCCGCAGACGCTTGCAGCACGGCTTCGAAGACAGCCAGCTCCCTTGTGTCACCGCACACGAACCTGCAGCAATTGTGAAGACGAATCTGACATTCGAGGAGCCTCGTCTCCGCGCCACACGGTCAGGCCGTCACAGGCCGGAGACGGACCCCCTGATTGCTTTGGCCGAGGTACAACACATGAGCCCAGGACCCGCTTCATCTCCAGACGCGGTGCGAGGTCCATCAACATGAAAGCCCCAGCCAGACGCGACGCTGGGCTGTGATGATCGGAGCCAAGCAGCCCACCACCCCGACCGACGGAACACTATTGGGCCCCTGCCCAACCACAAATAGTGCCGTGGGCAGCCAGGGGTCCAGTGTTGTCACAGCAACGACCGAGACCCCAGACTCAGCTGGTTTGGGGTGCTCACTACGGGAAGGCTCGGGGGAAAGGGGGATCAGGAAGCTCCGGGGTACGATCTCTGAGGGCACAGAAGCCCGAGGCAATTGCCATTGCTTTCGTGTCTGCCAGCGATCGAGGGTCGAAGCGGATCGCCTCAATCGACGGGGCGGGAGGAGAGGAGCCCAAGTGGGTTGCAGCGACGCGCCTCGCCCAGCAGGACCGTGTCCCAAGGTGACACGAACAGCTAACCGGCACCGCCGTGGCGATAATAAATCTAATCATCAATGGATGCAGATTCGAAGGCGGCAACCCAATGGCGGCGCTCCACGACGCCATGTATGTACCGTGCGTGCAAGGGGGGTTGGGCTCGGCTGGGCTCTGCCGCGGCAGGAGGGCGACGGCGGCACGGAACTTGGAACTCGTACGGCAACTTGGTACGTGTACTCCGATGTGTGTACGGGCTCCTCTCCATTGCCTGGGCGTCGACGAGTCAGTCGGGTGCCATTGGCAGGTCAATTCGAGACGGCTCGTGCCCAGTCTTCCCGCCAGCCATGTCGCTCCGCCCGCTGAGCTGGGTCGAGGACGCACCGGGCGACAATGGGCTTTGCGCAGCTCGACAGGAATGCTCGAGGCGGGAGCTTGTCGGGGCGGCAGCGTGGCGGCCATGAGATCTGCCACTTTGCTACGGGGCCTTCCCGCGCTGCCGCATTCCTGTGGCCCAGCCCCCCTCCGATGCCGAAACACCATTCGCATGAGGAGCCAACGAGTCGAGGCGTCGCAACGCAACGCAACGCGACGCAGCACCCAGCATCAGCAGTGAGTGGTTGGGCCCTGGGCTGTGCTTGCATGGTTCGACGGCCGAGTCGGAGACGTTTGTTGGCGAAGGTTGGCGCCGCTGTGGAGTCTGGACGCACGGCTATGCCGCTTTGGACGCGAGTAAACAACGACTGTAAACACGGCGGCCCGGATAGACACACCCTGTCGACGCAACGGCGGGCGTCGTCCAATCCAGCCCCCGTCCTCAAAACCCATCGCGCGTCTGCCGCTGCTGTCCTTCTCCATCCTTTCCTCCAATTACCTCCATCCACATCAGACAAACGAGCGCAAAGACCACCAGGACAAGAAGACTTCAAGAGGCATACCCCAAGTCCTCGCCCTTCTTTCCTTTCTCTTCGACTTTTGTTTCCCAGGAACAAAAGCCAGGGAACCTTCTTGTCTTCCTTTCGTGCTGCTAGCTACGGAAGGTTGTATGAGAAGATTCTCTCGCGCCAGCAAAAGTCGCCAATCTGGACTTTGAGGCCCGCGTCCCCGTCCCCTTCAGCATCTTCCCATCGTCATATCGGGACAGCGAAGCGCAGACCACCACCCAGCAGACTCACCAGGAGGTCGACATCCAGCTTCCCCCCAAGCAGCCAGCCGGACGGGAAGGTCAATACTCTTCTTACACCGCCAACGTCGATCTCCCACACCGTGGTGAGAACCGCTACAGCGAAGAAGAGGTCCGCATCACACGTGAAGAAGAGCGTTACCGCCGTCCCGGTTTCCAGCACGAGCAGTACGTCAAGGAGGACCGCCGGTACGTGTTTGCGCTCTCGCATCTTGCTTCTCTCTCGCTCCTCCCAACCGCCTGCCCAGCCACTCTCCTCCATACCCCATCTCTCCCCCCTTCTCCCGCCCGCCCAAAATCGCCCCATCCACGCGTCCCGCGAAAAAGCAAGCCAGCCAGCCCGCTTGGATGGATGGATGCGGTGTGATCGATGACAGGGTGCCGTTCCGCGGTCGCAGCCAATGCATCCACCGCAGCTGAGTCTGGCAGGGCCCATGCGTCCGCTCCCGGAGGCCCCCGGCCCAGGGGACCCTGGCCCGGCGCAGGATCTGTTGACCTAGAAACGGGGTTGCTTGCCTGCCTGCCTGGCCTTGCCTGCCTCTCTCCCAACAAACAAAGACCACACGGACTGACATGTCTTCTCTTCTCTCTCAGACCTACACGCACTGAGTATAACGACACTCACATTGAGATCGATACTCATCGCCACCCCTACGCCAACCCCATCGACGTCGCTGAGCGTGAATACCGAGAGCGTTTCCGCCCCCAGTATTCCACCACCGTAGACGCCCCTGCCCGCCCTCAGTACACCACCGAGAGCGTCAAGGTCAACGAGTACACCGTTGACGGAGCATCTGCCCGCCCTACCTACACGGAGAACGTCAAGATCACCGAGGAGACCGTTGAGCCTTCCCGCTTCAGCCTCGCCAACCAAAAGTCCAACATGGGTTACTACGACGAGGACGGTGAGTGATGGACCCCCAATGCCGACCCGTGCCCCGAGGGTGCACGGCCATGTAAGACAAGTCTCATCATGCTAACGACTGAGGGTGCAGGCCACTACCACTCCTTCCGCCACGGGATTCACAAGCTGGCCGACAAGATTGTGCACCCCAGCGGCCACCACCACCACCACCATGACCACATCGATGTGGACATTCGCGAGACGGTGACGGGCCCCCGTCCCCGTCCCGGCGACTCGGGCGACTCGTACCTGCCCAACACGGTCACGATCCCGTGCCACCACATCCGGCTGGGCGACTTCCTGATGCTCCAGGGCCGGCCGTGCCAGGTGATCCGCATCTCGACGTCGCCGGCGACGGGCCAGTACCGCTACCTGGGCGTGGACCTGTTCACCAAGCAGCTGCACGAGGAGTCGTCCTTCATCTCCAACCCGGCGCCCAGCGTCGTGGTGCAGACGATGCTCGGCCCCGTCTTCAAGCAGTACCGCGTCCTGGACATGCACGACGGCCGCGTCGTCGCCATGACGGAGACGGGCGACGTCAAGCAGGGCCTGGCCGTCATCGACCAGTCCAATCTGTGGTCGCGCCTGCACAACGCGTTCGAGTCTGGCCGCGGCAGCGTCCGCGTCCTGGTCCTCAACGACTCGGGCCGCGAGCTCGCCGTCGACATGAAGGTCATCCACGGCTCGCGCCTGTAAAGGCCACAACCGCCCGCGCCCGAGCTCCTTTGACGGAGGACACGGCGGGCAGGGTGCGGCGCCACGCGTGCGCATCCGACGCCGTGGAATCGAGGGTCATTGGATTGTAGAACATTCGCCGCGCTTTGGGTTTTAATGGACGGACATGTTTCATTGGAAATTCGGAGTCGCATGAGCAGCACGTACGGTAGATAGGACATTATGTACATCGGCCAATGAATGTCGTTTCATACTACCTGAGTAGTCGTACTGTGCTGTTACCTAGTCGCGATGCTGTGCTGGTTGTGATGTGATGGCCCGCCAGAGCTGTTCCCATGACAGCTCTCAGGGTTCTCAGTTGCGCGACCCTGCGGCGGTCCAGTGTCAATCACGCATTGGCAGCGCCCGCTAGCCCGCGCCCGATCAGGCAAGTGGTTGCCAGCCTCCCCCGGGTACCGCGCCCTTGCGCTGCCGTCTTGCCGTCCAGGTTCCCGCCCGTTGCGAGCTGCGTCGCGCATGAAGATGGAATAAATCTCTTGACAGAAATCAAGGCCATGTTTGATGTTGATGAGACTCGTAGGCGGTGGCTAACATCCGCGTTTTGGCTGCGCGAGGCTGCTGCGTATCGCATGGTCGCGGTGGTGGCATCGGTTTATGGATGGGCGAGTTGGCCGACGGTGAGGAGGAGGAGGTAGGCGCTGTAAGACGAACGAGCATTATCGCGGCGTGCGGAGGCACGGGGACACACACACACCACCTGCATGCGGAGGAATGGCGACGTATGATGATACGGGGGTTCGTTCCCCCCGTCCCTCCCTCCCTCCCAACCGCTGGTCTGGGTCCGGCGAGACAGACCTCGGAGCTTATTTATTTATCGCCCTGATTCCCCCTCATCCTCATACAGCAGCGCCACCTCCCATTGTCCAACTTGCAGTGCAAAACGTGTCTGACACGGTTCTTGCACGGAGTCGTGTGTGTCTGTGTGTGGTTGACTCACTCCAGCGCTCACAGCCCCTCACAGCCAGCGCACCTGAGAAGCACGAGTACGGAATAGCAAGTAACGACAACTTCATCGAGCACCATGGGGGGCCAGCCGTCCAAAGTCGCCGTGGACGAGAAGCGCGCCGTCGAGCGCTTCCGCGCCATGACCATCCGCGAGGGGGACGAGGGGGACTACGTCGAGATTGGAGACGGCTCGCAGCACGATGAAAAGGATGGGGGGCATAGAGCGCCGAATAGGGAGCCCGAGGGCCTGCCGCTAGATGCCGTGGCCGCGCTGCCGTCCAGCATCCTCGCGGACCCCAAGAACAGGTGAGGCCTCAAGACATGTGCACCCGATGAGAGGATGCAGATGGGTGGCAGGACAAGGAGAACCGCCTTCACGCCGAATAGCTGAGCTGAGCTGACTGGAACCCGTGCAACGACAACAGACTCGCCCTCGCGGCCCTCAGCTCCGCCAACCCCAAGCAGGTCCTCACGCAGCTCCCCGCCCAAATCGCCGACCAGCAAGTCTTCAACGTCAAGATCCCCTTCGAGGGCGGGCCCATCACCAACCAGCGCTCGAGTGGGCGGTGCTGGCTCTTCGCCTCGACCAACGTCTTCCGCGTCGCCCTCATGCGGCGCTACCACCTCGACGCCTTCGAGCTGTCGCAGGCCTACCTCTTCTACTGGGACAAGCTCGAAAAGGCAAACTGGTTCCTCGAGCAGGTCATCGAGACGGCCGCCGACGAGGACCTCGACGGCCGCCTCGTCCAGGCGCTGCTCGCGGACCCCGTCTCTGACGGCGGCCAGTGGGACATGGTGTATAACCTCGTCGACAAGTATGGCCTCGTGCCCCAGACTCTGTACCCGGATGGCTGGAATGCCAAGAACTCTTCTGTTCTGAACGCGACCGTCGTCAACAAGCTGCGTGAGTACGCGCTGCGTCTGCGGGCCTTTGCGAGGCGCGATCAACCCACGCCCCCGGCCCTGCTCAGTGCCATCAAGATCACCATGATGCGCGAGATCCAAAAGATCATGACACTGTTGCTCGGCCCGCCCCCGAGCCCGACAAAGGCGTTTACGTGGCAGTACAACGATAAGGACGGCAAGGCGCACGAGCTCACCATCACGCCAAAGGACTTTGCCAAGAACATCACCAGCAGCGACTTCCGGGTCACCTCGGCCGTCATCGAGAGCATGGTGTCCCTTGTCAACGACCCGCGGCACGACCCGCTGTCTCTTCTCACCGTGTCGCGCCTGGGCAACGTGGTCGGCGGCCGGGGCGTGAGCTACATCAACGTGGACATGGACACGCTCAAGGAGGCGTGCGTCAAGATGCTCAAGGCCGGCCTGCCCATCTTCTTCGGGTCAGACGTCGGCCAGTTCAGCAACAGCGCGTCGGGCATCATGGACCTCGACCTGATCGATTACGAGGTCGGCATCGGGTCGTCCCTCCTCGGCATGAGCAAGGCGGAGAGGCTGCTGACGGGCGAGAGCCAGATGACTCACGCCATGGTCCTGACGGCGGTACACGTTGACGAGCAGACGGGCAAGCCGATACGGTGGAGGGTGCAGAACAGCTGGGGCACCGACGCGGGAGACAAGGGGTGGTTCGTCATGAGCGATGCCTGGATGGACGAGTTTGTGTATCAGGCCGTCGTCGACCCACGCTTCTGCAGCAAGGAGGTCAGGGACGTCCTGAAGAAGGAGCCCGTTGTGCTGCCACTGTGGGATCCGATGGGCTCTCTGGCCTAGACGGTTCGCCATCGCCACTTCCGAGAGGACTCTGTACATATGTCAGGGATGAGCCCTGCTGGAGCAGCCCGCGAAGTGTGTCTGTGATTTTTTCTCTTTGGACATCATTCGTTGTTTGGCAAGAATCAGGTAGCGGTGCGGGCCCCGTCCTGCACTCTACGGGTCCCATGACGGCGGCATACAAATGTGCAAATCACCGAGATTTGATATTGGGTGCCCGTCGGCGGGGAGCTCGGTCTTCTCTGGCAGCCGCATTGTCGCAGATGGCAGGCCAGGAGGCAAAGTCCGTGTGTCTCATGCTGCATGCTAGTCGATTACGGCTTGGCTCTCGGGACTGTCTAGGGGCGTAGTAAACTCCGCAGCTAGCATCTGTGCCAGGATCATGGATGCTGAGTAGGCGGCTCGTAGCGTTTATGCCCAACCTGAACACTTCTTGCGGGTAAACGCTGCGTTTTCGCCCAGCGATGCTGGTCAGATGTCGTCCTGTCCTACTTCGTAGAGAACCGCACTTTCACGATGTGTGCATTTGCCACTCTTCGGCAGTTACACGAGAGCACATGGGGTTTGTGCGACTCTGAGGTATGCTGCTGACCAACCCGTTGATCTTTGTTGATGTGGTTTGGCTTCATGGGGCGCTGTCGTAGCTGCTGAGTGGCCTCGTCGGGCATCAGAAGCACGAGTGAAACCGGGAGACACAAAGTTGATGGCGAGGCTCCCCGTTTACCTCAACGAGTCAGGCCAAATATGGATTTGATTTAGTGATGATCATTGCAGTCTCCAGGTGGTTGGGCCATCTGACTTGGAGCCCAACGATTCATTGACGATGGGGTTGCATCTGATGATAATTTTGTGCGGATCAAAAAAGCTGGGCGAGTCGCTGGAGCAAGAGCGGATCCTGCTCCCCCGGTGAAAATTGACGATGCCCGCCCGAGGCTGCGGAGGTCAAGGACAAAACAATTGGCAGATTTGGAATCGAAGACTCGTACCTCTGCCAAGACTGGATGACTTACTGACGAGACGCGAGCGTGGCGGTGGCCAACATTGGCGCGTTGCGCTCGGAAGGAGCCACCACGCCATGCAATGCTCCTTCCGAGTTATAGTTGTAGTAACGTGACAGCTCTGCCTCAATCTGCTCTGCTTTGTCAGGGAAACTTCGAGAACCGCAGTGTACCAGAGCACGCACCAATCCATCAATCATCACCAGCTCGAGAAATGCCCGCTGTCTTGCATTGCGCGTAGTTGCCGAAGGCAGCATCACCATCGGTCACACGAGATCGCGCGATGCGCCCCCGTCCTATACGAGTATCGCCATTCGCTTCTGCACCAACAGAGGCAAACGGGCAGACAGACACCTCAGACGGCGAGTGCCATGCAATCCACCAGCCTTCAACGACGCGAGACCCGCCAAGGCGATCGCACACGAGGTACAGAGATACAAGACTCCACCTTCGCCGGGCATCGCTCGCATTGTCCACCGAGGGCAAGGTTTGGCCATGCCCCATCGAGGCGACGCTGGGCCGCTAAGCGGCGAGGCAATGGCTCCGAAACACCGGCCAACGGGTGGCAACGGTCACCTGGGCCTTGGCCGAGAGACGTCATTGCACCCACGAGCTGAAGGCTGCCGAAGCCCGCCCTAAACTGGGGGGGGGAACCGAAGCCCAGGACAGGACAGGACAAGACAGGAGGCGTCCGGAGCTATCAAACGCCCACGCCAAAGCAAGACGAGGCTGAAGCAAAGGAAAGGTTGCGCATGCGGCTGGACGATGTACGCAGGCAAATCGCACGCGCAGTAGCACCATCGTCGACGCTGCCCGCAGGGTCCTGACCCAGTCGAAAGGTACGCTTTCGACGCCCCCTTCGCCGGAGCCCGCCCAAGACCCGTACCCATCGTCGCTGGCGCCCCTTGACTCGAGGTCCCGGTTGGATGGCGTGAGGCGCCAGCATTCCAAGGAAACGGCCCGTCGGGAGCAGAGGGGCCTTGCGGCACAGGCTGGAGCCCAACCCGCCGCCGACCTGGCCCAATGTTGCCCATCTCCAGGGGGTCCCTCGAACCCCGACGAGTCTGACGTCGATCCGTCGTCTCGCCCGTCCCGCCCCGCCGAGCTCCAGACAAGGCCGCTGGCTCCAGGCGACGGCCATCCTGACGTGGTGGCCCTGGCGACAAAGTCGTCATTCCCCAACCCAGCGTCCGCGGCAGTGGCATCCCTGCATTTTCGCCCAGTCGTCCACGGCCGCAATCTTGTTGTCTTGACACCCGATCAACCGGCGCGCCTTTGGTCGCCGCTTCCTCCCTTGGCTTGGGCTTCAATCCCGCCGCCGCGGGCAAGATAATAAACTCTCCCGCCAAGGCGCCAGGCCTGCATCGCGTGTGCACCTGCAGCAGTTCGTCATTGGCCGTTGAGCCCGTGGCATAAGCGCGCCGGCGGCGACACGGCGAACTACTGCTCCGACCACTTCGTACGAGTACGAGCTACCGCTGCGACCGTGGTCTGTTCGGCGAGCACGAGCCCAGCAAGGCCCAGGTCCACCCGCATAAGCACAAGCACCGCCCGGGCAGGGCGACCGATCTGCCCCTCCTCGCAGCCAGTAACGCATAATCTGGGCATCTCACAGCAGGAACCCCTCCCCCTTGCTGGAGACTCTCATTCAAGACGCCAGCCCTGCTTCGGGCACAAAGTGCGAAATCCAAAGGGACCAACACCAAGCCTTTCTACCTGTCGGCGCCCCTCACCTCGCAGCTCCGACTTTTCCATCCTCCTGCCACCGGCTCCTCCGCCTCACTCGAGCTCCCCGGCTGGCTCGCCGACCCCAGACAGCACAGTCACTGCTCCCCGAGCGCAAGTAGGCTCTGCGGGCATCGCGGGTCGTCATCATGACCGACCGCTATCGAGGATATCCGCCTCCTCCCGGGCCACCCCGGGCGCCGCCCACCTTCAACCCGGCCAGAGCGTCCATGCCCACCAGCATAGGATACAGCTCAATGTATGCGGGCGACATGCACGTCATGCCGTCAGCAACACCGAGACACTACGTCGCTACGCCCCGAGGCTACACAACCTCCACGACGTCGTCCGGCGTGCCGACCGCCACGCGCACGTACGCAGTCACCCCGGACTCGCGGCAGCGGGCCGGCACTCGCGAGAGCAGCCGCACTCGGCGCTCGACTCTCGACTCCACCAGCAGACCGCCAGTCATCATTACCACTACGCAGAAGGACAGGCCACACGCCGCGTCGTCGCATTCGTCAAACGCCCGCACCGGCAGCCCGATCCGAGACGAGTACCGCGCCAGCGATGGACAGTTTTACTCGCAGCCCGCGTCGTCCATTCGGTCTCGGAGCACCGCTCGTCCGTATCACGCCTCCTCGGGCAGCGAGGACTTTGGCAGATCCCGGGACCGCAGCGACTCTCTGCTGAGCCCTCGCGAAGTCGACGCATATCGCAGCTCTCGACCGTCGGTGGTGTATCCCAGCGACCCCAAGCATAGCAACGCCGCCATCGATTACGGCGACGACGGCTACCAGTACACCAACGCTGGCGAGTTGGCTCGATATGACCTCGATCATTCGAAGCCCACAAGGCCGCGCCGACACGACAGCATGGACAGGGGCTACTACCGGCCTAATGTCAACTACAATGCTGACCAGCGGAGCTTCAACGTCCACACAAGCAGCGACCTGGCAGGCAACTACAACATGAACACAAGCCGGCCCTATGAGGGCCGAGGCGGGCCGCCGCCGTCGAGTCGGGGCTTCGACAAGATCAACCGCGGCTATGACTCTCGGGGCATCCCTCCGGCAGCACCCGTCCCACCTTCACCAACCACTTCGCAACTAGAAGTCCCTGGAGCTTCATCGGAGAGGGCCGATGCTGGTCGACGGAGCCGGCCTCTCTCGCTGCACCAGGATGGTGCCGCGCGATCGTTGCATCACGACGAGTACTACCGCAGCCGCGAGGACGAGCGTTCTATGCGAGATCTCCGCGATCGTGACCGTGACCGCTCTCGCGACGTCGAACGTGCGTATGAACAGCCGCGATTCAAGGACGAGAGCGTCACCACTCGCGGCTTTGGCATTCGGACAGACCTGTTGGACGGCCCTAGCGATGCAAGGGAGCGCCGGCGAGAGCCTCGACCTGAAGAACCGAAGAGGGTATCCGACGAAGAGCTCGTGCGCGCAGCTGATGCGGAGCGGGACGACCGCCTCCGTACCCGGCAGGCAATGCCTGACGACCGCCGCGAAAAGCGAGTGGAGCGCAGGGAGAGTGACGAAGACGACAAAGAACGTTCCCGCATCCGTGACAAGGTAGCGGCTGGCGTCGGCGTTGCAGCGGCCGCTGTAGGACTTGTGCCTTCACACAAAGAAGGAGAGAAGAGAGAAGAGCCATCCAGAGACGTCAGCCGGCGTCGAAGTCCCGACGAAGACCGCGAGCGGCGCAGAGAAACGGAACCACCCGAGAAGGCGTCGGTCCCGATACGAGACCGCGACTATGAGAGAGCGCGAGAGGGAGGGCGCGAGCGACCTCGGGAGGAGTCCCGCGACCGTACAGCGGCCACTGACCGCCATCGACGAGATGCAGAAGCCAGGCTGGCTGGAGAGGCTGTCGTTTCCGCATCAGACTCGGATGACAACCGGCGTGCATCACGGCGACACCGCCCCTCTCATGGCTTCAACCCAAATGACGCGTCCGATCTGAAGCAGCTCAAAGATCAACTCGCTGCCATGGATGTCACAGAGAGGGAGCCAGGGCGAGGTGGCGACCCGCCAGTCGTTGAAGAGAAGAGGCGTGCTCGGTCACCATCGCCTGGGCGCGGGGGTCGCAGCTCGAGAGACTCTTCTCGAGACGAGCCACGCGGTCGCGAGCTGATGATCGCATCGGACGAGGCGAAACACGTCCGGCTTGTCTCGCCGCCCAAGGACAAGTCAGATGAGAAGCCTCTCAAGGGGATTTTGAAGCAGCCAAAATCCAGCTTCCCGGAAGAAGCCAATCCCATCCGTGAAGGTGTCGCCCCTCACAAGGAGGACAAGAAGCTGAAGGAGGCTCCAGCGGGTGCCAGGTGGACCAAGATCAACCGAAAGATCGTGAATCCGGAGGCTCTAACGGTCGGCAAGGAGAGATTCGAGGTACGCGACGACTTTGTCATTGTTCTTCGCGTCCTGAGCAAGGAGGAAATCCAAGCGTACGCCGCCGCAACGCAGGTTCTCCGAGGTACGTACCCGTTTGTTTCTGCCGATTCGTTGCGTGATACTAATGACATCTCAGAGAGGCGGCGAAACAAGAGTGACGGTGATCGGGACCGGGACCGGGACCGCGGCCGCGGCCGCGACAAGGACCATGACCGCGATGAAGAGCAAGACGAGGACGAGGATGCGGGCCGACGGCACCATCATCATCACCATCATCATCGCCACAGAGACGATGCTGGAGAAGAGGGCAAGGAGCGAGAGCGTGACCGTGATCGCGACCGGGACCGGGACCGCGACCGCGACCGTGATCGTGACCGTGATCGTGACCGTGACCGTGACCGCGAGCGCGAGCGTGACAAAGACCGAGACCGAGACAGGCGTAGGCGTCACAGACGGGAGGACGAGGACGAATACGAACCTCGACCGAGGGAGTCAGAGCAACCTCACTACCACCATCGATCGTTCCGAGAGCGCGAGAGAGCGGCAACTGAGGCATGAGGAGGGGCGTAGGCGCGTTTCAGCGTTGCTTGTCACGAGTATACGGCGATGTACAATCTGGGAACAACTATGTACGATGACATGAGTCTAGGACGATGCTTTTAGGCCGCGATTTGGAATATCATAGTGTTTCATTGCTTGTCGACTTACTTTCATCTTGGATGTCGCCGTAGCTTGTGTTTATCCCTTACCCGTCCGGACTTGCCGCCTCCTTCTCGCAAGAACCGTCCGATATCGCCAGGTTGTTTTCCCTTACACAAGCTGGGCGAGACAACAGCCAACAGTTCTGTTCAAAGCGCGGCAAACTCGCAAAGCGCGGCAACCGAAAAATGACGGAGCTATTTGCCAGTTTTTCCTCTTCATTTCTCAACGCCATACTCGTAGAGGCAGTCGCCGAACACTGAATGCCTACCATGTTGGTCACGACATGACGATATGCCAACCAAGAGGACACTTCAACTGGAGCGATCAGCTCGCTGGCCCAATGATGTCGCGTCAACAGCGACGCTTTGCTCTCCTCAAATCTCACGATGCATCAAAGGGGGCAGTCAAGGGACTTTTGTCGGACCTTTTGTTGGAACTTTTGTAGGAACTTTTGTCGGCCCTAGTGCGAATATACGCGCTAACGACGGTTCCTGGACTTCCGATTGGGTGCAGCAGTTGGCGCTAGCACTAGGGTTACTATATATAGTGACGCTAGCACGTCGTTATTAAGGCGGTCAGGCAGCAGCGGCATGTAGCGTCGGGGTATCAGTCGGGCTGTATGGGGCCAAGCCCGTCTGTGTGTCTTGTGTGTCGTGGTGTTGGCGAAGGAACACACGACGGACGGGGCGGACGCGCGCGTTGGGGCGGATGGGCAGGTAAGCAGGCAGTGAGGGAGATGGGAGGTTCAGAGCTGTGACTTTGTCTTGCCGTGATGAGCAGGAGGAAGAGGAGGTTACGGGTTGATGTGGATGGAGTACCGATGAGCCGCGGCGATGGGAGCTGGTCGAGCAGGACAACGGCGACTGGAAAAGTATAAATACTGAGGTTGAGAAAGCGTCTGGTGAGTGAAGGAAGAAGAGCATCGCAGACCAAGAAAGAGACAGAGACCGACAGACAGACAGAGACAGACAGACATCACTGCTTTGCGAGCATCGTTGCAACTTCATCTTCTGCATCTGGCTCACTTCCATCAAAACTCCAAGAAACCATCACTTCACGCCCAAGCTCCTCCTCTTCTTCACTTATACATCTACATCTACTTCGTTATATCTCCGCAGCCATGGCTCCCACTTCCTTCCACCTCGAGCCCAAGTCCTTCACGCCCCCGACCAAGACGCGCCCCCTGCGCGTCAGCTTCGTGAGCAGCACCGGGCGCAAGACCAACCCCATGTACCCGGCGACGCTGCTGCGGCTCTCGTACCGCTTCGTCGACGACCGGTACGACGAGGACCACGTCGACTACGGCATGGAGATTTTCAGCCCCGAGGTGATTGTCCCGCGCGAGGTGACGCTCGTGGAGAGGCACGACAACGACCACAACAACAACGCCAGCGACTCTGAGGATGGTGGCAGCGGCAGCTCCGACGAGGGCGCAGCAGCGGCAGCGACGACGACTCTGCCCCTGTACGCCTTCGAGGTGCCGCGCGACCAGGTCCCTTGCGTGCCCATTTGCAAGCCCGAGACAGCCCCCGCCGAGGTGACGCTCTACGCGTGGCGCCAGGACAAGTTCCTGGGCCAGTGGCCGCTCGGGCAGGTCAAGGGCCTGGGCCACGGTGTGCCGAAGGAGGCGGCGCGGCGGCAGCCGGCGCGTCAGGCGTCGCAGTAGAAATAAGACCACTGCAGACAGACAAGCAAGCAAGCAGTGAAAAGGGGGGGCGAGTGGCAGCGCGCGTCTCTGAGTCAAGTCCAGGTCAGGATGAGAAAACGGGCGCGCGGAAAGGAGCTGCTGCTGGTGGTGGTGGTGGTGGTGGCGGCGGCGGATGGTGAAAGGGGCGGCTTGAGGCAAACAAACATGAACGGGCTGCGCGTGGGCGAGGGAGAGAACGAGGCCATGGAGAATTTGATCTGTCAACTGTTTGCTACTACATGTATGCCGATTGCTACAACAATGATGATAATGATGATATCTGAGCCGCCGGGCTTGGAGATAGCAAGGCGCGTCCAGACACTCAGCCTCACAATCACCACGGTGACAACAACGTCGCCGTCGTCGCCCTTCTCCCTCGGTGACTGGACCAGTCCCCTCGGCACCGGCACCAGCAGCTGGCGGGCTGGCATAGCCACTGCCACCGTATGTATGTGTGAGGCATCCGAGGTCCTCCAACCCCAAGCTGAGCGGTATGATGACTCTTCTCCTCTTCCCCTCCCCCTCCACCTCTCAGCTCGAGTGAGCGGTGACACAAGACCTTAACAGGTCGAGACGCCCCCTCCCCTCGCCTCACCTAGGGACATCTGCCTTTCGTATCGTCAGCGGGGTCTCATCCGGCCCATCGCCACTCGTCGGCCGTTCGGTAGCCTTCCTCCCTCCCTCCCTCTCTTCCCTACCTTCACCGCGTCCAACCACCGGAGCACGGCGTGACCACCACTTGGCCGCCCGGCCAGCCGCCCGGCCGCCCCGACATCACCTCTCATCGCTCAGAAACACCCCGCGTCTCTCCCTCTGTCACAAATATTGTGCTGTACCCGTACCGCACCGTGCCGTGCCGTGCCGTATCGTATGGAGCTTGTATAGACGGAGAACATGGGCAGACAAGAAACAGAAAATGACTTGCGTACAGGTAGGTGTGGTGGTGATGGTCTTGTATGACCATGACTGCATCGAACCCGCGTCGTCGTCCCCTCCCTCCCCCTTTCGCGCTCGCACACTACCAAGTAGCATACACACACAGAGAGACTCTTCCTCCACACCTCTTTTCACTCACTTGCCGTGTCCTCGGCTCAGCCGCATGTAAGAGCTCTTCAACTCTTGTTCATCAAAGCGCAGCAACCCCTCCCCACTGCTTCCCGTGTCCACTTGGCCGGAAAGTCTTGCTGCCGGCCCTGCGCAACGACTGTAGATGAATGCGATGAGAGGAGATTCGTGGACAACGGCCCCGGAGCAAACCGGGAACCCTCATCCAGCGTCGTGAATCGCTTCCAACAATAGATATCGGGAACCTTGCCTTGCCCTACCCATCGGGAACCTTGGCCCGCTTCGTACGCATGTCGCCCGTGCATACATACATACACACATACATGCAAGCCTTGCCCATGAGGGCCACAGGGCGCCCTCGTCCCCCCCTGCCACCGTATCCGGGACATTGGCACGGGATCCTGCATGCTATTTACGTATGTACGAAGTACGCGCATACTCGCTCGGACACACTCACTGGTCACGTCCCGCCATGCCATCAGCCGACAGCATCGTCGTAGCGATGCGCTATAAAAAGGGGCTCCGTCCGGGTACGCGCATGGCGCGACCTCATCTGTGATTCCCCCCTCGCCGTTCCGTCGCCATATGTGCGAAATTGCCTCTTTGTGCCCGTCACAGCCCAGCGTTCCAATGCGGACAGCTCCTTCGCAGGGTTCCAGCCAAGAGCGCAAACGTCCGGCTCCGTGGCCGGAGCCTTCCTGGGGCCCCCCCTTTGTGTCACCACCTTGGCTTCGCGCACGCTGGCATCGATGAGCATCGACGTCGTGTAACCCACCACCATGGCCCGCCACGGCCTTCCCTCCTTTTGGCTCCCCCCGGCCGGAGGGACAGCTCCATTCACTCCGTTCACTCCGACGTGCTTCGCCAGCTTGCCCATCGAGCGTGGCGACCATGGCAGGCGGGACCTCTCCCCCCTCTTCCTGCTCCTCTGCCGCCGCTGAATCCAAGCTCGGAAGTATCGGCCTTGGCCATCACATTCTGGGGCAATGCGATCCGTAATGAAACATGAGCTTTGTGTTCCTGGACCCAGCATCGGGCAGAGGGTTAGGTGGACCGGCACGCGAGCGGGACGATACCACTGTAGCCGCCGTCGGTGGCAGACTGCATGTGTGAGCTTCCCGGGACGAATGAGGCAACTCTGCAGGCAGTCAGAAATTAAGGGCAAGTTCGGCCAGGTTGTGTGGTCTTCCGACATGACCGCGCCGCTCGGTGCGGCTGCTTGAGACGAGCGATGGGTCTCACTTGCCCGACACGGCGTGGTCCGCTTCATACTTGAAGCCGGCGTAGACACTTCGCAACAAGGATAAGCTGAAGTCGGACCGCCGTGATGCCTCGGCGCGCTGCAAGCCTTGGTCTCTAAAGGTAGACGACACCGGGACGGGAATGCCTCAGCCAAGAACACTCCTTCGTTGCACACACGAAGCACGTGCCCCCGCGCCATGTGTTGTCCCGGAGTGCTGGCAAGAAGAGTTCCTTGGAGGGCTGTGACCCAAACGAAGACAATTCGAGCACCGCTTGGCCTTCATGGCGGGCATATGTCCCCAGTCTCGGCGCACGTCCACGCTGTTTCGACCGTGACGGGAGGCCAGGCCGGATGGCGACCCACAAGTCCCGAGTCCCGTTCAGTTTGGTCGGTGTGTCTGATGGGCTCGGCAGTTGTCAGAAACTCTAACACGCATGATATGATGTGTTTACCGGACAGGAGTAAGCCTCCTATTCCTACCCTCCCAGAACGGGCAGTGGCCGCGAGGGGCTCCAGTCACCGGCCGGCCGCTCTCCGCGGCCAGTCGACGTGCCAGCTTCGATAGACGAATGAAACCGAGCACTGCCCCTTTGTTTGCCTGCCCAGGTGCTTGCCGGTGTGGGAAGACGGACGGAGCCACAACAAGGCCCTCCCGGACCGTTCTCCCACCAGCTCGCCTTGCAGCTCAAGCTAGGTCTGTGGGTGGGCATGCATGGACCTCTTCACCGCGACTCCTCGAGGTCCCCATCCCCCTGCACCCAAGCTGCACCGCAAGCGCCTTGCCGCTCGGGCTGGGGAAACGCAGGGGCTGCGAGCTATCGACGAACTGGACACGATCGAGGACCAGCGAATGAGACATGCCGCAAGGATGGTTCGACCGGGCTGAGCAGCGCGTCTCGTGTGCCATCTTCGATCTTTATGCGTGCGAATGGTCCATGTCTGCTTCATACAGAGCACAGTTTGTGTCCGCCCCATCGCAGTGAACCATTGGCGGCAAACTACCCGCACCGTGGACTGACGTGTCCCGAAGCTTGACAGCTCCGGCCCCGGCAGAGCTACCTGAGCGTCGTGTTGACCGCGGTTGGCTTGATGTCATGTGCTTCTTGAGCATGCTCACGGAAAGGCCGGAGCTTGATGTCTGGGCGATGGACAGCGGCGTGTCCCTGTTTCCAGCGCGGGAGTCCAATCGTGGTCCGCGCCTCGAACCCAGTCACTACATAGTCGAAGAAGGTCTGGGACGTCGTAAAGCTAGAGAGACGGGAAGCCATCGTGCTACAGAAGCATGGCGGCAACCCCTGCCGAACGAAGCAGGTTCGCCTGGCTCATAAAGTGCCACTGCCACTCCAGTGCTGTGAATTGGACACCAGACTTTGTGTTCCAGCCGCAAGACATGCACGGAGCCGTGTGTCTTGAGAAATGCGACGGCCACCTCGCCCTCATCATGCCACGTCTTGCGCAAGCGAAGACTTGCAATGGTGCTGAGGCGAGCCCTTCGGCACGGCTCCTGACCGACAACTCAAGCGCTGAAAGGAAAAGCAAACACCATCAGATCAGTGACCCCCTGGTTCAACCAGAATTCGTTCTCGAAGCCCCTCTGTGGGCCGCATTATGCCTCGAGATGCGAGTATCATCCCTGTTCCCTTGCACGCTCGGTCGGCGCGGAAAGCGGGAGCCAGCCGGGACAGGCTCCTGTCACGAGGGCCATGAGCCAAATATCCGCCATTGAATGCAACGGTTTTTACCGACTCGACAGAGCGGCCACGCTTCAGTGGCGGGTCAACGTCCGACAGCCGGTCTGCTTGTGCTCACTGGGCCGTCGAATGCAGCCCTCGCCAAGCATCATCCTCCGATAGCCCGTTTCGTACCCTGATGAAGCTCATCTAAATACGGACACAGGCTCCATGCGACGCCGCTGCTCCGTTTGTCCTTGTGGTGAAGTGGCGCCGCCGACGGTCGACAGCAACACCGGGAGACAGGGGTACTGACTCGCCAGGGCCTCGTGCCATCCAAGCGCAGTGAGACGGTGTAATGACCAGGGGGTGGCAGTACCCACCTGGAGTCGGGAGTTGCCGCCCACAGCTATGCCTCCATCTTTGATACTCAGCTGCCGACTCTGAATCGCCAGGCTGCTGCGCAGAGCATCTTCGGTCCCAGTTGCGAAAGACGTCGTTCTTCTTGACCCGGCGGGGAAAGGCGGCCACGCGTGGCCCGGTGATTAAATGACGGCAAAACAACGCCGTGGCACTTCCGTGGAGAACCACGCGCTCGCAGCGGCCGATTGTTCCCAGGACGGGACGTTGTCGGCTCCCGTCGAGTGGAGCCATACGCGTCGTCGAATCAAGGACGAGCAAGGCAGATTAAATCCATCAAAAAGGTGTGTGTATCATAGTGTCTAGCTTCGAACGCCGCATGGCGGCGAGCGAATACCGTCGCCCGGCCTAGATTTCTGGTGGAGCAGCTGAACGGAGCGCCCTCTTGACCGCCGCCGTCAGAGGCTCGTTCGTTGTCCGCTCCGCAGTCTGCTTGAGCAGCGGCGAAGGGGCGTTTTCGAGAGTCGGCAGCGAGGCGTCTCTCACAGCCCGGGAGGGTGTGACGCGATGGCGCCTTGAGCATCCGCGTCCGTGGAAACAGAGGCCCCAGACGGGACATGGGGACCAAGAGGACACCACCCGTTGAGAGGGGGGCATCCAAGGGGCCGCCCCTTGACTGGCCTTGCCGGCGATGACCATCTCCCCCCACACAACCCGCGCATCCCTGTCCGGTCAACGCGTGCCTGGCTGCCACTTGACGAATCCGAGGCGCTTCCAAAGTGGGAGAGGCGCCTGGTCCTTGAATTGTCCCACGACGGGTGACCGGGGCAAGTCGGGGTGCGAGCGTCTCAACACCATCTTCTTTTGACGCTGAAGCTCGCATGAAGAGCAGGTCTGTTCGAGCAGTTCGCATTCCGGACACAGACTAGTCTGAGCAGTTTGTGGCCGATGCAAAGAAATTGAAGGTTCATTGCGTGACGCACGCTGCGGCCTGCCATCGAGCTCGAAATGACCTTTCCGCCCGACAGTCACCGAACATACTGCGACTGGACACCCCGTGAGGCGCTGGGTACGGTAGCCTGGTGGACGTCCGACGTGTGAGAGGTTCCAGTGTTTGTTCGCGCCGTGGCGGCGTGCGAGACAGTCGGCCGAGGCCCGGCGTCAACGTTGAGAAGCTGCGTTCGAACCGATCAGGGCGAACTGGACCAAGACAGCGGCCGGCCCGCTGTGCCAACACTGTGCCAACGCTGTGCCTCAGAATGTCACGGGTCGCGAAGAAACAGCGCACGCTGTCGTCCTAACTGGACGTGTCCGGAGTGAACTCGCGTCAGTGACGTCTTTGGGGGCGGAACGTGCCACAATCTCCTTCCCGAAAGCACGATTGGATATAAATAGACTGCAATGCAACAGGTGCAAGACCGGGCAGGTGAACCCCGGCGATGTAATTTGAGACAGCGTGTGTGCCCACCAACGCAGTCGTTCGAGTGCTGCACGGCCATGGCAAGGTACCATGACGAGCATGAGTAAACACCGTTCGAGGCGCCTCGCGGCGAAGAGCACCAACAAGCGGAAAGTCTTGTGTATCAGAGTGAAAGGGCTCGGTTGGAAAGTCGCTCGGACCAAGCCAACCACAGTCGGTCCGCAGCCATGTGATCGGGAGTCGCGGAAAGTCCTCGTCCTGCAGCGGTGGAATGTCCTTGGAGCGTCGGCTTTCCATCAATCTGTGGATGCTGTACGAGGTACAGTACTTCGCACGAGCACATCACCCAGCCGATGTTGCCATAAGCAAGTGTGGGCGCAATGCATGAAAGCACCAACACCGCCACCTGGTGCGCAGGGCCTTGCCGCCCCGAATGGTGCCTGCGATCGTGCACAAGGTGTCTGAGGAGCTGCCCGTTCCACCACAGCCCCGTCCATGGTTACTCATGGCCGCCTGTTGGCGGTTGCTGCTCGTTGCTCCCTCGGGAGCCACGGCGTACATGGACTTCTCGCGGCCTGAGATTGAATCCATGTGCAACATGCCGTTCCGGTGGTACAAAGTTGTTCCTTGTGTTGTGCTCGGATGTCAACCCGCATCCCGGAGCCGGTGCATGGGCACACATGGGCTCACACCATTGACTGCAACGGCGTCAGGCAGCCAGGGGCCCCAGCTCGACGACCGTCTCCCCAGCTAGATGTCCAGGGGCCTCGCCGCTCCACTGTGACCCGGGCGGGCGGGCAAGGCCGCAACCCCCTTGTTGCGCTCCGCAGTCGGGGAGGCGGATGCTGCGACTTAGGCACGTTTTCGTTTGGCGGCGGACATGCCTGTGACGATGACCGACCAGCCCAGGTTCTTGTGGAACAAGGCGCCGCGAGGTTCCTCCATCGCGACAGTGTATCGAGCTCAGCCCTACGGAGCAGAACCATTCTTCGCCTGGGCGGGCGAGCCCACCGTTCCTGGATCGACCTGGGCATGGCCCCGGTTTGGCGCCTCCGCTGCGACTGCAGCCACCGAGCATGGCGGGAACAGATCGGGAACAGACAAAAAAGCGTAAACGCAAAATCGCGGCGCCGCGCTTAGCTCTGCTGTGAAAGCGACGCTTGATAGAGCCGTTCCCCTCAATGTTGCAAGTGCGTCCAGTGACAACCTCACGGCTGGGAATGCCGAGTTACCTGGGCAGCTTCTCCTACCCTGGACACCTTCGACACTGAAACCCAAGCCAGTGGCCGCCTCCCGTCCCTTGGGCTGGGTGGCTGCGGGTTGCCGATTCGTCGCGGGGATCGCGGGCGACTCCCACAAGTGCAGTACACAGCAGCAGTGCGATTGCAGCGACTCTGAACCGAAGGCTGATGCTTCGCCCGCGTCAAGGAATGGTGGCGACAAGCTCGTCAAATCGTTATCCTTGCACTCGCACTCGCAGCCGGCGATTGATGGGTTGGTTCCTGGGCTGTATGGCTGGCCACCCTGCGCCTGGGTCGCATTCCACTGGCAGCAACCACCCACGTGCTCGTGGCGGGTTAGCCGTGCTATCCTGGGCTAAAGCCAGCATGGAGCGACCACGGGCCTCACCTTGTCAGGACGGGCCACGCGATGGGGGCAGGGGGGCCCTGCTGACGTCGTCTTGCACGCAGGTTGAAGGGTTGCGGGACGCTCGAGCACCACGCGTGGAGACGGAAGTTCTGCGTGTCAAGCTGCGACGAGTTGGGCGTCTCGGGGCGGACGGCGCCTGTGATTGATGAGTTGGCTGTTGAATTAAAACAAGGCAGGCGCAGTCCACACGAATCGCCCAGTACGGCAATCGCACGTCAATGTACGAAGTACCTACTGTATTACCTTGTCATCGGGTCTGGTACCTGGTACTCGCCGGGCGGTCATCTGCAGTCCAGTCTGCCCAGGTGCTTGCTTGCGCCGGCTCGTGGGCGTTGTGGTCGCGAGGCAGGTACCCCATGTATCTTGTGAGGTCGGGAAGGGCTGCGGCGGGTCACTCTGAGAACGGGGTCAGCGGCCAGGGTACACACCACTATGCGTGGAATGCTGGCCGGTACCTGGCTCTACCGCGCAGTACCCGAAGTGCCCGTCCAAGCAATCCTCGGGCTGTGTGCCGGGCAAGTGCTCTGGGCGTCGCCTGGACTCCCTCCTCCGTCAAGGGAAGGAGCGCGGGAACTGTGGCTACTCTGGCGGGTCCCGCGAGTGACTTGCAAATCTCCTTTCTGCTGCAACCGAGATCATCATCTCTCTCAAGGCGCCAGCAGAAAGGAGGTTGGAAAATTTTGCAGTCGCGACAATCGACAATCTCTCCCGCTCCGACGCACACGCGAGGCGCGTTTGGGTGCTCTTCCTGGCCGTCTGTCTGCGCGCCCGCCCGCCTGTCAGTCCGTCCATCTTGATGGCCCCCCCTGCCCGCCGCACTGTCCTGCAAGCTTCCAAAGAAATATTGTCGCCAGCCAAGGCCCCCTTCGACGACGCCTGTTCCTGGCCTCTACCCCAGATCCGCTGCCATCCCAAGCTCAACGTCGTGCGCCACTCCCCGTGCACCACCCTCCCATCCCCCCTGATCACCGCGCCCAACGGCTCGTCCACCATCACGGACTACGGACGAGGTTGTCGTCACTGGCGCCCCGTCGAGTTTTAGGACCCTCCTATTGCGGGAACACGAGTAAGGCACCCACTTGGAGGGACGCCCCCGACCGTACCTGAGGTACTTTCTGCCGCGCGAAGACGGCGCCCTCGCCGTTGCAACTTTTGCAATTGTGGCTCTTGGGCCGCGCCTAGGCAGTCGGAGGATCCTCCATCCTGTGCTGCACTACTCTAGGTACGGACTGCTGCCGACTACTATTACCAGCCGCTGCATGCCATATCCTGCATTCGCTTTTTTTTCTTCCCCTCCTCTTTGCATCCCATATCCCTTCCCACGTGCAGCTAGACCCTGTCGCCGCCGAGGCTGTCAACTGCAGCGAAGCCGTGTCTGACGTCGTGGCCAGCCCTGGACCAAGGCTCCCGTCAACGAAGCAACCCCTGCGCGCTCGGCTGTCTGTCAGTTCTCCCTGACCACCTTGCTCGACGCGCGGGCTGCCGCTTGACCCTGTCCAGCCCACTCGACGAGGGGACGACCCTGCAGAAATTCTGCACATCACCAGCGACCTTCTCCGCAGGAACGCACCGCGACTGCGCAGCCGTTGGAAACGCGCGCCGCCCTCAGACGCGACAAAGCTTGACCAAACGACGGCAGACGACTCTCGGCGCCTTACAGCTCCAGCCTCGCCTTGCGACTCAACCGCCATTGGTACCAACCGTGCCCTTGTCGGCCCCCCGTCCATCCGGGGTTGATAGCACCAAGAGCTGCGTTCGCGCCGCTTCGAGATTCGGCAAGAGCCGTTCCGCATTGGTACCACCACGAGACGGCCGCCCGGGTCTGACGAGACCATTCCGCTGGAAGCAAGAGTCGCTTTCTTTTGCGCAACGCGACCCCTTCATCAGCCTTGGTCGCAGCACACGTCCCGTCGAACGCCCGTCCCCGAGCCCGAGTCCAGCCCAGCAGTGACGGTTTGCTCCCGTCGCTCCAGGCGTTCTCCCGCACCGACCAGCAGGGTTTAGTGCTGACCGAAAACCGCTGACGGCCACTAACGGTCTACGTCCCCACCACCCCAAACGAGGTACCCGACGAGCTCATCAACCGGCCCAAACCCTGTGCTCCGCTCGCTCAGGCGCGAATTTCAAGGTTAGTGGACTTATTCCTCGCGAGCCACAGTCGTGCTCGGGGCGCAACGGGCTGCCCTTTCCGATCATGCTGCTGGGGCGGCGCGCGGCTTGCCGGCCGGGGGCCACGACTCGTCGTCGCGCGTCGCGTGCGTCGCTATTCTGGGCGGCCGTATCTTTCAAAGCGGCACAGCCAGGCCACCCAGCAAGCAAGCAAGGAAGCAGCCCCCAGTCCGCGCCCCAGCCGTCGAACCCCGACGTCCACTTGGCGCCAGCGTGCCGGCCGCTCGGGATTGCGCCGCGTCGACTCGCACTAGAAAGGGGTTGGCGAGCAGGGAACCGACCTGGGGGGGTCGGCCAAGTCGCGAAGCATCAGCCTAGGCACTCCGCGCGCTCGCCATGCATGTGTGCGTGCGTGCTTGATCAAGCATGCCTGCCAGGGCAACGGGTCCATGCAGTCGGTGCCTTGTCAAGTTGTCATGCAACTACCGCACCCTGTTATGGTCCCCGCCGCCAACGACAACCATCAATTCAAGCGCATTGTGCTGACTCTTTGCATTTGCCAGCTCCGTCACGCTCGCCTGGCACCACCACCCGTCTCTGTGCTCCGTGCTTCGTACATACCGTCGAGGCAAAGCGTACGTCGCAATCCAGCCATCTCTCACCGGAACCTTCGCTCGCCTGGCGAGGCTTGAGCGACTCGACACTGACGAGTGTGCTTAGAATCGCCCGCTGCC